TTATATATAATAATTAATTGAATAAAAATGAATAACCTTAATACCGATTTAATATTTATTATGATTTGATTTCAAATACATTACCTGATAACTTCGCTATGTGAAATTAAAATTTGCATAGTAAGGTATGTATATATATATACATATATAGCATGTGAAGTTGGCTCTTGCCTGTAAAATCCAACAATTTCGAAGAAATATCACGATTTGATTTGGTTCCCAAATGCCGCCCCAAAAACCTGCTACCCTAGGCTCCAGCCTACTTAGCCTGCTTGTATAACCGCCACTGACTATACATAATTAAATATATAGTCCATTCTTACAAGATCGTACCTAAGTCATAATAATATATAGGTACCTAACAAATTAAATTTTCTATGGGTTTTAATATATTAACAATAAACGTGTAAACACGGAAGTTGGCCAATAAAACACTAGTGGCATTCCACTGACAGACAGACGAACAAAGCGTTGTGTTTCCGCCGCTTGTTTACCTTACCGACTACCGACGTTATTGTGCTACTAAGAACACTACTATGTGCTTCTGATTGCACAGACTAATGTTATATAGAAGCTGGGCTGTACCATGAAACCGCCAAGCATTTTCTCGGTAGAACCCTCTTTCCAAGGCACTAAGTAAACTATTTAGTATAGTTAAAAAAATATTGCTGCAACAAAGCGCTAGAATAATTTAAAGTGAGCGAGCTTGAAGTTGTAATGAAAAACCAATTTGAGATTTGACATATATAATTTCGCGCGCTATTTAAGTTTTTTTAGATGGTCTGTATTGGCAGTAATAAACAAGCTTACCAAAAAATAAGTACTTACCTATACTAATTACGTTAAAATAGTAACTATTTAGTTGATTGTAAAATCGTGATACTCAACTTAACAAGACTTATAAAGCAACAATCTAATATCTAGAATAGATATAATAAAAATAACAATATTAATAATATATTATAAATAATAAAAATAACTCTTTTTATTTGTGTAATAAATATTGAAATGAAATGAAATGAAATAGTTTATTCTTGCAAGTAGGACTATATAAATCACTTTTACAATGTCATCCTAAACTAGATGAAGTCGACATTTCCTAACTGACTGCCCTGAGAAGAAATGTCGAAACAAACTCGGGGGTCTTAGTCTCTTTTATAGTCCAGATAATACAATAATAAATTAATAAATTGGTGTAAACAAATGCAGAGTATTTACTGGACTGGTCTTTGGAAGAAAGAACCAGATCGATCTGAGCAAGCCTGTGCCAGCAGACGGCAAGCATGCCCCGAATAGCTCATGCAGCTCAACCATTTTTGAGGGAGCTGCACAACCCGGTACACAGCAATACCGCCAGTGGCACCATAAAAATATGTGGGGCAACAACTCACTCAGATCGCCAGCCCAAAATAACTATATACTAAAATGTATCAAATTATAAATCAAGCAAAAGAGTTTATGATATACCCGCATAATGTTTACACTTACAATGGATACAAAATGTATTTTTAAGGTGTACCTTAAAGCAAGGAAAAATAATGAAATTGAAAAATATTCTTCTCTATGCCATAGGTCTGTGTGTGTTTTTTTGAATACTCTAAGATATTTAACAGTATTTAAGACATGTTAAGACCTCTCATGGCTTAAAAGAGCATACTCCTCCCACAAAAGCCGGCAACGCACCCACTAAAATGAGTGTCCATGCGATGACTGCCCTTCGCAGTCCCCGTATCCTATTAAAAAAATCATTAATAAATCTGTAGCCTTTTCCAGCTAATTAATTACCTCTGTAGTAATATTATTCTACATTCATAGAAATGAAAGCAGAACGCTGGCTTCGTTCCAGGTGAAGTTAAAGATGACTAAATCCATCGTCAATTGTATGACTATCTCGTATCCTTTCATCTCTAATTGTGTTCTGTAATTTTACCGCAGTTTTTTATAAATCGAATCCCTTTGATACTATTGTAGCGTTCATATTTCAATTAAGCGAGAGATAAAACGATTAATACACGCGAAACAATATAACAAGAATTTATATATTTGTAAATTATAATCTTTATAAATATTCCGTAAGCATGACGGTCATGGCAAGTTTGATGAAATTTAACTAGAGAAAGTGACACTAGAATTCCCTGTGTCGTGGACAGTTAATCTTCCCATTTGACATATTAACAGTACATGACAAAATAATTTCTACATAACACTTACAATAATATTATTAAACTACTGTTACATAAGAAGAATATTTTCCGTTTCAGCATAACGATTGATATTGCTTAAGATTGTTAGTGAATGAAGTTTTGAATCGATAGTAAAAATTTTGTTTTTAAGAAAGTGGTTAAAGATAAAAGGGCCTCTGAAAAAGAAAAAGCGTTGGGCGAAAGTGCGATTTTTGGGTAGCTTATATGTTGGTTTGCGTTTTGTATGATGGTGTGATCGGTGTTTGTTTCCAAAAAAGCTTATTGCCATTTAGTATAGTTGTGTAACCGTTACAATTTTTGACTTATAAATTTGTTTGACAATAAACCAGAAAAGTTTATAATACTATATATTAAATAATTTTATTATATTATAATTATTACATTCTTCTTATTTTTTTGCGTCTGAGGTGCTAACTAACTGTTGTGGTCTCTGGCAGAAAGACCAGCGCTGTGGAACACGTCTGCTCCACAGCATAATGCTAAGCCAGGGCCAGTTACAACCACAACGCACCCACATTACACACTTAAAATGTTCCTTATACCTTTTTTTCAATCATTTTTTTGTTGATTTTTCTTTTTTGATAATTATTTTGTGTGTTTCGTTAGAAATAAATGTTATATCTATGTCTAAAAGTATATAAGAATAGTCTTTAAATAAGAGAACATCTCCCAAAACAATGCAGACAGTATTTAGCATCGTTAAAATAGCACGAACTAACTGTAACATTTCAAAAGTTGAAACGCAACCGTATTTTCTAAGAAATATGACATTCGAAAACAAACTTTTATTAACCTGTGTCCGCAGTTGAAAATGTTTATGTGATGGTAGTTTGTTGGACGTGCTTTGTTGTTGTGAGGTGGTGTAATTACACGTTTAATGCTACGCAAATTGAACGCGTAGGACTCTCATTGTAAAATGATTCATCGATATATAAACGGATATAAAAAGAAGTTACCGCCTATGGTCGTATTTGTGAATAAAGTGGGAGATCGACAGTCGAGACTTAGCCCTAACTGTGAGTCCTGTACCTATGTCAAATTCATCATTTATGGCGTGCGGGAGTCGAACTTAGTCTTGTTTCTGACTCCCTAAATCTTACCTTTTGAGGGAAGAGTAAGAGCATGTAAATAAGTATAGGTACACATCTACATGGTACTGAAATCGATACTATTATCGACTTAACTATAAATACTACTACTTACTAACTAAACCTAAAATCTTATATATCTATGAAAAGGGCTTTTCGTTAAAAGTTCGAGACGCCGTGTCCATTTGACTCTATAACAACGACTACTTATTTATCGATTTTGTGAGTGAAATGATGTTAAATATTCTTTTTCTTGCATTCACGTATTCTAAATACTCAATAGGTATTTACTACATATTGCTATCTACATGTAGCACAAAGATGTCCTAGGAAGACATTTCAAAAATTATGTTTGAAATGAGTATCCCAAGCGTTATGTATCATACACCTCTAAGGTACAACGTCTTGTAAATAAATAAAATGTAATGACTATTCTCCGAAGTGCGCTAAGGACCAATGATAAGCAAAGACAGGCTACCGAGTCTGGTCTCTGTCTGTGCGTGGGTGGTCTTCGTAGAAAGGAAATCCGATTTACTATAATTCAATAAATATATTGATTTATTGAAAACGGAATGCATTTGATTGCATAAGACGTGGGAAAGTTTACGTTATAATGTTGATGTTGGTACTTTGGTTTGTATTTCTTCGTTTTTATATTTGCAAGTGTAAATACCTAATTATATTATAGGTATTTGTAACATAATGTCCATCTTGATAAAAGATTATGTGTACACAAAATTAATCTATGCGTGGTGTATTTTCTCATGATTTAATAGGAGTTATAGTCGACAACTAACATTATAAAATAAAGATTTCATTAGATATTTTGGAAACTCAGAAAAATCCCGCAAACCCTAATAAGTTAAGGTCCTACCTATAAAACTAATAACAACTGCTGACAAAAAACTCACAATACTAAGAAGGAAAAGAACAGAGACATGATAAAACTACCTAAACTAGGCCCGGAAAATCAAACCCGGTTAACAGCCGGAAAAATCAAACATATTGACGAATTTATCTCTAAAACTGAATTAACTAATCTCAGTTTACACAGAAATCGCGATAAAACAGAGAAACTCATTGGAAGCTCAATAAAATCGTATCGAAACGTAACAATGATCGACTTATTTATTTAAGTGGTTTACTGCCAGCTATTTCCAGAGACCACACATAAAAGCTGACCTCCATGTATTTACAGTACTTACGGCTTTTTATTGTTTTTATTCGGTTTTGTGGCTGTTTAAACGTTTAATCGTAGGTACATTTTTTCAGCATATAAACATACTATCTAGAACAAACTAAGGTTCAGAGTTAGTATAATTAAAATTAATTTGTATGAACATAATATTTTCGATTTGCCTTAATGTTTATTATGAATGAATAAATCTTAATATTTTACTTTTATGCACACGTAGTGCCATCTATTAGTGCTAATACGAAAACTATTACAAACGTTATTCGACGATGTGAATTTGTAAAACTTTTGTTTATTAATTACAGTAGCAGATAATATCTGTCGCAAAATTGTTATTCATAATGATTTGCAATAATTCTATGTTAATATTATATTTATTATATTAGTCTTTGTTAAGGTATCCGGTTGGCGGTTATCTAAAGTACAGACATTTGCGACGGACGATAAAGTCGAGTGTTGACAATGACATTTTCAGTTTTCTAATAATTTAATAAATGTAATCCAAGTTTAAAAATGTCATTTAGAGATAGTTGTGCTTTGATAACGTGCCGTTTTTTTTGTCGTTTACGCAGTAAAAATAAATTTTTGTGCTTTAATATCAGCGGGTTTCATATGGATAGTAAACATGAAGCAAAGTCAGCTATGGAACTCGTCAACATACCCCCTATTATTACCACATACCGGCATGCTTTGCGAACTTTCGATGACAAATTCAAAAACGATTTTGCAACCAACTTGAACAAATTAAAATCCCTAGTGGATAAATTAAAAGCAGACCACCTTGGCTTCGATCAAAGTTACAACGATCCTGGTACCTGGAACAGACCAAGCAAAGCCCCATGCACATACGTCGAAGTGTTTCAAAACAATGCGGTAAACATGAGTATTTTTATTCTAAAACCTGGATTTAAAATGCCTTTGCATGATCATCCACACATGCATGGGCTTTTAAAAGTTATATCTGGTGCGGTAAGAGTTAGAAGTTTTTCAGAATATCCTCTTAAAGAAGCAATAAGTAAAGTAGATTTTAAGGCTCGCGCAAAACACGAAGCAGCGCGACTTGCTCAAGGCATACACAAACGTAGAAGATTATTTGCAGAGATTTCTCAAGACCATATTTGTAAGGAAGATTCTGAAACATGCATTCTGACACCAACAGTATCTAATTACCATGAAATTGAGGCTCTGAACACACCAGCAGCATTTTTCGATATTTTAGCACCACCTTATGACACATTTGTGGAAGGAATTGGTCCCAGAAGATGTAGGTATTATTATGTGGTTAATGAAATAAGTTCAAATGTGGTAGAGTTACAAGAAACAAATGTTCCAGAGTGTTTTTATTGTGATCAAGCTCCATATTTAGGACCCACTCTTGCATAGTTGAATTAAGTATTATGAACTTCATGTGTTACTTATATGCAAAAATTAAGTGGTTCTAGTAGGCAATGGTATAAGGCCAATTAGATACAGAGATCTAATTACAAAGTTACCAAAACATTAACATCTCTTAAAACTAGTTGAAATAATTTTGTGCCTTTTATTTAATTGCACCAACAATTAATTAACAATTACCTTGTCAATAGCAAGGTTTTATGTCTAGTGTAAATATAATATTTAAGTTACCTGTATATAAGATGGCTATTCTAGAGCTTATATTCTTCAAAATAGTAATGTAAAGGGAAAGGAATGAATGAAATGAAAATTGCATATACAGGGTTGGTTTACTTTAAGATTTCTGCAAATCGTCCAAAGATTCTTTATGACCTTGAGATAGTCAATTTTTATACCAATGGTTGTATCTTTTTAGGTATATTTTAAAATGTGATAGTATTCACAAACATTGTAAAATGTGTACATATTCTAAAATAAAGTATAAAAATTTTAAATTGACAAAAAATTACCATTTGTTGTTTCGCAATTCTTGAGATATTTATAAGATAAATATATTAATAGGATTACATAACATTCCTTAATTGGTATAATTTTTAAATTTAATCACAAAAGAACCAGTCATTTTATCTGATCTCTTGTAAAATTATGTATTTTTAAAGTATATAATGCTGATGATTTAAGAAATAATTAGTTATAAGACATCACTATTCTCTACTTGATGTGTTCTTGTTAAATAAATCTTATTTTTGTTGCAATATTTTTTAATATCTATTTTACATGCCAATATTTCTTAGTCTGTGTGATTTCAAATAAGAAACATATTGCATCTACTATTTTATGGTATTATAAAAAAAGTGGGTTGTAAGGAGCATTGAGTATATATCCTAATAGCACTGCCCTGTTAAAGGCTGTGTTAACGGAAGGGGCAGGGGAATAGAAAAACAAAATCTTAGTTAGAGATTTATTCATGTAATGGTAAATAATTAATTACAAAGGCACATAGATAAATCAGTTAACCTCACGCAAATATTTTAACAAACAAACATTTTCTGCAATGCTTTTCATAAAGTAATAAATTTTTATAAAACATTTCAAACATAAAATATTGCATGCAACTGAATTTTAGATTTTCTTAAAATAACTTATTTAAGTGTGATTTCTTTGAAAATGGTAGTAGCTTCTAATGTAGTGTCCAAGATCTAAAATTCAAAACTACTCGTAATAAAATTGTTTTATACATATACAGTATCCAAAGATAATCTACATGACATCCAAGATAAAGCTACATTTAAACATAAATAAAATTTTCTATCTCATATCTTTTATCAATGTTGGTTAAATTTTTCACGTATTTGCTATCAGTGGAGGCAGATAAGAGCTCAGATAAATTACAATACAAGACCTGTTCCTTAAAAAATTGTAATTTCTGTTCATATTTTCAATTATACATTCAATAATGTAACATAATTTGAAACCAGCTTTTATATTACATATTTTACCTGTTATACCAAACAAAATAATGTTTGTTAAAACAATACAAAATGTATATACATCAAATTTGGTTAGTTGCATTAAAATAATCAATAATTTTAAAATAAATTCGATTAAGTAAATTACTTTTATAATAATTATCATAACCAGTCTATTCTTTTGATTGATTCCTAAATAATGGTTGCTTTTAAAATTAAACATGAATAAGTTGGGGAGTTTAAATTGTATACTTTACAATATGTAAAGAAATTCTTTTTAACATGACCTAAAAAATCTTGGTTTAAAACAGATTTTAAAAACAAAATTAAATATCCTTTTTTTAATTTATAAGAAAACTAACTAGCAGAGATTTAAACCATGTTTGCTAACTACTGATGTTTTATAATTTAGTCCTTTGCGTAAAACAATAACAGCACTATTATTTATGCACCTCCAACTGACTGAAATATTACAACAAAAGAATAAGATCACTCATCTAACAATGGCACATTTTTTTACCAATGTCATACATAAATACCTCTACTAACAGCAAATTAAGTTATTTAAATCTCTGCTAAATGACATAAAAATCACTTTTGTAAAGTCTTTATAATTGCATGGGTTTCACAAATACTGATATAAATCTCCTTTTTATATGTTAATTGTGCAGAGAGCTTATAAGGTGAAAAATAATGACAATACTACAATCACAGTACATTATAAAATGTATTGGGCCCTAGCAATAGAATTTTAAATTCTGGCAGTTTTGTTTTAATAAAGCTAAGTAGCTCTTATTATGATACCAAAAAACTATTAATAGATTTTTATTCATGGAACTAATGCATTGCTCTGAATCACTAAATTATATAAGCTAGCAGCATTAAACATTTTATTAAGCATTTAATTACAAGTCCAACGATGAGCAATTTGATTGATTTACCTAACTGGCAAATTATTAAATTTTTTTCTTTGTGCAGAAAATCTCAATTTAACATTTGCCAAGAATTTCTTGCGACTAGTTAAATGTTGTACACTTAATCTCAATAGACTAGTATTCTAATCATTTTAGAGCTATACCGAATTATGCATCAAATAAGCTTCTAAAACTTAATCATGTGTTTGTCACTTTTAATGGTACTTTAATAACTATTACAATCATTCAGAAAAGATACAATAATGGATTAGACAAATAAGGGTGTTTCATTCGTTGATAACCCTACAGTTATTTTAAACAAAAAGGGTTGTTTCTTTCTCTTGTGACTTCAGTTGCTTATATTACCTTTCTATTGCTATTTATCTGTACCATTCCATGTAGAATTTATTGTTATGCTACCCTAAATGAACTATTATTTTATAAGTAAAATGTCATAACTTATCCTTCCTACCCTGGATAGAAAACTATAATACATACAGTCAAATGAAGTTGAAAAATAAAATATGGGTACATGGAATTAAAACATATAAGCAAATAATTTGTCAGAGATTAATAATTCCTCATAATATATTGGACATTAAATTATTCAGACAGTAAGTAACATTAAAATCCAATTCTTGTTTAATAGTACATGAATAAATGTATATAGTGTATAATTTTAAAAATATTCACATTTGTCTAGATTCAACAAAAGATTTGGTCCAGAATAAAACAATAGGATTTAACTTAAAGTTATTGGTGATTTTAGAGATAATAAAACAGAACATTATTAATTAGTTATTGTATTAAAGTCGTTATTAATTGCCCTGATTTTATCCGCGTTAATTCTTTGATAAATGGACTATCAAACACAAAAACATTCAATTCGAAGCAGTTCCTGAAATTAGCATGTTCAACAAATTCTTCAGCTATATATTATCAGTATAAATAGTTATTTATTTCAGTTAAATTAATGCTTATTTAAAGGCTTGAAAAACCACCACAATTGTGATAGTATACTATTCACAATAAAGATAAGCAAATTTGTACACTACTTAACATAATAGAACACAATTTTACGTCTTTTTTACCCTTAAGGGTTAAAATATATTCTTATTATAAACTAATTTTATTCTAACTTGTCCCCACTACAAATTATTTAGTTGTATGGTAAAATAAATTTATATTTTCTTATTCTGTGATGAGGTTCATTTCTAAAATAACCTGATATTAAGAATTTTCCACAGCAGGTTTCCCTGGAAACAATTTTTTTATTAATTGATGATTTTGTTACACCACTATTTGTATTGGTACGAAACTCAGCAATTTTAGGTTTAGTTAATTAGTTCGAATTATTGTTTAAGCTGCGTGAGGGCGTCAATATGGCAACATTTATGGTCTAATAATAATATCTAACAGTTAACTGTGAACTTGATGTGACAGTTTCAAAACGTCGAGTTAAGTGAATAATTTAGGTATACGTGTTTTGTCTTTATCACACTTTGAAGTTACAAAAGAGACAAAACATAAAAAAATGCTTTACCTTTATCGCAGTTCTTAAGCCGATACAGTCGGTCTATCCCCAACTCCACCTGCTAAGTCGTAAACTGCCTGAGATACTTCTGCTGCTAATTTATCTGCAGACTGTAAAAATAAATGAAATTACTATCTCAGAAGATTGAGTTTAATGTGACCGTAGGGTTTTTACGCGTTTGGCTTAATTTAATTTTTTATTATATTAATATACTGTCTACTATAACTTTGCCTATTTTGGAAATAGGTTTATATGTGGGTTTAAAAGTGTAAATAAATAATTATTTAGTTTTTATACAAACCTCTTGCGTATCAGCCTCGGCGTAAACCCGTACAATATCTTCAGTACCGGACGGACGTACGAACGCACGCCCGCAGGTATACGTAGATACCAACGCATCTACACGTTCCTGTAACGACTCCGGCGACGTACACTTTCGTTCCGCGTCCGTTGTTTTGATAGCATTGCGGTCCTGGAGTTAGATAAATAAATGTAAGAAATAGAAAAAGAGCAAATGTACGGTTGGGTCACGGGCGAAACGTTTAAATAAACCTTAATTATGTAATAATATGGCGAATTTATTCGTCATTTAGAATAAAAACTTGGCAATCAAAGAAGTGGGAACGTTTTAAATTTCCTACAGACATTCCTTTTAAATACTTATTATTTAGCATTGTGAAGACATTACTCACTAACTAACTATAAAACGCTACATGCTATGCACGACGTCGGAAACTTTGGAATACGGGGTAGATGAACTCAATATTAAAGTCGGCATCACTATTGGGAGTTACAGAGTACCGTTGCCGGATTTTTTTTTTCATAAGCGAAAAGTAATACTAACCTCAACTGTAACCTTTAGCTGTCTACAGGGTAGGTCATTATATGTCTCCATCCACTGTCTGACGTCATGTCCTCTGGCACACAGTACTGTTTCAACCAAGAAAAGATCAGAAATTGCATCTCCAACTGTCTCATTGGTCAAGTCGATGAAACTTAGTAATAATTGAGCTGCTTTTCTTTGTTCCGTGTCACTGAAATAATTGATTAACAAAATGAAAGGCCATTTCTGATAGGGAGTGAAGCGAGGATGAAAATCTATTGAATTTTTATGATCTAACTGTTCTAACCTCTAGTCTAAAAGTAGTATTTTCTTATCAGATCTAAATCAGTAGTTTAAATAAATGCAATTATTCAATCCTCGGTTACTTTTGACTTAAACTATAGAGTTGACACATAAATTATTCTTAGATACTTTGTCCTATAGGTATGTTATCTAAAGCTGGCGGCTTCAACACATTTACACTTTGTGCTTGTGTAGTGTCTGTGAATAAGCGCGATGCGTGACGTCACACTGAATATGCATCATGAAAAAACTGTCCGTCTCTCTCGCGCTCGGTCAAGCTTATGAGTATAAAAAAGACAGTTATTTTTGCTTTTGCTCATGTAGATCTTTTTTCTCATTATTATTTTGTCTGTGATTGTTTACTTATTTGGTTGGAGGTTAGAATACTTAGACAAAAAAATGTCTTATGAAATAATTGGTTCCGGCAAAACATTAACAGGACAATCTCGTGAAATAGTGTACAATGTTTTTAATTATTTTAAGCATCTTAATAAAAACAGTTTAATGAAAGAATTGTACGATTTGACATCAGATGCGACTGGTGTTTCTAAGAGGAGTATTGAAAGAATTGTTAGTGAAGTACAGAGTAGGCTAAATATAACTTGGCAAAAAAGTCATATTTTTAAACATACTGTATAGTGAAATTGCATTAGTGTGAGTACTGTGAACGCGCCACTTTTCGATAACCGACCTATACTCGCTTTTATAATGTATACTATACTCACCCCTCCTGAGCAACTTTAGCTATAGTATTTTTCGTGACATCACTATACACTACAGTCCCATGTCCATTGGCTTCAAAATAAACTCCTATGTCATAGGATAAAGCTGCGTGATGTAAATGTTTTACACCCGTCTTTACGCACGTTACTGGTACTTTCTGTAATACAAGTGTTCCAATTTAATGTTATTTAATTTGAAATATTAATACTGGGTAATCCTTTATGTAAGCAATTTTTTTGAGCAAATCATTTTAGGTTATGAAAAATATATTATGCAATAATAGCTGCAACTAGATATAGACAACGTACGAATTATGTATGGAGATACATGGCACCTTAGAAAAAAATTACATTTACACTCTAATAAAATAATAATTTTTCAAATCTTCAGTAAAGAATTTGAAATTGTATAAATAATGCAATATAAAGCCTTATTAGCTCTATATTACAATATTATTAAGGCTTATTTGTCACAATTTTTTTTACATTCAATGAATTTAAGCAAGCAACTTGAATGTAGACATATCCCCGTTTGGGGCTCGATAACTTTTGTAATAATATATACTGAATTAATATAATAAAAGAAATTCCTTACCAAGTCCTCGGTAATGTATTTGGTAGAGGCGCCATTCGCATACGCTGTTTGCACTAGGCCCAGTCGTAAGTCCGTCACATCGCACCCTTTAAGTAGTTCTGTTACGTAACTGGCTAATAATGTTGCTATGCGATCTCCATCTAATAGTTGCATATTGTTACTGAAAAAATATTATGTAGCCATGAGCAAATAGCAAAAGAATATGATTAATGAATTCTGAAATAATATTTTTTTTAAAAGAACAGAAAACTTGTGTATTCTATTATACACAAGTTTTACCAGTTATGATAAAGTGTCATTTGGAAGAAATAAACGAAGAAAAAGGTGAAAAAGTAAAAATAAAAGAAAGAAAAATGTAATGTTTTTAATATGAACGTAACATTTGATATATACAGATATGAGCATAGCATAACAACACATAATATATAGTAACAAATACAGAAACTGATTAGGGCTATTATTTGGTATAGCATATATATATATGTACCAAAATTATTTCATTATATATAATATTTTGGAATTTTGTAAAATGAGCCTTTGCGGCTTGGTATTAAGATGAATGTTACGCATAAAGGCAAGAGAACTTAAAATTTTGTTATTCCTACAGAGTAAGCCTGTATAAACTAAAAATGTGTCACTTACCTCTCATCAACATAATAATACACGATTCTGTCTCCATCTCCGTCCAAAGAGGCTACACGTTGGTAAGGAACGTGTTCAACGCCCACTGGCGGCTTCTGTGATACTTTCACAAAATCTGCACCACACTGAAATAATATTAAAACCTTAGTCCAAAATAATCGATCTTCTATTTATTTATTTATAGTCCGCTTAATTCTAAGCCTAATCTATGTTACGTCTTAAAAAACACTAAGGATGGGGATACTTAAAAACCATAGATTTTTTTTACTATTATAAAATAGATAATAAATGTCTAAAATCGATTTCTTAGCAGAAAGGCGCTGATAACGTTTGCATTCGAAACATCGAGGTATTCAAGTAATCTTATAGATTCGAGCTTATATACATTGAAGAATTTTATATTAAATTGTATAGAACTTGCGTAAAATTAAATTTTTTAGACACTCACATTTAAATTAAGTTTTCCGCCATTTCCGCCCAAATTGTAAAGGACTAAGTCGAGTTCACCGTCCAATGTCTTCTTAATTATATTTAATTTCTTCCCTCCAACACCATTTGCACCATCCACGTATAATGTGGTATTGTAATTACCACACACCGGTAACTTCTGGCGAATACTTTTGAATGCGCCTACGATTTTTTCGTAATAACCTGTAATTAAATAATAGTATGGTAAAAAATTATCTAGTATGCGTTGAATAAATATCGCTTTAAGCACGTTTTGTTTTCGTGAAAAGGGAATACTCGTACAGTGTTTAACGAGTATAGAGTTATTATTTAGTTAGTTTTAATATTAGATTTTTGCTAATCATAAAATAATAATCCAGTGGCGCTACAACCTTAAATGGATTTTGGCCTTAAATTGCATCCGTTTCATCGATTTTTTTTATTTTAAGAAAAATAAAATTGTGATTGGAACGCACAACTTCAGGATCGCTTAAGCACTAAGCCAACACTGATTTTTTATGCCCATATTTGTGTTGCTTGTTTGTTTTCAATACATTTAATTTTTTTATTATTTTTATGTTCTACGTATAATTGATGTACTTATATATATATGTGAAATTTCTAATTATATATTTTTTCGCATATTGTTTTACGACTTATAAATAAATAAAAGAAAAAAATGGTCTACCTAAATACTTCGTACTTTAGAGATAATGAACATACAGTATAGACTTTTATAAGTACGAAAAAATTACAAATTAAATATATATACGAAATTTACCTTCTTCCGTAGGCGTCCCATATGTATTATCATTACGACATTTTACACAAAAGTGTAAAATGGGGGTAGTCACAATACCAAACTCTTTAGCGGTCCCCTTCAAAGCCATTACACCGTGAACGGCCGCAGCAGCCAGACGTGGACTTGTGTATCTGAAAATCGCAAAATAACATTCATAACGTAACGAAAAATACTTAATAAACACAACTGTATAAAAGCCATATAGATATGAGTAGTTGAAAGAACCCACATAGCGTTGTTGCTACTGGATTAAATGTAATCTCAATTGCAATAGCATCAAGTTTTTTTTTTTCGTACTCATAATAACTAACTTAAACCATACATAATAAAAAACATTACACTAAAGCTATAGCCAAAGATGGAATACATACTATGTAATAAAAATAATACGAAACTTAGGTAGGAAAACATCAATAAGATACATTAACTGAGTATAACAGGGTTGTTTCTACTATATATAATACTAGTGGACCCCACAGACGTTGTCCTGCATGATATTTAAAGCGATTAGGATATTAAGCAAAGTATGAAAGTACCGACTGCAGTGCCATCTGCCGGGCTGATTTGTGAATCTAAACCATTCCCAGATCCCCTTGAACACACACAAAAAATTTCATCAAAATCGGTCCAGTCGTTTGAGAGAAGTTCAGTCACATACACACGCACACAAGAAATATATATATTAAGATATTATACACTATGAACTTTACTAACCTGGTGTCCATTCCAATGTAGACACTGGCTTTCAGTGCCATGTCGGCGTTGACTTGTTTGATGATTTGCTCAGTTGTTGATTCTAAGTCATTGTCACTGTAATATGTAATTTAGTCCATTATTTTTAAACTTCGGTTATGAATTTGGATACAGCGAAAATCTTATCGATTTATAAATTGATGAAATGCAAAAGCCTGAATAGATTTTTATGTAATTAGATATATGTCACATTATCAATATGACACAGAACACAATTTGTTAAACTTATTTATTTCATAATGTTGATTAAAACTTGCACATCGTCTCCATAAATAATATATTTATAATTATTTTTTTTACAATTGTAGTCTATGGATTAATCGTGCCCTGTGGCGTAGTGGTTCGATGTAGGAATACTATACTAAAAAGTATCTCCAAGCACTTTGTTGGCCTAGTGGCTTCAGCGTGTGACTCTTATCTCTGAGATCGCAGGTTCGATCCCCAGCTATGCACCAATGGACTTTCTTTCTATGTCCGCATTTAACATTCGCTCGAACGATGAAGGAAAACATCGTTAGGAAACCGACATGTGTTAGACCCAAAAAGTCGACGGCTGTGTCAGGCACAGGACGCAGATCACCTACTTGCCAAGTAGATTGAAAAATTATTATAAAACAGATTCAGAAATCTGAGACCCAGACCTAAAGAGGTTGTAGCGCAATTGTTTTTTTTTTTAATTTTTTATCAATTGTAGGGTGTCAATAAAGGCACTGCTAGCTAATATTCCTGTTGCGCCTATTACTATCGGAGTGACGTATGTGGAATACCCAAACGACACTCGTTTTTTATTATATTATAATAAAACGATTATTATTGAAACAATTAGAAGGAAACATATAATCGCTGGAAATCTCTGTCTACTAGTGGTTTTTTTATTAATAAATACCGGTCATATCAATTACTTATTAATTATAATCAAACTATTTTTAATAAATATTAAATTATCTGAATGAATCGATAATTCCGCAGAACATCTTAGAATCAATACAACCAACATTGAGTAACCTTCAACGCAGAGTGTAAATGTAGTTTACCTTGAGAGGTGAAATGTCAACGTTGAAACATATGATACTTTTTGGATTCTTAATAAAGCACTAAAATAAATACTTCCTTCAAAAACCTTAATAACGTTAACAAAATATATTAGCTATTAATATAATTAAAATCTAAAGATCGCCGCAAGTCTGCTTTAAACATAATGTCTAATTAACTAACGACAGATTTAAGGAATGATAAGGAAGTAAATATAGATTCTGCTATGATTCAATTGTTTAAATCTTAACTAAATTAATAACTTTTAAGTCACATTGCACTTTTGAGTCCAACTGCAGTAGAGTAATAAACGTTTATAATTTATCAAATTGTATGAAATATTGCTTAGTAAAAATCTTATTTCGTTCCGTGAGTATCATGCTGTCAATCTGCATTTTTACTTTCATAATAAAACAATTACCTGACATTAGCGAGCCTTGTAGCAATCTCTTCCCAACTTTCTTCGAGCATTTCACCATCAGGATCGATTAATTTGACGCCGTTGTCTGGTTCTAAGTTGTGTGAAGCCGTGATCATCATTCCGATCGTACGACCTGAAATAAAATTTATTTGTATAATTTAGGTAAAGTATACTTATAAATATACAGAGGCTGACATGAATTAAAAATAATAAAAAGAACAACGAAAAAAATATAAAAAACGTGTGTTTACTTATGTACACGCGTTAGGAGTTATACTTCTTTGGCGTAACAAGAAAAAAATCTTTTCAAAAAGGTTATACTACGTTTGTATAAAAACGACATTAACAATAGAAAAAACTATGGTGCCTTTTACGAATTGATACTCTCTAAATTTGTATGAAAACCTGTTCGGTATAGACATATTAAGTTATATAGGCGATAAGTAAGCCTAGATATAGGATGTGTAGCTAATACCCGTGCTCCGACACGAGAACATAAGCAATGATGTTCTTTATTTTTAGCTCTCTCCCCTGTTATTTCGCGTGAAATTCTTTGAAACATTTTAACGAGTTTAAATAAGGTTTTGAGCAATAATATTGTGGTACATACGAAATTATTAGAGCGTAGCAAGTAATAAATGATTTATTACCTAACTAAATTTAGTAAGGTCTTAAATTTTAGATTTAAATACTAAAATATTTAATTTATGCGAGTAGAAATTTAAATATAATGCAGCTTTTATATTTTAATAAAGATGACGGTTTTCAACGCATTAACAATCCCTCGTAATTTTGTGATCAATAAAAATATATATAATTTAAAATCTATAAAATATTTTTCGAGTATGTATTTCTAACAATTACATATTTAAAGTAAAAATATATTTTTTTTACATAATATAAAAAAACTACACAACTTTAACTAAAAAGCCTTTTAAAATCATTTGGTTAAGCTTCTTCATTAGACAACAAAACAATGTTGTAGGTTACATATTACTATATACTAGGTGATACTAAATATGTATTAGCCTCATTAATCGTAGCCATCAATGTAGTGGCGATAAACACAGTTAAGCATATAAAGAAATATAAATATTAATCACTCTTACTGATTACAAAGTAGAACCACGCCCGATTAGATCACAGATTGCAATTGATAGTTCGCTTTTAATATCGGTTATTTTTTTCATACTAAGTTCAGTACAAGATCATTGTGCCCATTTTAACCCTCTTTTGGCAGGTATTGTAAAGAGTTACAAAGCAATATCATGCTTTCATAATCATACAATGGTCACCTTACTACTTCATTTAATGTACAGTTATTAAGTATGTATTTTATTTCTATAGAAAAATTTGCGGGTAAAAATGTTTATAGAAAAGAAGCCAATTGGTGTGCAGTGGGTATAGGATCAAAATCATTTCGTTTCAAAACAACTTTTACGGTAAAAATGAAATATGTTGTTGCAATAGCCCAGATACAATGACAATTTTAACCTTGCGGTGACCTAAAAATATCGTATCAAATGGTAGTATTTCTAGGGATTCCTGTAACCGGATCAAGGGCTCGGAAGTAACCGTAGTAGGCTTTTAAGGTCGAGCATTAATTGTTGCTTATTAGGAGTTTTGAGAATGTATCGTGTTTGTCATCTACGTATATATAACAGATAATTGGCGCTGAAAACGATAATCGTAAGGGATGTTCTAGCTTATAAACTTTCAATGCTTATTCGATAAAATATTTTTTTCATATTTATACTAATAAGACTTACAATTGGCTCTAATGAACTGATTAGGTGAGAAAATCTCATTGGAATCTCAAAATATTTTTCTTAAAATTATTTGCAGTCATTTGGAACGCTATTAACTAAAATAACTTTAGCTTTCCCATAAATAAGAATCAGACTAGATTTTTTTTATGGATAGGCCGTTTTTATGTAGTTTACTGACAGTAATAAGTAAGCTTGCAATTAATACCAGCGTTTTTAAACCACCAATTCATTATTGGGAAAACCTTAAAAGTAGCAATAAACGTGGTTTAAGACGCAGCTTCTTGTCTGTGACCCATTAGTCCATTTACCCACTTCCGCCCTAGCGCTCTAAATCATGTTGGCTGAATGCACCATGCATTTTAAATGTACTGACATTTAAAATGCATGTTTCGCTATTATAAAACGTTTGCACAAATCTTTTCAAAAATAACGTCTACCTAAAATATGTTGCTAACTGTTCTATCAACAATAATTACAATGTTATTCTACACTTGAGAAAATCTAATATATAAAATTCTCGTGTCGCGGTGTTTGTAGTTAAACTCCTCCGAAACGGCTTGACCGATGCTCATGAAATTTTGTGTGCATATTGGGTATGTCTGAGAATCGGACAACATCTATTGTTCATCCCCCTAAATGTTAAGGGTAGTCCACCCCTAAATTTTTTATTTTATTTTTAGATAAAAATTTTTTTATTTTTTTATGATACAGCATTAAAAAATACATACAACCCCTAATTTTCACCCCTCTATGATCAACCCCTATTTTTTATTATAAATGATATACATGGCAAAACGAAACTTGCCAGGTTAGGTAGTTATTATACATGTTTTCAGCGAACTGCATCACTGAATTATTTATTACATAGCATATTTGATTTTAGTAAATTTTAAAACGGTTTACACCGTTAGCCAATAGCACTAAGTAAAAGATGGGCACAGAAAAATCTTACCTTAATACAAAAAATACGCAAACGTAGTTTTAAAGTCGTAAAAAAACGATAATTAAAAATACTTACCATTTTTACACCTCGATCGTAAAACGGCAAGTAGTCCCATGCGATAGACTACATGTTCAAGGAGACTGGCTCTGGAAGCATTTGAATAATTTAAAATTAAATTGTAGATGTATTGAACTCATTTTTATTCACCAAATTGTTTTTAATATTTAAATATGTAATATCTGTATGACATGGAACCCACACTTCAGGTGTTAAAGGTAATATTTTTAATTGACTTAGATATTTTTTCTAATTTAAATTTGGGTAGGATAATATAAAATTAAAGTATGGGAATCCTCTATTTCAATAGATTAATTTGCTTGTCTTAAGAGTTAGGTAAAAGTTGAATATGTAATAACATAAAATTATTATACTTTATTTAATTTTCAAGACCTATCTTCTTACTATGTAGTGTTCAACCTACATTAATACCTTTCAATCTACAAATAGCTGATTCACAGGTTCATTGCTATACTATAAAATAGTAAAAAATACCCATCATTTAAAATTTTGGCTGATAGCCAAATATCTAGCAGAATTCTAAAGCACTCTCATAGTAAATTTTTTTAGAAGACATGTTTATTTTATTATAATTGGGTAGTTGGAATTTTTATTGGAAAAAATTTCACAAAATCAATAGTTATCACATAAATATTATTATATTACCCTAAATAATGTACATAAGTTATAATGTAAGGTGTTAGAGAAATGTCCAGAATACTAAATACTAGATATAAATTAATAAAAATAAATAAAACAATATTTTATAGCTTCTATTTCTTTATACTAAAAAAATATTAAGTGATTTTATTTACTTAGGAAAATTGTGTGAATGCCAAACTGATATCATTTTAATCCAACTGTACCATTTCTAAACATAGTTTAAGTATTGGTTAGATAACAGTATGTATTTTGATTCAAACACAAAAGTCATTGACCAGCACAATTTAGAGACTTCCCGTTGCAAGATATTTATTGGTGACTCATTCGCTAGTATGCAATCGTAAAAGGACATAGGATCCTTTTACAATAATTTGCTTACGTGACATGTTCGTTACAATATGCTAACTGAAGTTAAAGATTATTTGACATAGTTTGGCAATTTAATGTGTCCTAAATGGAAAATAAGCTATGGACTTAATACTTCAATCAGAGAAAAAAGTAACTTACTTTGTGCGGAATCCGGCAGTACCGTATTGAATAAAAATATCGGTCGTTTTTGGGTGCATTTCTCTTGCGAACGCGTACACGACTCGTAAACTACTCGGCGGCATTCTCTTTATTCAAAATATTTTATAAGGCCGAGTATCAAACTTGAGCACAATCACTTCGAATCAACAAACGAAATTTCAAATTTCACAATCAACATTGCATTTTCACACAGCGATATGCCAGTGTCAACAGTCACTTAGTCGCAGACTACAGAACTCGAATAGTGTTATTCTACTGTAAAATCTGACATTACACCACAGGTAACGACTAATACTCTACAAAGTATGTCTTTAATATTTATAGCATCGAAAAAAAAATCCAGATTCCTTGAAAAACAGCTGACAGACAGACAATTGACAGAGAATAGACATTGAATGTACATTATTTTTATCATCTAATGACATTGACGGTTAATGCAGTGAATGTGAATTTCAATCACGGAATTTTACGAAAAATAGTTATGAATAATTTAAATGTCTTCAATGAATACTAAGGAAATATTGCTTTTAGTATACACATGTTTATTTTAAAAATTAATTTTATACAATTTTTATTTTTTACCTAGTAAATTATAAAATTATAGTTTATTGATAAGTGAAAAGGTGTTGTGCAACTTGCTTTTTCGAGTTCCAGACGTTCATAAGGTAAAACTTTGTTTTGTTAAAACTAAATAAAATAATTTAACATTGCATCAACATAATAATATATTCTTATAATATTTTTTTAAATTCATAAAGATTTTTAGTTCATAACTTTTAAAAGCTTTCTATAACTTACATAATTTACTTATAAATATTTTGAAATAGTAGGAGTCCTGCATAGTCCTAACTTAGCTTTCTCATTCATTTTCGTACATATTTAATACCATAATACACGACTTACGCATGGTTAGGTGCTAAAGTAACAATAACACACATTATAGTAACTTTCTACTGTGGACTATGAAGTTTAAGTGATAAGATATAAACAGGTTTTGTAATTGCTTATCTGTAGTCATTCTGTACTGATGGTCATCTAATAAATGTGGCTAATTAATTAATCAAATTTTTAATTAAATAAAGCAAACCCTTTCATATAAGAAGTATAATATACTGTACTGTATAATGTACTGTAAGGGAGAGAAACTAATATTAAAAAACATGTCCTTTATTCCACTAATAAAATAATATTTGGAGCTTTGAATTTAAAAAAAAAATGTTAAGATAATCAGTTCCAAGAATAACTTAGGGGCCGTTCAAGTATTACATACTAATACTTAGCTAGGTACTAATAGGTTTTATTGCCTACTACTAGTTAAAACTTCACAAAACTGTTTTCATTCCTAGTTTAATTACTCAAATATGAAAGATACATTTATAACATTGTGATCTCAATTGTTGTATTTACTTTGAATCTTCAAATAATTATATCATATGACACATTTGCTATTATATGAGGTTAGATTTTTTATATATAAATAAGTAATGTATAATAATAATGTAATAGTAAATTTGAATCCAATACTATTAAAAATGTCTTTATGAAATGGATGGTATACTTAATACATATTTAAACTTAACTTAACACAGTCTTGTATATATATAAGCTTTTCATAATGTATAAGTTTTTATTGTATATTTAATTTAAGACACTAATTGACCTTAATTTGGTTGGTCATGATGATACAAATTTATTACTTTGACAACATTTTTGCTATGTTACATAATATTAAAAATAATTTTGTCTATGTTTTAATTAGCATTTAGTCATTTTTTTTTAAATCATTTTTTGCCTAACTGGCTGTTTGTCTATATCTTGCTTTAATTTTTTTTTACATCTATTTATATATATATTTATATAATTTTTCCTATTGCATGTTTTAATCATAAAAGAGGGAGCTCCATGATGTATTAATCGTACTAAATCTTTGATGGTTTACTGAGATGGACGTGAATATAGCGACACAGATTCATTTTTCTGTAGACAGATACTCTTATTATGTATAGCTATAACGAATAGGGATCGCTATTCGCAATAGCCAGTCGAATTGTTGGCCTTAACCGCATCCGACGCGTTACTTTGCAAGGTTAAAGTTACTAACCTAACCTAAGTGAATTGGATATATCAGTATGTTTCTTCTTATTTTTACAGTAAACATATGTAATTATTATATAAACGCTGCGTTTCGATCAAGACATTAATCATGTTAGCTTAAGATGCTTTAAAGTTGGGGATTGCATATTCATTTTACAAATTAAAAAGTTTTTTCGTTTCTATACAGTTATCGACTATAAATGCATTCGCAAGGGCAAGGCAAATTACGTTATTATTATCGAACCTAGTGGTAACTGGGCTAGACTAAAAACAGGGGTTAGGTAATAACTTCCTTCCAGCAATAAACCGATTTTGCCAGTCGTGTGCAAATTATTATGAACTGTAGGTGTTGATTTGTAAATCACAAAATCACTACACATCGAATACCCATATACATCTGTTTGAGCCTTTCTAGTCTAGAAATTATTCTAGATATTGTTTAGGTAATACAGCATGTACATAAATAATACGTAGTCAGTATTATCCTAATAAACATGCTAGTCTAGCTAGCGCTCAAAACTTTACAACCAAGCTTAATTTTCCTGAAATTAAAGATAATGTCTATTATACTCTTGATATAAAAAATAAAAGAAGTCCTAAAAATCAGGCTTTAACCTTCACGTATCCAATTATCTAATTGATAGATTTACCTACACTACGTGCACAAAGACGCGTCTGGTGGTCGAGTATTACTTTCTTATTTATAGACCTATAATAATTTCACTCAACATAATAGTAGCTTAAGATAATTGTTTTATTATAAAACTTTGTAGAAGAGCCTCAAGCGCCTTAAGACAACTATTTTGTTCTCGACAACTCTTTACAGTTTAACGAATTTTAGATCGAGTCGTAAAGAATAGTTATACCTATATAATTGGATAGGTTTATTTATATATTTTTTTTCAATTTCTACAGTGTAAGTTACACTTTGAAATAGATGACAATTACGGTAGACATAATATTTCCAAAAAACATCTCTTACAAAAGAGAAGAAAAAACTTAACTTTAACTTAATTATTACTTATTTAAATATATTTATACGCCTATTACAGATTAATTTAGATATTTTTGCGTTTTAATTATATTTAGTAAAACGTGATCACGTTTTTTCTATTTAAATCCACTAAATTAAAACGCGGGATCTTCGAGCAATTCTTATTCATGATATTTCGGGCTAAGTAGGTACACACTACACATACATTGGTATAAAGTATAAACTAGGGACGCATCGATACGCTTTTTTGCCGATACGATACCGATGCCGATACACTTATAGGAATATCGTCGATACCGATACCATCTTTTTAGAGTTTATATGTAATATGTATTTTTGCCCTCCTTTTCATTTAATTATGTTCAATTTTTATATTGTAATGCAACAAAGTTTTAATAAATAAAAAGTGTTTAGCGAAATGAAATACATATATACATAAATAATAATGCTTTGTCCCCAAGTGAATGATAGAGACAACAAACTGAATAAAACACGGGGATTTCTCGGGTAATAATAGTCCGTGCCGTGGCTCGTTTGCAACAAACTAGATCATACAAAATGCGCGCTTACATTATTTTTTTAAAACGTGATATTTGAAAAGTATCGGTAAATCGGCAATGAAAATATCGCCGATGCCGATATATCGGCAAACGCAAAGTATCGTCGATATATCGGTATCGGCATCGGTATCGGATGCATCCCTAGTATAAACTAATGTTTCTTTTACAGTAAAAAATCCTACTTAAGCACACAGCATAACAAATACAAGTAAATGTCAAGGCGTTGAATAGATATTTAAAAACCAAATAAGAAGTTGATATTACAATGAGATCCTCGCGCGCGCAACTGTGAGATCAAAGTCTTATAATGCGATAACTTTTTGTATGTTATAAGTTATAACAGACTAGATAGTGTTTTTATTTTATCCAGAAATGCAACTCATATTTGTAATAATTAAATTTATTAAACTGTCCTAACTAAAGTACTTATTTCTCTTTTCATCATAGTGTTTATAAATAACTTGACCGAAAGAGATAAGAATTACTAATTTAGTAAGAAAGTCGAACGTGATAAATTGTTGTGCTTCTTTCTCAATTAAAAGACTTATACAATTTTTTTGTTAAAAACGGTTGAATATATTAACGAACACTTGTATGAATTGATAAATACTCCATTAATTTGTCAACAAGGAATGTGTTATTACGTCAAACGCTGCAAACACACGTTTTCTATTTCCTTAAGTTTAATATTATACTATTAACGTAAGTAAGCAGAAGTTTGTCTCGTGATAACAGTTCTTATAGTCCTTTGTTTGATTATATTATAAGGTGGCATTATTAACTTTGCATAGCGTTCTTTTATCATTACACGCAGTTTACGCATTACTCGTATTTTTAAAAAACGAAGGCGGAGATTATTGACAGCGGATATTTGAACTCCTTACATTTTTAACTTCCGGTAAGTTCAATTGTTGATTAACATAATATTGATTGTGTTTTGTTTTAATAAATTTATGTTCCAACCTCAGATCAGTATAACAAGTAAAATATCTATCACCTAAAGCGTAAAATTTACTAAATGAATTAACCGAGTTCGGATATTGAATAGAAGCGTTCTTGTCTTACTGTATAAAACCATTATCCTTATGAATTAATTGATTTTCTAATACACAGCAAAGCCCTTGAGTCGGGCTAATGGACAAACAAAATTACGGTGCCAATTGCTAACCTATTTTTAGTATTTTGTCGCGTGTCACTGACATTAAAGACTTGTTTAACTTTACTATTTTCTGTTAGTAAAATAAATCGATATTGTTAACGCATTCTATTATTATATTAGAGTAAAAATTAAGGTAATTCAAATTCAGATAGATCTTAGGCTAAAGCCAGCAGTCCGATATTTACTCACAATCTAGTCAATTGTCAAATGTTCCATATAAATGTGTTACAAGTACCTACGTCTGAAGGTACATAAAGAAGAATTTTATTCATGTATTTAATTAATGTATTGCAGTTTTATTGCTAATGTATGTATATGTTACATTGACATAAAAATTTATAACCTAGATTCCTCACGTAACATTACCTTTTTGGTACTATTAATGATTACAAATTTTTGTATTCATTGCAGATGTCTACTATGATTTTTAAAGCGGAAAATCCCCGGTGAAATGGTGTATGAAAAGATATAGTTATTAATGACTTTTTGTCGTAGTTTGGTCTATTTCAAAGCCTATGACAGTGTTACTCGAACGCGATATTACCTTTTTGACCGAATGGTTGCGTGGCGTATGTTTTTTGCCAGCACTAAATACTAATACTAAAATAAAATAAATTACATTCTTCATTATAATTAATTAAACTTAATTTCTCACTCTTTACTAGCTTTGAGGCATTAAAAGTTTATCAATGGAAATTGATGATTTTCAAATAACCAGTTAGATTTATTTAATATGTAATATATAAATCCAACGGTTCAGTTAATTATTTTTAATTAGATGTTATGTTAGATGCTAGTTAATCTAAAGGTCTTGCTAATTTAAGTATTTCTTCCAGCTTTGTTTCGATAGTATGACATTGATAAACGTCGCAATTTTAAATGTTAAGGAACTTTCCTTTTATCAATTACATATCAATCATTAATAAGGGTCGTGTAAGAGTGGATGAATTTGATTTATCATACATCTGAAATCAACGTTTAAAATACATTTAAGGAATAACCAATTAACTCAGTGAAGGATCCGGTTACAGTATTGTTACACCACGTCCAACCCAACTTCACGATTAGTTGTGGAGTTTGAATGTTTTCGGACTTTAATGCTGTCATCCCGTCAAAATCTACAGTCTCAGGTTGAGCTCTTGGCTAAGTGTCATGGCCAAGAAGAGATGCGCAACCGCAGGAATATGCTGTTTGTTCGTTGAGTTGCTGAGGAAACCAAAGAAGACACCGCTGCTGTTTTCACTAAAGTTATCACCGATCTCTTTAGCTTACAGTCGACTGGAAGCTATTTCACTGACAACTGTTAAGTAGTGCTAGCTTATTCGGTACATTCTTCACCCTACTGAATGTTCACCGTTCTAATTGCCTCTTAGGCCCATCCAAAAACGTTAATGTCTTCCACATCAATGATCAGAACACATTCACGCCTTTTTCATTTCTGAGACTTGACTTAAACCTAGCGTTCCTTTTACTTCCTTTCCCATTTCTAACTTTCATCTTCTACGGAATGACAGCCTGGGCAGAGTTGGGGGAGGTGTTGCTATTTATTTGAGGTTTTTAGTTCCAAATTCCTATTAATATCCTTAGCAACTCACCGCAGTCATGTTATTATATGCTCTTTTTTGTTAATTATTTATCTACTTCTTCTACCCTCTGTATGTGAACTAGAGATTGTTGACGATAAGGCCGCCCGTTGCCTAATAACTTATGTAACGGGCGTTTTTATATGTATGTTTTTGTATATGGTAACAAAGTGTAAACCAATAGATAAATAATAAAAGCTTTCCGAATGTTGATGTGTCAAACAATACTCATAGACAAAGTGTAAGCGCGACCTGGCTCGATCGAAATCAAAATCCTGATTTTGATTTGATTATATCAGTAGGTTGCATAGCAGACTAGAGAACTAAAGAAATAAATGTATGTTTATGCACTGAAGGAAACGGCATTTATTAACTAGTTGCGCTACAATGAACATTACTTAGCTTTAATTGCATTATTTTTTATTAATAATTAATAGGTCTGAGTATTACCTGTTATTCAATATAAAACATTCTTATGATATTACATATGTAATTACCGTAGCATAAAATCTGAATCTTGTACTAAGAGCGGGATATAACCAAAATCACTCGTCGTAGATTTGATTTGAACTAAGTATGTAGGATCAATACATATTAAGTATGTTTGAATTAAACACAATTAATATGTATTGATCCTTCACTATAATTTCAATGGTTGACCGTATTTAAAACACAATACAATATAAATTCCTCGATACAAAAAAATCACAAAGTCATCTCTAACATTTGTCTAATTTCGTTTTCATTCAATTATGGCGAGTGTTATGGAGTTAAAAATGATTGAATTAAAGCACATTGGTTTGGTCGAGAGCTGTTACTAGCGATTAAATATTGTATATTTTACGAGTTATTTAAATAAAAAGCATTTGGCGTTTACTAACTGACGATAGAGACTAGAGATAGACACGCTCTGGGCTCGACCAATCACAATTAAAGGAAGCACGCAACTGGCAAGGAAAGACGAAATCTTTCGTGTCTCATTCTATCCTGTACTATCGTTCTGAGCAAATTAATGGAGTATTTTTAGGTACAACCTGCGCAAAACAATGTATTGGTAGTTTCAATAATTATATACGTAAATATCTAAAACATTTTAAATGAGAAATAAGTGTTATTTTTAACAGTATATCTATGCAAAATAGTTTTTTTATTTTTATTGCGCCATAGGTATATGTATTTGCTAAAACGTGTGCATACGATTAAAATATTTTTTGTTGTGTTTTAAGTTAGAACCTGTTTTTAGATAGGTTGTTGCTGTCAGTGTCAAAATCGGAATTGTATTTATTTTATTTAATGAGAATTTGTTATGTACACCATAAGGCCTACGATAATGCAAAATGCAATGTGTTCGATAAAGTTATAGTAACACATGATTTTAGAAATTCTACTATAGTAGAATAGAGAGAAGATGTATCTTGGCTTTGACTTTGAGTAATATCAATAGAAGTGTTCTCTTTTGATCTTAGACTGACCTTAAATTAAATGTCAATTATAACTAATTGCTAGCTAATACTAGGATTTTTTGAACGCGCTAAAGCGAGGGTTACACAAGAATGAAAAACTTGTTTAAATTAGTATTCAGGTGTCAAATCGAATCATGTTTTTGGACTAAGTGATTGCGTGATCTGATTTTGAAAAATTAAAGTCGTTATTACGAAACATTTAATATTTTTATGTTTTGCGAATATTACTTTATTTATGTTAACTAAAATCAGTTTTATTATCGTAGACGAATGGTCATTAACTTAAAAATACAACAATTCGTTATCTGTTTTAATAAGTATTAAATAAACAATATCTTTGTCGGGAGAAATCTCATGATAACAAAGTTCAATTAATGTCATTACATTGACTATCACGACGAAAGTAAAGATACAATTAAAAAAAAATAGTATTTATTTCAAAGCTATAAGAAATAATTTAGCGGATCAAAAATCAAAATGTATGGGAAGCTTTTTAAGCTGTTAAATCGTTTAGTTTAAAGTGAATGTTTCAAATACCACATATTTCGTTACTGCACCAGCATACTGTCTTATATTTTCGTTGTATATTGTAACAGCAACAGCAAGTTTTCGTAGGAACGTAGGAGGCAAATATTCTAAAAGCATGACTGTTTCATCTTAATTAATTCAATTTTTATTGTACCTTATCAAATGACGTATACACTGAAACAATATCTCGTTATGTAGCTTGTTGGAATCTGGTTTTTATCTCAATGCAATTGAGTGTATTAGTGAGGGTTGGTAGCTGTTTCTGACATTCGCGGTTCGTTCGCGAATCAGTACATATGCTTGCAAATTAATTTAAGTGAATTAAATTTTAAAAAGTGAGTGAATGAGTATGTGATTTCAATGGACAGTTTCGATGTTCGATTTTTAAAATTGCTTGTTTGAAAACTTTACGTTAATATTTTTGATTTTATTATTGAATTAAATTTATATTATTTTTAATTTATATATTAAAAATAATAACTGGATATAAGCCGTTGCGATTTATTTAATAACTTACAATTTATTTAGTAAAATAAAAACCAAATTTTACTAAGGAAATTGAAAATTGAATCAAAACTAGTCAAAGTTTAATATAAAGATTATTTACAGTGTACTCAAGAATGTGTCCTCTTTGGCCGCTACACCTCATCATCCTGTATCTGCTGGCTTTAGGCCCATTATGGGTACTCTGCCAGTCAGTGCCGAACATCATAGCTTCTTTCCACCCAATGGAAATAAAGCTGAACATGGGAGAGGAAGCTTTTGTACAAGTTGTTGTAAACGGTTGGTTGCTGTTTAATAAACTAGCTAATCTTGTCGAGATGAATATACTAGAGCATAGCATATATTTTTATATACGAAATTTCGAATGGGCTCGCACGGCTGGACATATAAAAATATAAACTCTTTGGTATAAAATTTTGGTATCTGTATTGCCGAACACTTCTTGTTGTTTGGCCGGGTACATCGGTTTTAAAGATTTCATGAAAAATTAATTAAAAATTTGCCAGAAGTCACTTCACCCAAATTAATTTACACGAATATATAGACTACTTCAGACAATCAAATTTCATTTAATTCACTGAAGTCGACCTTAAAACGTAAATTTCCTTAGGTGCCTGTTTTTTCTGCAAAAGAGTTTATATACACTGAGATTATGTATTAACATTATAATGATGAAAATGATTTTTTAAATCGGTCCAAAAAACTGAGTTTATTCGTTAAAAACATGCAAACCATTCCTTTGTATAATATTAGTGTAGGGACACAACTAAACAAAAAACTTATTTATGTTTCGCCTAGTAAAACACTGCTCATCAATTAATGCCAGGAAGGATTGATATTCATACCATATCCGATGTGATCACAAACGATGATAATGCTTATTTGTTAGGGATTCCGGTGCTAGGTCTAGACTTAATACACTACAATTACATTTTATTAACTGTGTTCAAAGTGTAAAAATAATATGAACAAACATATTATTTCTTTTACATGTAAAGCAATTTGTAATGTCGAGCAATTGTCTATCAAACTGCCTCTTTGTAAAATAATAATTATAATAACATATAAACTGTGAAAAGACAGTGAAAGTTCTCTTTTCGTGCTCCAATTGGATAGTTCCAATATAATTTTTATTTTAAAGTTACGTAGGCCAAGATTCAGATTGAGTCAAAATATTATACGTTGTTCACATTCGGAAGCCATACTTCCGCCTGAATCTCGCCCTTAATAAGTATTAGATTACAATACAGAAGTTATATTATCTCCTTTTTCAGGTACGGGACTTCTACCAAACGATGAAATAATAGCAAAAGTAGATATAGAGCATATAGCGAGTGCTCAATGGAATTCGTCATATAAATTAGCTGACGACTATGTTGATGGTCAACTGTTTACAGCACCTTTGAAAGTACATGGGAACTTTTTAGGTAAGGATATTTTATACATATTATTACTAGCTGACCCGGCAAACGTTGTTTTGCCATGTATATTATTTCTAGGAAACAATTTTTAGTTCAATAAAACAGCGTACTAACTATATAATAAAAATAGGGGTTGAACGTAGAGGGGTGAAAATTAGGGGTTGTATGTATTTTTGTATGCTGTATCATAAATAAAAACTAAAAAATTGTCTAAAAAATAAAAATAAAAATTTAGGGATAAACAACCCTTATTTATCACTTAGGGGTATGAAAAATAGATAATTAGTAGCCGATTCTCAGACCTACTGAATATGCATATAAAATTTGATAAAAATCGGTCAGCCGTTTTGGCGGAGTATCGTAACATTGACACGAAAATTTTATATATAAGATAATTAAAAGCTTTATAATATATCTAGTAATCTAAAATGAGCTCCTCAGTTTGGCATACAACTGGGGTCAATTGCGACATGAGTGGTGGAGTGATCTTCATCTGTTTCATTGACATAAGCAATGTAGGTGATCAACCTTCTACGGACATAGGTCGTTGTAGGGACGGCACTGACACCGACTTTGAACGTCCCGATATTTACACTTTTTGTTACCTTATATGTAAATCGCGCTGATACAAAGAAACTATATGTGTGTATAGACGGGTTTAAAAGAGCGAAATCTGGCATAAAAATCGCACGCTTTTGTTAATTAATTTAAACATTTAAAAGCAATATTGAAATAAAACTACTTTAGCGGCTATAAACGCGAGGTTATTGCATTATTTGCATAAATCGACGTTACGAGTGCTTTTCAGCAATCGTGGTCAACGAAAGACTAATGAATTCGCCATTAAATTTTATATTTAGATCTATTAAAGAAGTTTATTTAAATGTTGTATGTTCTATGTTAATCTGATGATTACTTTAAATTAAAACTTTTAAAAAAATTACTTTAAACTAAAATATTTTATATAGTAGTGTAGATAGTGCATATGCACTATCAACACAAAATATTAAAGTAAACAAGTTTTAGGAATAAACTGACGTTATTTCCAAAAAGTTTACAGAAGTTGTTTACCAAGGGTTGGGTTGGGTTAAATTGGAAAACAATTATTTTTTTCAGAATAGGCAAACCAAAATAATGAACTTTGTCATGGGTTTCGAACCTAAAACTTCCAGTTTATTTTAAATTAAACTTACTTCACTACTGAAGAACAAAGTTGTTTCACCCATTACTTATCTCTTTTATTATTTCAAATGTAAAACTTACAGTGGATAATTTAATTAAATTCAACATATTGGGGTTGTGTTGTATAAATAATCTTATTTATAGAAATTGTGCCAAAATAACCTGTTTTGAAAATAACATTGCTATTTACAATACAGAAATTAAATTTGTATGGCCAAATTACAGGGCTATAAATTGAAGACGCCCTTTTACGGTATTCTTTATATCGGAAGACTATGTCATGGTCGAAGAACGTTTAACATAAATTATAATTGATATGAACATCATCATAAATATACTCACAATGAACTAAAAATAAATAGCCTTTGGTTTTTTCCGCACCGCTTGCAATTTTCTCTCGGCCCAGGAAGTATTGATGACCACACAGTCTCCTTTCCAAGGTTTCTCCCGGCTTGACCTAGAAGTTCGACCGTGCCCTCCATGCGTGTATCGTTGTACTCAGCCGACATTGTACAGCCCTACCCAATTCAAATTTAAATTACGAGCAGTAGCCTAAGAAACGCAAAGTTACAAAGCTCTTATAAAGTCTTTGGGTACAAGAAGACTACACTTTTAAAAATTGCAGGTGGTCAGGTACATAGACGTTTTATATACAATAAAGTAGAAATACAAAGGTGCTTAGTTGTCACAATTTTTATGGGGCCTCATCCCATTCCAGCCTAACACTTAATATGGTGTCAACCATATTTGCCTTTTTCGATATACCCGATTGGATAATCGGGGTAATTAAAATATTGTGTCTCAATAAAAGAGATAGCAGGAGTTAAGTTCGGTGGCCGTTGTTGTAGGGTTATGTATAGGTACGTATATGTTAAATGAAACACAAATGGTAGCAAAGATGAGAGACTTTGGAGGACGACTTGTCTCCGTCGGGGGTCGTGTACTAATGTTAAATACAATAATAATATAAACTTAATCTAATACTTATTTAGTACTCGAATATAGGCTATTTTTATTTTCATTTTTTATTATTTTATAGTTGAGAGGGCTATGTAAGTTAATAAAAGTTTATTAATAAGGCATTAAAACAAAAAAAACCTTGTTACGTTAAGCGTGTAGTAAACAATATGAAGGGCAGTAACGTTCCAATTAAAATTACTCAATAAATAAATATTATGATGATTAAATTAAGTTTTAATTAATATTTTCACATTTATAATTATTGACTTGATAAATATCCTTATATAGGATATATAAATAACAATATAAGGAAATATTAAGATTATGTTGTTTTTATAGTTTAAATATTAAAACTTTTAATTAAAAAGTAAGACCAGTTTATGTAAATTATAATGATGTTTTTTTTGCCACCACACAGTCGCCTATCTTAAGTAACGCTTATGTTTGCGATTTGTTTTTCTACACAGGACGAACGGATGTCGTCATTGAAGTGAAAAGACACAAGGAGGAGTTTGCAGCTAATGGGACGTTGCCAGTCATAGTTGTGCGACCATCCCGAGTCATAGACAAATTGTTCACGAGCAGTGTTGCTATATTTGTAAGTATTTTTTATTACTTTTGTATTTTGTTTTATAGAATATAAAATATAGTTTTATAGAATAGGGCGCAAATGGGCAGCTGCACATGGACACTCTCAATGCCAGAGAGCTCGCCAGTGCGTTGCCGGCCTTTTAAGAATTGGTACGCAATTCGGTAACAAATTCGCGGCTTAAATATCGGCGAATTTGTTTTAAATACTTCAGTGGGCAGCTGGTTTGACACAGTGGCAGTGCGCGGAAAAAACTGCCTTAAAAACGCTCAGTTGTGGAACGACGGACGTCGAGGTGATATGGGTGGAATTTCGTATTTTGCCTCGACGTCCGATGATGTAACTCAGCTGAGGTATTGCTGATTCCAATCACAGAAACTGTTAAAGCAAGACTGAACATTAAATTGTTAAATACGTTTTACAACCGAAACCAATAATCGTGCCATTGTAGTTCCCATGAATGATAATATTAGTCTATGGAATCTACTACTATAAAAATTCATTGTAAATACAGTCAAAATCTTTTATAACGACATCGAAGGGACTACTTACTCATATTTGGTCGTAAAAACCGATAGTCGTAACAGCCGATGACGTTGTTATTAAGTACCCAATACTTATTATTGCATGTGTGATTAATATACTCATGTATAAAAACAACATTTTATTTATTTTACATGAAAATTATACTAAAAAGACATAACGTACATATAAATATCATTTTTCTACATTAACAAAATCAAATTCTACTTTTTTACACGCTTTATATTAGCTTCACCTGTATGTATGTATGTATGTAACCGACTCCTTCGGACTCGATTTTGACCCACTTTAAACGGACAGAATTTATTCAAATTTTGCGCACCTGTCAAAGATCGATGACAATGCAATAATCCGAAAAAAAAAAAAAAAAATTTAACTAAAAAATAAAAAATAAATAATTGTTTAAAAAAACTAAAAAACACGCTTTTAAAGCACATCAAACTAAAAAGTGAAAAATAAAGCCTAAATTAGGAATTATTTTTCACTTTTTAGTTAGTAGTACTTTAAAAGCGTGTTTTTTAGTTTTTTTAAACTATTATTTATTTTTTCATACAATTTTCACTAAAGGAATTTGAAATTAAAATTAACCGTATTCGAGCAAGTAAATCTCAGAAAGATCAAAATACCACTCAGTGTATTTTAAATACATCTGCATACTCTTAACTATTCAGGAAATTGTCGTCGTTCTATAACAATACCACCTACTTAACGCATGTAACAAAAAAGTGTCTGCATATTTCATTTTTTATTTGGTTTTTTTCGTCGTATCACAAGTATTTGAAACGTGCAATGCGTACGGAACATTGTTAAAGGTCAAGGAAATCAATTATAATTTGCACACATGTAATTCTAATTAATCTTATTAATACGAAAGTGTTATGTTTGTAAAATATGAACCGATTCTTTGGTTTACACATTTAAATTAAACTTGTAACTTTTAATAATGATTTGTAGAACTCGAAATGTCAATCGAAATGTGATTGTTTTTTGTTTAACAAGGCCACTTTGCGTGACTTGCAAAAATGAGACAAGTGTCAGTGTGAACAAATAATAATAATATTGGCGATTATTTATAATCTTAAACGTATACGTAATAGTACTTTAACAGTTCCTCGTGATAATACTGCTAGCAATGTTAATAGTTTTGTATATTGATAAGTAGAGGCAATTAATCAAGATCTATTATTAGATTCCCTATTATTATTAATGGGGACTTCCCTTACTTATTATTAATTAATAATATATGTTTTTACAACCTTAATTTTTTAAAGCTGTTTAAACCTTAATGTATATATGATATTATTTTATGAATTCTTTTTATTTACGGTCTATTTATATCCGTTATCCTTAATTCTTAATTCCTTTGAAACGATTTCAGAACCTTAACCAGCACTCATTGAATAGTGTCATGTTTAGAACCATTCTGGCTGGAATTTTTCCTTAGTAAACAATAATTATGTTGTTAATAAGTGTTATTAAATATAACTACAAAGTATTCAATGATTTACATAGTCATATAAATATATATCTATGCAAACCCAACTGGGTTGCCTAGGCGCATTCGATTAATACAATATTCGCTTGGAATACTTGAATTGTCATAAACAAATTCGCTTTAATATCTCACTCATTTTAAAATCGAATTTAAATATGTTCTGTGTTATATAATTCCACATCAATATTGGTTACGTTAAGAAGACATTGTTGACTATGGAACAGCTATAAAAATGCTGATTAAGAATGATAAGCGGAATTAAAAACTAAATGACAATAACAGCATTCACATATTATGTAACAGTATGGGTCAATGTTTGACGATAGAAATTGGAGGATTGAATATTTATGATTTTTTTACATATTATTAATGTAAGTTTCAAGAATTAATTAATAACTGCTAAGGCATAGAATGGGCAACAATGTAGGAATGAGTAAGAACATACAAACTTACAATAGTTCTATGTTAATTTGAGATAAGACGTGATAATAATGTGAATGGGTGCGTATAAATACACTCTGTATTTTGTGTGGCTGTTGTTATAAGCGTGCGTTGTGTCTGTGTTAGTTTTTGGAACCTCAGATTCATGCCAAAATATGTATGTAGTAAGGCCTCTGTAGAATCGAAGTCCAATTCGGCTAGCATAGTTTTTATGCGTTTTGTGAATTTATATCTGGATAGTTTGACGGCGGTTTTATTTAAAGTAATTGTATATAAAACTTTGGTTCTACCATTTTGGGTGTAAGCCTTGATGTTAAAGTTGCTAAAGTTGCTTGAGCTTAAAGCTCTTAGTAATAACTCCAGATTACAGCTATAAACATTTTCAGGTGTCGTTAATATTTATAAACTTCGGCTGCGCTATGCATTGGCCGACTGTCAAGGAGGTGCTTATAAAACCAGTCGGGCCTATCATTGGAATGTGCGGCCAGTTCCTGTTCATGCCACTTGTATGTATATCTATTTTTTATCACTAAGGCTACAAAAGTTGTTTGATTAATAATCCTCAGTTTCTCAACCCCTCGACACCACTAGCAATTGCCCGGGAACACGGTAACAGCGTAGGCTTGTCCGCGTCCCGCCAGAAGGTTTGAGTCCCGGGAAAACAAATGACAACTGACCAATTAAAAATAAATTGTTTGTACACCTTTGAAATTTGTCTACACATAAGTGTAACAAAACCAAATCATGTCGCGGAAACAAGCACGTCACATTGAGAAATAGAACGATCATATATCAATATAATTACATATTTCTTATAGTGCAATCTCCTTTCGAACGTTAGCGATCACCCTGGCTAATTTTATTAAATAATAATAAATATAATTAAGCAATATAATAGACGCACATTTCTTTAGATAATCTATAGATAATCTAAAGAAATGTGTATCGTCTGTCAATTACATTTTTTTTTCAAAACTATAATACGTGTACAATCCAAAGTATATATTCCTTTATTTCAGTTATCCTTCGGCCTAAGTTATGTGATATTCCCAAATTCAGCAGCTATGCGCCTGGGCATGTTTTGTACGGGGGTGTCACCCGCAGGTGGCGCCTCAAATATATGGACGTTTATATTGGGCGGAAATCTTAATCTATCACTCGCAATGACTTCTATTTGTACTTTGGCGTCATTTGGTAAGTTTTAATAATTCAACAACTGTGGTGGTTAAAATGAGCTTTTAAAAAAAATATCAAAAAAAAATTTATGTGTCTGAGATCTTATATAACGATTTTCTCTGTTTCTTTCTTCTCATCGGCCAAACTGTAAATAAGTTATAATTTTTATGATAATTTTTACAAGTGGATTCGTAGACATTATTTATATATGCATCTATATCCTTAGGTTAGACTTTACTTATTAGTCTTTAGTTAGGCTAGATTGTTATGTTCCTTGATGTCTTAGTAAAGACACATGTAAAAAAAAACAGAGATTTTATTTTATAAAAATCCTATATAAAATTTATTTTATTGAATCAGTTATGGGAAGCTGTATAGAGTAGAAAGTTGTTTTAATACTTCGTTACTGAGTGAATAACTTACATTCTATTGTTAGGGTTGGCAATACTTATAAATTAATTGTACGTATACTATTTCAATGACGAACAAATGTGGTAATACACAAAATATTTATCTGGTGAAAAATATAGTTGACAACCCTGGTGAACGCAACCGGTGCCTGTTTCATGTTTAATTGAGCAGAAATTACGTTTCTTGAAACTACACTAGTCGCTCCTTAGTTATCGATATCTTAATATTTTTGCGGATTCTTCCCTCTTTCATTCAAAGAAAAACCACCTCTATTAAAATGTATCAAAAATCAAATAATTTTACAAACTCACTTTCGGATATTAGGTACTAGATTTATTTTTTAAATATATTCCTCATCAAATTCCTGAATTACATCTTACATCATTTAGCCAATATTATTAGGTCCTTACATATGAAATTGGCGTATTTCGTACTGGCCACTTTAATCACGATGTTCTCCTCTTTGGTAAGGAATTCCAAATTCAAATTTGTACAGCTATTTACTCATGTATTTGTGCTTCGACGACCGTCATTCATTTGTTTTTTTCTGTTTGCGTCATCATTTTACAAAATGGAAAACTTAAAGTATCGCATTATTTACGAGTACGAGTTCCGCCGTGGCACTAGTGCTGCGGAAACGACTCGAAGGGTGAATCATGTGTATGGCGGTCATGTTGCCAAATAAAACACAGTTCGTTTTTGGTTCCAACGTTTTCGTTCTGGAAATTTCGACCTGCAGACCAAGCCCCGTGGACGGCCTGAGACCCAAGTTGATAATGAAGTATTGAAGGCTATTATGGAAGCGGATCCATCGCAAACCACGTCCGAGTTAGGTGCAGGCTGCGGTGTTAGAGATAAAACTGTTTTAATTCACTTGAAGCAAATTGGGAAGATTAAAAAGCTTGAAAGATGGGTACCTCACGAATTGACTGAAGCAAACCGGCAAACGCGCGTCGACTGCTGCGTTTCATTACTGAACCGGCACAATAATGAAGGTATTTTAAACCGAATCATTACCTGTGATGAAAAATGGATTCTTTACGATAATCGGAAGCGCTCAGCGCAATGGTTGGATCCTGGCCAGCCAGCCAAATCCTGCCCCAAGCGAAAAGTAACTCCAAAAAAGTTACTTGTAAGCGTTTGGTGGACTAGTGCCGGTATTGTTCATTGCAGTTTTGTCAAATCTGGCCAGACTATTACGGCTGATGTCTATTGTCAGCAATTGCAAACCATGATGGAAAAGCTAGCGGCTAAACAACCTAGGCTGGTCAATCGCTCCACGCCACTGCTACTTCACGACAACGCTAGACCACACACTGGACAACAGACGGCTACCAAATTAGAAGAGCTTCAATTGGAATGTCTAAGATATCCTCCGTACTTCCCGGACCTTGCTCCAACAGATTACCATTTTTTTCGAAATTTGGACAACTTCTTGCAAGGGAAAAAATTTAACTCTGATGGGGCAGTCCAAATCGCCTTCACAGATTTTATTGATTCCCGTCCGACTGTTTTTTTTAGTATAGGGATCAATGAACTACCTATGAGATGGCAAAAGTGCATAGAAAACAATGGTTCATACTTTGATTAATTAAATATATTATATTTAAAAATATTCGACTTTTTTTTTCCTTCCATACAAAACGCCAATTTCATATGTAAGGACCTAATATTAAGATTGTTTCGTTATTGCTATGAATTTATGAATTAGGCTATCGTCTTTATTCATAATAATAATAATTTCTTTACATATAAATGTATAATAATTAATACATTATATAAACCTTTTTTAAAAAAGGGTGCTGGTACTTATGTACGCGCGTAAGAAGTTATACTTCTTTGGCTTTATTAAAAATATAATTTTTGATTGAATGCAAATAATTAATTACAATTAAATAATCAAAGACTGGAAAAGGAGTCATTATAGTCAATAAAGTTCAGTTTACATTTGAAAAATTAAAATAAGTAAATATTTATTATTATTCGAATGTTGTTTTTAAATTATGTCCAATGCCGTAGCATCTTCCGTGGGCAACTTCAGTCTGTTAATTTTGTGTCACGGTGCGCGAGCATCGTAAAATTTCACTCTCATCAATTTTTCATAACGCGCCTAAAGAAGTATAACTTCAAAAATACATTAAAATCAAAATTCTTCTTACAGCATTTATGCCAGCGTGGCTCTTTTCCCTCGGCCAAGTGGTATTTGGTAACGCAAACATCGTGGTGCCATACAAGCACATCGCATACTTTGTCGTATGCCTCATTGTACCATTGTCGATAGGGCTGGCAATGCAGCGGTTCACGCCTAGAATAGCAGCGTTCATGGTGCGGATTTTAAAGGGTTTTTCGACAACCTTACTTCTGTTTGTAATCGTCTTTGCGATTATTACAAATCTATATATATTCGAGCTGTTCACATGGCAGGTTGGTAGTCTTTTTAATTATTTTAAGTTACAAATACAATTTTTGACATATTCCGTGTTTGAATGTAGAACTTCCGTTTTTAAAAAATAAAATAAAAATCATTTAATTCAGACCATTAAAAAGTTTTAAATTTCTTTATATTTTTTTCTAGATAATAGTAGCCGGCATGGGTATACCATGGCTCGGTTACGTGGCGGGGTATTTAGTGGCTATCGCATGCAAACAGCCGCACCCAGATGCGTTAGCCATATCAATAGAAACCGGTATTCAGAATACCGGTATTGCGATATTCCTCCTGCGGTATGCGTTACCGCAACCAGAGGCAGATCTTACAACAGGTAAGTTTTTAATACACATAATATGTTTTACTTGTTTTTTTCACGAAACGATAGACAATTTTTATTGCGAAGGCGCGATCCGCAGTGGAATTTATATGGTCACGTGATCATGCGTCATACAATCGTACACTGACATTTCGGGTCAAAATTATACTATTGTAACAAACCTGAAGTGTTAAGGTGAAGTACTCAAATTCTAGAAAAAAATCTTACAGGCCATCTTCAGGTAGGGTAGGGTAAACAATTTTTTTAATATCCTGTCGTTATCGTAAATCTATCTCTCCTGTCGGTAGCTTATGTCTGAGGGTCGTGGTTAGCAAGAAAACGTTTTATTATAAATAAAATAAAATATGTTTATGATGGAACATTAGATACAGGTATCACTTATTCCACGTCATTAAATTTGAATTTGTAGGCATCCCTACTCATCGGCAAAGAAGACAGGAATCAATATAGGAAATGTATTACTATAAATACACCCAAAAAGGACTATGAGACAGAATAATTTTAATTATTGTTCTTAAATTAAAAAGCCAAGGTTTGATCTACCAAAACTACATAAAGAAATCAACTTTTTAAATTTTTTGTACTTCGCTTCGAAAACTATGCATGTTCGAAAAAATATTTTTTGAAAAACTGAAGGTCAACTAGAACCACAAAAGGATATCTTTGAGACAATTATGTTCACTAATTATGCTATAAAAACGTGTTATTTTGTGGCGAGTGGATTAAGTGACTAAAAATTTTATTTTTTAATTTAGATTTGTGTCTGCCTGCGTATTTGTGCTTGCCTAACTAAGTAATGAATGAATACTGGATATCACAATTCTTGAAGTGCATTCAGTTTATTTGACTGATACCCGTGTTTCATTCCTACCTCTTTGGACATAGAACGGTCTACTATAAAGCCGACCAATCAGGGACAGCCTTCGGACAGTTAACAATTTGTCAATTTTAAGATTGTATTTTGACGGTTTCACTTCGATAGATTACAATCTACCGAATAATAATACGTTAAATTGTAAGCAGTACGTTGAGTTCACAATCTTTCGACAGTTCATAATCTCGCGAGATATATTACAATCTAACGGTGTTTACAATTTTACGGTGACATATATATAGCAATTAACTATATGAATACTATTTAAAGACGTACGGACTAGGATTCAGCTTCCGTTACAAATCCATAGACCTAAAAATGTATCCTGGATGCTGATTTTGAAATTATTTTCGTTATCAGAAACTTGTTTTCAAGAGCTGTATTGACCTAGCATCTTGAGCGTGCGCTATCTATGAACTTTCCTTAATATATACGCAATTAACACTCGCTAGTACGTACGGGAAACATCGTGAGGCAACCGGCACATCTTCATCAACTAAATCTACGTGTGTCAGGGACAATATACTGATTAAGAAAGCCTTTTAATAAATATAAATGCAGAATCTGAGAGCGTAGTGTGATGTCGTAGTTGTAGCGTCACTGCTTTTTATGAGAAAGTGCTCCGTACGTAATAGTTATATAATTTGATTGTTTTTTAATTTTCAGTCGTTCCTGTATCGGTCGCTATAATGACGCCGATACCTATGACCATGATCTACATCTACCAGAAAATAAGGGGATGGTATGTATATTTGTGGCTGTTTCACCCAAATTCACAAGTAATGTCCCCTATTATATAAAAAAAAATTGTATGAAAATGTATCTTAAAGGGAACAAATCGTAATTTAATCATATTAAATGAGTTTAATTTAGTTCTTTTATTTATTTTTGAAGTTATTTTGTAATGTTTTTCTTGTGTGTTAACGTTTTTCACTTAATAATACGGGTTTTTATAAGCTCTTTAATCCTTGAAATAAATTAATATAATGGATTGACATGTCAATGAGTTGTTTTCGAAGTTATAATAGTAATTTTTATGCTATTGGGACATTTTTTGCTGCATTGTGTTTGCATTTGTGTTGAATTTTATTTTAATATAACGTTTTTTTAAGTATATAGACTAAAATTCGTGTGTTTTTATTTTCCACATGTCATCCACATTTGCGATGTTCGATAGTTTGGGAGGTACGAGTACGTATACAAACATAAAGAATGGTGGCGGGGCTTTGTGACCTATTAATCTTTTTCTAAAAGTTATCGTAAAATATTCCAGTAATACAAAAGAAATAATGTTTAATCTATGAAAATAGAATTTTTTAAATAAATAAATTTTAGAAAAAGATAAATAATGTTTGTTAAAATAGTAATAAAATGGTTTTGCGAAACATGCATGGGCCATTGGTTTTTGTATATATAAGATTTAAGTATAATTAGTTGATGTTTCGTAAGTATTCAACTATTCTAGTTGATAGGTTCGCAACTGGAATATATATTTAAATTATATCTACTTAGTCTTGCCATAAATACACCAAACCATCACTGAAGTTGGAAAATGCCCACGTTGCACTCTGTCGATTAATTGGGAAGCTTTTTAATATCGCAAACTATTGTACAATGTATTGGCGCCAAAATGAGAATCAATGAACGATCACATAAAAATGACAGATTCCAAATTCAAATAAAAATAGTAATATTTTGTTAATTTTCAATTGTAACAGTATTTATGGCTAGACTAAGTATATAACCTCATACAAAATGGATTAAATAAAAAAACTTCTCATAGTTTAATATCGTTTTACTTAAAATAACTATTTTGTTACACAAATATTTTCATTAAAATAAACCAGTTTAAAATAATATTGTATACATTGTTATTCAAATTTTTTTCAACTTATCTTTATCTCAATTCATAAAATTAAAGCATTAATAAAATTTGCATATAAAACTAATTAAAGATTTGCATATTAACGTTTTTCAATAAAAAATAAGACGTAACAAAATATTGAAAGGTATGGAGGGCGGTACTGAGAGTCTTTGATAAATATTTTTGAAGTTATACTTCTTTAGGCGCGTTATGAAAAATTGATGAGAGTGAAATTTTACGATGCGCGCGCACCGTGACACAAACTTAACAGAATGAAGTTGCCCACGGAAGATGCTACGGCATTGGACATAATTTAAAAACAACATTCGAATAATAATAGAATTTATGTTACACTTAATGTAAGAGAATAATAATAAATATCTATTTATTTAATTTTTCAAATGTAAACAGAACTCTATTGACTATAATGACTCCTTTTCCAGTCTTTGATTATTTAATTGTAATTAATTATTTGCATGCAATCAAAATCTATTTTTAATAATGCCAAAGAAGTATAACTTCTTACGCGCGTACATAAGTACACGCACCCTTTTTTTTTTAAGTATATGTTAATGCATGGAATAAATTAATAAGGGTGGAAGGTCATTGAAGAAGCGGTTAACGAGATAAAACACTACTTCATAGGTCTTTATCTTAAGCTTGTGAGGGGTTTTTGTCTGTAACTGATACAATTGAGAGTTAGTTAATAACTTGAATGTTTTGTGAGAACTTAACTGTGACGTCGCATATTAATTAAATTTTTTATCTGTGAATTATAAGACATTTTTTAATGTTAATTGCATGAAGTCTTGATTCAATGCATGAATAATAAAACTAGCCCTAAAGATTTAGAAAACTTTAGAAATATGTTTTGGTTAATTTACTTATTTTAATTTCCAGCTACCGACGAAGAAATGAGCACAAGAAAATGCTCGAAGACTCGCCAACATCAGACAGAGAAAGCGCCGGCATCGATGGAGCCACTTATGACGCAAAATAAAGAGGCCTAATATAGCTCATATAAGACCTCTTTACGGAGAGAAAATGTTAAGTAGAAAAACATTGAACACTCTTAAAAGTAATTTTTAAAAATAAACGCGGTGATTGGCCAGAGCGTCTCGAACGACACGATCAGTCGCTTCGATTTTCAAATACGAACGCCTGCATTCTATATTAATTTTTTTTTGATCCCTAGTATTTACTTTTACAACACGAAAAATCAAAATGAATAGTCAATATTGACTTTTCGTAAACTTAGAGCTTACATACAATTACAGCATTGTATTGATGTTAATTCGAAGGTATTCTTGCTTAGGCCCCTGCCCTTCTGAATATTAAACACGGCATTATGTATAGCGAAATAAGTACCGTTTTATATAGATTCGATTTACAAAGAAATATTTTTTGATTCTCACATTTTCTCTCAAACAGAATTATACGAATAGTAACTTTATACCAGTTTTATTACGCATTTTATAATAAGAAAATCTTTTTTATACGTTTACAAGTATTGTCTCCGCAAACATATCTTGTTAAAAAGTGATTTCGTCGAATACTTCATTGTCATATTTAAGCGCTTTTAATATATTAATTAACTGCAGGAAGAGATTTGGTCGTCATCATCATGAATATTTTTTTATAATTTTTATCGTTTATTTCCCTTAACTCCACTATTAATTAGTTTAAAATTGTTTATTATTTCCATTACAAAATTAAATAGACAATAATATAAATAATTATTATAAGCTGCGTGTTTTCGTTGATTATATTTTTTAAAACCAGTTATATAACTGTTATAAATGCTTCAGTTAATGTTAAAATTTTATTAAAGAAATTGTCGAATAATGAAAATGTCGAAACTATAGCGACCATTGTTAAATAATAACAATAGTGGCTATATTTTCGACATTGATTTTCTTATACATTTATTGTTATTTATCTAGCCCGATAGACGTTATTTTCTGCTCAATATACAAAAAATATGAATTAGATTAGAAAAATCGTGCTTGTTAAGTTTTTATTGGGTCATATGGTAATTTTATATATCTAATGGTTTTTACCATCTAAGATAGTTCCTTTTCGAATATGTTGGTACTGTTTTTTTTTCTTAGTAAAATACTAAAAAACCTTAACAAGCACATTAAATGAATTTTAGGACAATAGGAATGAAGGCCTTCATATGTTTTGGCTCTAATTGTCAATTAAAGATTAATTACCTTTAGTCCAAAGTTTACAGATTTTTGTTTAAAGACCCGAATTAGAGTAAAATATTGTGTATGAACGTCGGTCTTAGTTATTTTGAATTTGGAATTAAATTCAAAATTTGTTTTTGTTGTACGAAATTTTAAAAATGGAATTGTTTTTGTTTTAATGAGTTTGGGTAGCTATCTAAACTCTTTTGGAAGTTTGTTACCTTTCTCTTGATATTCCTTACAAATGAAAAGAGAAAGCAATATTCTAAGAATATTATAGTTTTATTATGATGATTCACCTATATCTTTAACGAGTATTAAACTTGCTAACATTTAATTATTTCAATAATTTTCATTTATTATAGAGATCTCAGTTTGTTGCTTATGAAGAATGATATCGAAAAGTGATAGTACGATTATATTTTAACCATTCCTAAATCTAACGTATGGACTGATTTTACATAAGGCCAATGTTTACCGTTTTTATAATAGTTATGTCATAAATATATTTAAAAACTGGCTGTTAAAAACACAGTCAATATTGGCTTTAAACATTTTGACATATAATGATACCAATTCTTCAATGTATGTAATGGTCACATGACTCGTTTTAGGTGAAACAGATGTGAAAAGATTGTTTTGTGGTTGTTATGAGATCAGTATTTAAGTTATCATGTATTTGAAGAGATATACATTTGAGATGCATACTGGTGTTTTATTTATTAAATTTATTTAAGCAACAGCTTATTGGTAATATATATCTTAATATATATAAATTACGCGTCACGTTGTTAGTCTGGACTCCTAAATTACTTAACCAATTTCAAATTTGCACACCGTGTGCAGTTTGATCTATCTTAAAAGATAGGATAGCTTACATATATATATAATTCTACTGTACGTGTGTATGTCCCTGAACTCCTCTTAAATGGCTGGACAATTTGAGTTATTTTTTTTGTATGCGTTTGGGTGGAGCTCTGTATGGTTTAGGTTCACAAATCAGCCCGGCAGATAGAGCTACAATCGGTACTTTTGTACATTGTTTAATATCCTGCAGGACAACGTCTGTCGGAGCCGCTAGTACATATTTTATAAAATTCTTGTACGAAATATTGGTGCCTTTGTTATGATCTTCTGTTTCCTTCTGAAAACTCCAATAAACAACACCCCTGTTGCTAAAACATCCTGTTCAAAGTAATTGAGTGTGAGCTGTATATGAATCAAAAATATAATGTTGAATAGGGTCTGGGTTTTTAGGATAAATTAATGAGTCCGAAAGCTATGCAGTTGGGTAAGGAATATGACAATTTAAAAGGAATTTAAAGTTATAAACTAACAATAATTTTGACACTAACACTTAGTGGCAAGAGAATATTCTTAATGTTTCAACATGGTTTAGGTAGTAATCATATTGACTGCCCCGAACTGCTTAAAATATTAACTTAAATCGTCTTACTATAATATACTTACACGTATTTTAAATCTATATAATAGGTACGCGAGCCTCAACTTATTCCATATTATCTCTAAACGCGACTTTTAGAAGATAATCAAGTCGAATGGATTTTTAAGATCACATAAAAACTCACACATACAGACACTCACACCCCCATACATTACACAACAATTAAATTATGATAAGTAGAATTTACTGTGAAATCCGTTTTGGGTATGTTTTTTAATTTGATAATTTATAATTATCAATAAACTGTTAAATTAATGTAAAAAGGCTACAACCCTAAGTAGGCCTTTGCTCAGATTGCATCAGTTTGTTCGATATTTTTTTTAAAGACCAGGTGACCAGCCTTCTGTATGACACAAATGACATTGAGACATGGCGGTTTCCTCGCGAATTAGCACTTGATCCAACGGTGAAGGTGCTAATTGCGTACGTAGAAAATGTTATGCACAGCCGTGATTCGAACGCTCTGCCTCAGAAATAAGGATCGCAGGCAAAAGTCACTTGGCCAAAACAGTAACTTACATAATTTACCAGGTAAAGAATCCTTCAATGGTCCACTATGGGTTTATTGATTACAATGTTTTGTTCTTTTTGACATTATAGAAAACAGAAAACCTGAAAGTGGGAAACAAAATAATTCGTTAAAGACATATCTTCACGTGTCTTAGCCCTTGGCATTAGATTGCATAATCGCAGCGGTGTAATTAATCATATGTTTATAATCTATTTAAATTAATTTGCATTATTTGGTTAAACGTGATTATCCTTACATAATCATGGTAATTAATATAATTTTTATCATAGATAATCGCTACGTGAGTTGGCCCACGAGATACTGTAACATAAATTGATAATAACAATTATACATAATTGAATTAAACTCTATGCCCTTGTAATAAAAACCTGAATAAGTCTACTATTTCTCAATTGCAGTAATTGATTTTTAAACCAAAGCCATTCGCGTTTGTAAAGCGAATCAATTATATTGTGTTTTGGTTTTAAATTTTAAAATGGTTATTTAATTTATTAATTAGTTTTTATAATACAAAGGTTAACAAACGAGTAAGTACCTAATAATACATTTTACTATAAGCAAAGACAAAGTAAATTGTATTAAGCTGTCTTATTCATATACTATATTAAATTTGTTAAGAAACGTTTCGGCTATAATAAAAAATACAATCACTGTTTTAAAGAAGCGTTATAACTAAGGAAACATAGCCAATTGTATGTATTGTACAGTATCTATATAAAAACCCAAAATTTGGAAGAAAAGAAGATCAGATTTTAATGTCTAAATTAATAAAGTCGTTTCGTATAATATCGTCAGACACCCTATTGTTACGATTCCCACATTGTATTTTCGCTATTAAGAGATTCACTGATAACATACTTTCACAAGTATCTAAGAAAGGCGATGTTCACTAACTAACACTAACATTTCGTTGTTAGTTACGGTTACATCCAAAAGTAAATATTTTTACCGATCAGTTAAAATGTCCGTGAACATAGCCTATTCACTATTTGTCTTCAGTAGCTGTTATCATGTTCTTAATGCAATTAAATTTCCTAGAGCGGTGTTGTGTAATTTTACCTAATTAAAGAAATAATTTAGGATTTTTTGCCAAAAGTGGCTGTACTTTAATAGTGTTTGTGGTATAATACCTCTACCGCTTTGTTACCCAAATGTGTCCCACATTTCGGCAAATTGTTTTAACTTAAAAAGTATTTTTTACAGACATCAAGATGCTTCGTTTTTTAATTGTATGCCTGATGTGTCCAATTGCTTTGAGCCAAGACTTGGTCGCGTTGTTTGAGCCTGAACAAATATCAGTACTAATGAATGAGTTCGACTACGTGGATTTTAATATTACAGGTATTATTTATAATGTAGAATAGAGTATTAAGAAGCACGTTGAGTTGTAGGGTATAGAGGAAGGTCTGCGGTATCATTAATAGTCACTACTTTGTTTAAAAACTATAAAACTTTGCTAACAATGATTATAATAACGTTTGTGCTCGTTTAAGGACCTATCCTATCGCCAAACTCCAAAAAAGTACATTGTTTCTTTCCATTTTTCGTCATCGTTTCTTGAAGTAGGGCGAATGGAAAAAATATATGGTGAAGTTGAGTAGTTTATGTATCCATTTTGAAAGATCGATACACGATTTAAATAACTTCGCTCGATAGAAAAAAATCCAAACATAGCCAATTTTTAACACTTTGAATTCATTTTATACGAAAATGTATATACGTAGTTGGTCCCAAAGTTCTGTCACTAGCACATTATTTCTACATTTCGAGCAGGATTTTATAAAAAAAATATTGCATTCTATTTTGGAATGTTTGATTATTGTTTTAAAACAAAAAACAATAACTTTCCGTAATTTTTCACGATGGAGTGGACATTGAAAGTAAACCGAATAGTTGTTATTGCGTTGCACCGCTGTGGACACTCGCCGAGTACCATTTTCAAGTTGCTCAAAAATTTGAATATAACGCTTAGGTTTGTGTACGGTACTATTGATAGGTACCTTGAAGTCTCCAGTGTTGAGGACAAGAAAAGAACTGGCTGGCCACGCTCCGCAAGAACACCAGCAGTAATCAAAGCTATCAAGGCGCGGATAGTAAGAAATCCTGTCCGAAAACAGAAGTTGATGGATTTGCAGATGGGTGTCAGTAGGAAAACAGTAAAAAAGGTTTTAAATGAAGATCTTGGTCTACGAGCATACAAAAAAGAGTGGGCACTTACTTAATGCTCGTCTAAAAGCAATAAGGCTTAAGAGATCGCGGGTGTTGTTTAAGCGGTACGCGAAAAACCGACACCGTGATATCCTCTTTACGGACGAAATTTTTTTCGATATTGAAGAGAAGTACAATAAACAGAATTATACAGTGTACGCTAGGAGTTCTGAAGAAGCTGAAAATAAAGTTCCAAGGGTGCAACATGGACATCATCCATCATCAGTAATGGTTTGGTTGGGAGTGTCCTATTACGGGCTAACTGAGGTTAATTTTTTCGAAAAGGGGGTCAAAACCAGTGCTACAGTGTACCAAGAGACGGTTTTGTATCGCCTTGTCAAAGACATGTCCAGCACCCTATTTGCGGGACATCACTTCGTGTTCCAGCAGGACTCTGCGTCTGCATACAAAGCCAAGACCACTAAAGCCTGGTTTGAGCGTCAAAACATCGTCTTAATTAGACATGAGGATTGGCCTTCCTCCAGTCCGGACCTTAATCCTTTGGACCAGAAATTATGACAGGGCTTAGAGAGGAAGGTCTGTGATAAACCTCATGAAAATTTGGAGAATCTGAAGTCATCTTTAAAAAAACCTGTGACTGAAATCGACACGAATATGGTGCGTGCTGCGATAGACGACTGGCCGCGACGCTTAAGGGCCTGTATTAAAAATGAGGGAGGTTATTTCGAATATTTTTATGCTTTTTTTATTCCTTAATTAATGTACTAAGAATTGATATATCACTCATTACAAACTGATCAGTACTTTTGTTTTTATCATTATTTCCATTTATGACAGAACTTTGGGACCGACTACGTAGAACATAATTTTGAAATTTACTTTCTTTTTATTTATTTACTATATTATTATTTATTTATATACTATTTATTTACTATATTAATAAATAATTATTTTTATTTATTTACCTATATTCGCGGATGTTTGGCGGACCCATGAAACTTCTTCAATACTAAGAGTCCCCTCGTGAGATGTGTGCTGCGATATTGTGGGTTACTCGATTGTGAGGATTTTGCATGGATCTGGTTAGCGCTGTGCCTGCTTAAGTCCTCATTTAATTTTCACACATGAATATCCTTTTTTATAAGATATTTTCCGAAGTATCTGATTGTCCTCATTTTAACATGTGTGATGCTTGAGAGTAAATTTTACTTGCATATGACCAATGATACAAACAAAAGTAGTTGCATTTTATCAATACACACATTTTCCAGGTCAAACTTTTCAAGAGGACGATGATATTGTGGGTGTATCCAGTCACACACAGCTGATGACAGTGGAGTGGAATTCCACTTACCGGCTGACGCAAGAAAATCTTGATAGCGGCTTTTTTCAAGGACGGTTTCGAATAAATGCTCATTTTCTTGGTAAGTATTGTTCGATCGCGCCTTGTAGAATAATAATTTAGACCTGGATGTTACAGCAGGCCAAATAGCCAGAGGAATGTGTCTACCCTATGCCCCATTGAATGTTTCATACAGTAGGAAATTTGGAGTTGAGGAAAAGGAGTTATTATTTTTATTTATTCAAGGAAGGGCAGACCTTTCATTGGAAGTAAGACGTGGTATCACCCGAGTTCCTGTGAACGGAACTTTGCCGGTGACACTCCTTCGTCCACAAAGACCTATCGATCAAGCTTTTACCATCAGCGTTGCGCTTTTTGTAAGTATATTTTTATAAGAAGTTAGTGTGTTTGGTAAGTTCGCAATAAATCGTAAAACCAATTATTACGAGATATAATTAGTTTTTGTCCTTCAGTTTATTTATTATTGTTTCGATACCTGATCTTCATTTTAAAATGCGATAATGCGTCTGTTAACATAAACAAATTGTGAAATAATATTGTACTTTTTATAAGCCCTTTAAACAGTGGACAATTTTGCTCCATTCCAGGTATCGCTAATATTTATAAACTTTGGGTGTGCCATGCACTGGCCAACTGTAAAGGAGGTCATAAAAAGACCGCTCGGCCCTGCCATTGGCATGTGTGGACAATTTTTATTTATGCCTCTCGTAAGTAATATTTTATATTAAAAAGAGTACCGAGAGTTTTTTACGCCGGCTTTTTCTCTCGGCCTTCACCCTCTGTCTTCTTTGCCGATGAGTAGGGTTGCCTACAGATTCAAATTTAATGACGTGGAATAAGTGATACCTGTATCTTATGTTCCATAATAAACATACTTTTTTTTTTATGAGTACAAAATATTCATATTGAAAGGTGTAGTCATTCGTAGTCCAAAGAGAATTAACATAAATGAGGTGATAATATTTACAGCCCCGTTGATCTACTTTTGGTTTTTGTTTCTATTTTTTTTTAATTTTCCGATTAGAATTCATAATAACGCAATTTTATTCTCTGAGACTGGTTGCTGACTGGATTGCTTGACTGGTTGATTAAACGATATCTTTGCACTCTTTTTAAATGTTTGTCACATCACACACGCAACAATTTTGTTTATTCTTTAAATCATTTACAATTATTATAATAATTGAGTTAATAATATTTGTTGTGCTACTTGACTATACGATACGACACATGCAATAAACGAAATATTTTATGTTAAAGAATTTTGTCGTATTGTATTTTTTCAGATATCATTCGGTCTCGGTTTTGTTCTATTTCCGGATATGCCCGCAATGCGTTTAGGTATGTTTTTCACCGGAGTATCGCCAGGGGGCGGTGCGTCAAACATTTGGACGTTCATTTTAGGCGGAAACCTTAATCTTTCTCTGGCTATGACTTCTATATCAACGCTAGCATCTTTTGGTGAGTAACTAAAATTAACTTAAGATTCTCGTGATTAAATATTCAGTTCCATAGCCAGACAGTTATAGTATAGTTGGAATTCGTATATCGTAATGATGCTTGCTGTTAAGATACAAGGTACAAAACTTTAAGTTCTATTGTATACGTAGTTCAAACATTCGATACAGTTCAACATAGATTATTTTTATTTTTGTTTTATTTCCTTAAATGTACCAAATGTACATAAAAAAGAAAAGAGCGTAGCAATTCTTAAAAGGCCGGCAACGCATTTGCGAGCCTTCTGGCAATGTGATTGTCCTCTTGCCTGTTTGCCCACTGCTATATAAAAAAAACTTTAAACGTTCCAATGCACTCAATACGACACTGATGACTCCATCGGAAAAGTTATGCAACTAAAAGTTGACGAACTGAAAATATATTCTATGACTTTAGAGACGTTTCCTTTTTAGGTTCTACGTAACCTTTTGAACGATTTACATTTCTTAGTTACGATTTTCTTACAGGTCTAATGCCTGCTTGGATATTTTCACTTGGCCAAGTGGTATTCAGTGATGCCAACATCGTCATACCTTATGCACGTATAGCATATTTCGTTGTGGGTCTCCTGGTACCCCTGGCTATTGGGCTTGCTATGCAGAAACTTACCCCAAGAATTGCTGGCTTCATGGTCAAGATATTAAAGGGATTCTCAACAACATTACTGCTATTTATCATCATTTTTGCGATCGTAACCAATTTGTACATTTTTGAATTGTTTACGTGGAACGTAAGTATTTTAAATAAGTTTTGAAATCTGTATTACAGAAAGTAATTATTTCTGCGCTTTTATCACTGCAAAACAGGCAATAGTATGAGGCAGATAGGAATACTAACTGGACTAATAGAGAAGTAGAGTTATTAACGGTTTAAAGTAGTAGTATCTTTAATCCTCATAGTGACTTAAAGTTAAATCACCAAACTTTTCTTATCTTCTCACCCAAAAAAATTATCACGTCACGTCAACGGTCACGCAACTACGCCTACCGTACGTGCAACGTACGTGCGTTCTTACGTTACAAACATACATTATACAATTTTTTTCACTTTACTATAATCTAGCCTATTCAAGCTAATAAACAGTTATAGTCTAATATAAAATACTAGTGTTTTTTACTTTATTCAGTCACTAGTTTCTTTAAAGAATTTCCTTATCTCGCCTTATATATTTTAACTAGCTGATCCGGCAAACATCGTTTTGCCATGTATATTTATAATAAAAAATAGGGGTTATTCGTAGAGGGGTGAAAATTAGGGGTTGTATGTATTTTTTAATGCTGTCATTTAAAAAAATTAAAGATAATCTAAAAAATAAAAATTTAGGGGGATGAAAAATAGATGTTGTTCGATTCTCAGACATACCAAATATGCACACAAAATTTAATGTGAATCGGTCAAGCCGTTTCGGAGGAGTTTAACTACAAACACCGCGACACGAGAATTTTATATATTAGATAATGACCTATTATTTTAGATAATAGTAGCTGGTATGGGCATACCATGGCTAGGATATCTGAGCGGATATGTTGTTGCTCGCTTACTCCGACAGCCTCATACAGATGCTATAGCAATATCAATGGAAACAGGTGTCCAAAATATGGGAATCGCTGTTTTCCTGCTTCGATACGCTTTGCCTCAACCCGAGGCCGATCTTACTACTGGTATGATATTATTTTAAATTTACGACTTTTTCTTTAATAACTAGCTTTCTTTATAAATCACATTTAATTAAACCAAATAAATTCGAACGATAGATATAGCGTTCAAGTATTACGTAACGCAATTTTTGGAGATTATTGACCCCCCCCCCATGTAACTCTTCGTAACGTTTTTCAAAACCCAAGTACAGTACTGTACTCAAGTATAGTAAAACGTTTCGTGACCACCTAGTGACTCTTTAGTTACTATTATGTGGTGTAAGTCGAATAAAATATTAACAATAACGCGTAATTCAATCCCCGCCCCGCATAGTAGTAACGTTATACAAAAGGACCCCCCAAATACGTTACGTAATACTTGAACGCTCCCATAGACACTTTTCCTAAATAGAGATTACAAAAGCTTTCAAGGCTATCTAATCGTAACGGTTTTTTAATTTTTGACAGTAAATATGTATTCGTGTATTACAGTTTGAATCAGTTTATATAGTAACTCAAAATTGTAATAAATATTTCATGTGTTTTCAGTTGTACCAGTGTCGGTGGCCATCATGACACCAGTTCCAATGACCGCCATCTTTATTTATCAAAGAATAAGGGGATGGTATGTATAAATTTCACCGCCTACATGATTTGTTGTTATAAAACAATAAAAAGACACAGAAATTATATAAAAAAATTGGACTAAATAAAATAAATAAATTAGTGGTGCTACAACCTCTTTAGGTATTGGCCTCAGATTTCTGAATCTGTTTCATGATCATTTATAAATCTAATAGGCAAGTAGGTGATCAGCCTCCAGTGCCTGACACAGCCGGGGATCGAACCTACGACCTCAGGTATGAGAGTCGCACGCTGAAGCCACTAGGCCAACACTGCTAAAGAAATTGGACTATCGGATGATAAATGACTTGAATTAAAAAATACTGAACCCAATCAAAGAAATTACTTTACATTCGTCCGACTTAGTGTTAACTTACAGGGTACCATGAGTTTGATAAAATAATAAAAGGATTACAATATATTTCTAAATATTTTACGCAGACTCAGTTTAATTTAGCGTTTTATTAATTTAACAAACTCATGGTAGGCATAAGTAACGTACGTAACGTAACGTAACTAATGGAACAATCTTCAATTTTGTTACAGTTTCCGAAATCGAGGCAAAAATAAAGATATTGAACCCTTAGAAGAACCTGCAATTCAAGAAATTGAATTCCAAAAGAATACAGAGACTAAACAAGACGCTTAAATTTTATATGTGTAAATTATAATTAAGATTTTTAAATTGTAAATATAGATATTTGTATATATGAATTGATCATTTAATTACTTCTGATTTTTTTTAATATTTTTACTAAGACTATTTAAATATTTTTTAGAAGCATACATATTATTATTAAAAGTAGAATTTAATCGTAAAAAATACGTTGTGCATCGGGCGACTTTTTTTGAAGTGAAACTTCTTTATCGGCGTAGGAAAAAATTTACCGTCACATTTTTCGGTTACGCGTCACATTTTTCCTTTACGCGCCATCTTTTTCTTGTCCCTACCACGGTTGATTCGAAGAGATTCGAAACCATTAATAACAAAAAATATATAATAACGATAACAATGATAGTAATAATTCTATTACAATTAATGAAATTCTGTAAAAACTTAATCTAATGGTTGAAAGACTATTTATTTATTAAATCGTATACCTACACAGTGCAATGACAAAAGAAATAGGCAAACTTCACGTCAAAGTCAATCAAGTTGTCAAACTATGTTGTGCAGTATGAACTAAAATTATTATTTATTTATTGTAAATTAAAATGCCACAAGTTTTTATTATCGAAGAAATAAATTTAAAAAAAGATTAATATTTTTTTTTAATTTTCAACTAGTGTTGCCCAAAATCGGTCTTGGTCTTGCAGTCTTGGTCTTGTTCTTGCATTTTCGCAAGACCAAGACCAATACCAAGACCGCCTTATTTTAGCAATACCAAGACCAAGACTGAAGCCTGCAAGAATTGAGCAAGACAATACTTAAGCCTGCAAGACTCTTGCGTCTTGCAGTTAAGACAAACTGAGATTTGGGCGTTATTAAGTAGGTATTTGGTTTCATTCCCGATTTTGAGAGACGTTCCCCAGTATCAAAACTGTTGGTATCGTCATAACACTAAACGTGCCGCTCGTCTGAAAGAACCCTGAAAGGTATTGTATTGATTAGGTAGGTAAGTACTTATTATATTTCAACAATTTATTCACAAATCTGTTACCATGATCCCATGTGATAAAATTTACCCAGAATAACTTTCTAGCAAAGATTATACCTTGTAGGTATCAACTAACCTATAATAATGTATCATGCTTGTTTATGCCTAATGTGCAGATCTAACGTTAGAACTCGTGGGTTGGTATGTGCTTAAAATTATAGCCAACAAAATTATATAAACATTATGTAAGTACCTACTTATGTTTCAAAGTTTATATTATTCTTCTATTTAGCAAAATTTAAAACTAACTGCGAGTCGAGTAGGTCTAGTAACAGTTTCTACGGCAGCCAATATTATGGTACAGACGCCAGCACATCAAGCTACTACAATCTGTCAAATTTCTTTAACAGATTTTCAACTTTATCGCTAAAGAATTAAGGTTCAAGGTTGATTGGGAAATTGTGACGTTCTGCGAATAAACTGTTGGTCGGTCGGTGTATTATATACCTACTTATTTGATAATTTACCGACAAAGAGGCCGCGGTTTGCAACGAGTGTATCACAGCATTTGACACTGTTTGAGCGCCGCATTCGCCGACAAAGAGTCCGGACAGAGGCACACAAAATTTTTACCTATTTTGGTAGAGTTGGTACAGGAGGATAAAATTAAATGACCTTGAAGATGTCTCAGCAGTAGGTAGGTATAAATTGAATGCTCTGAGTTTCTTGTATTTAAATACATTCTCACACTGGCTCGAATTCGAACACTACAGCGTTTAAAGCTGTCGGGCGAGATGATAATTAATAACTAAGTAGGTATTGCATCTATTGAATTGAATTGTTAATATCGGTAAATAATAGATAGTGAGTGATATACCTAGGTACTAAAATGTGAGCAGCATAATTGAAAAGTGTTTATGCCATGTCAGTGCTTTCCATAAGTTTATTTTAAAAAAAAGCTATTAAGTAAGATTTAGAGTTTACCATTCAATTACACACAACAAATTATTGAAAAACAAAAATTATGAAAAAGATATTTAGACTGAGTACTTAGGAAATTAGTAGAAAAAATATTCTATCGTGGATACCTAGTTATTAAAAAGTGGATAAACGTTGTGTTTACTTAATTTTATTTTTCTGTGCTAATGCCAACATTGACAACCCCACCAAAATAGGTAAAAATTTAGTCCGCTTCTAGACTTTGTGTTGCCGCCGTCGCTTTCATGTCAAAGGTCGCCGCCACTGCCCATGTTCTAAAGAATAAGATAAGTTTCCGGGTGCTCAGAACGGACGCAAATAGATTATGTTGTCCTCGCAAGGAAGAATGTAGTCCTAAGGATAGGTAGATTTTATAAAAATTGTTGTAAGTAATAAAAATATACCTAGTTTATATTATTATAACCTATTATACCTTTTTAAAGGACATTGCACTGCAAAATTGGAAGTGGGTGATTTTAACAAACTTGAAACGTGGAAAAGCTCCAAATATGAGCGACGTCATATTGCTTTACGCATTTTGTTTTAAAATCACACACTTCCAAAAATCGAGATTTGCAGTGTCGATTTATCAACTTCTATCGTACCTACTCTAGTAGCGACAATTGTCTTCAGCGATGATTTACTAAATAAATAAAATCTAAAGAATACAATTTTGTTGAAGTAGGTACCTTCATCGTTTCTTACTTACACATACTTTAACGACTACGTAGCAAAGCGCGCCAGTCACGAGTACGACAAATTGCCTAAAAAATGTACCTACGCACACTGTAATGAAATCTGCTAATCTCAACACACACGCACTTCCTTATTTTAGCCGCATAGGTAGCATAGGATAGCCCGCCAAACTCAATTTTTTTTTTGCAATTTGCAGGCTAGGGCTAGATTGTTGATTAAAATATTATTCGCGCTGTAAGACGTATGTAGTTACAGAGTCAACTACATACATACGTCTTACAGTGCGAATCATAATTTAAAATCTAAACTAACGTGTTCAATAAATAGCAATAGGCTAATAGGTATTTGCAAGTCTTGCGAGACTTGCGAGACTCTTGCTGCAAGATCAAGACCAAGACCAAGACTGAGAGCGCAATACCAAGACCAAGATCAAGACCAGGTGTATTGTCGCAAGACCAATACCAAGACTGACCTAAGTCTCGTCTTGGTCTTGCATTTGGGCAACACTATTTTCGACACTTATTTAATGACACAATATTTTAATGACAATGAAATTCCTAACATATCTTCCTTTTTCCCTTCCTCTAAGTATCGGAAATCTAAAGTTTTAGATTTGTACGAATATGAACAAGACTTAAAGATTAGTTTGCCAAAGAAGTTTCACTTCTTCGTCTTCTTCTGACATAGACCAGTCAGTCAAGACAATTAATTCATAATAATTCCAAAAGTTTTCAAATTTTGATGTAAGGTCGGGAGTGGTATTAAAACAAACTATAAAATTTTGCAACCTTCTCTGCGGTCCGGAACATTGTTAAAAATAAGTTTTGGTCGTGAAAAAATTCAAAAGTTCTGCAAACTTGGAGAAGTTTTCGATATAATATTTCATATCACGTATAAAATTTGCAACCAACCTAAGTGTACGGAACATTTTCTGTTATTAAAAATTAATGTTTTTCTTTATTAAACTGAAGGAAAACGTTCCAAAAGTTCTGCAAATTTGACAGATATATCGAAAATAAAATAAATAACAAAAAATGTTCCGTACACTTAGGTTGGTTGCAAATTTTATACGTGATATGAAATATTATATCGAAAACTTCCCCAAGTTTGCAGAACTTTTGGAATTTTTTCACGACCATACAGCAAAAATTAATTTAATTGCAATTTTAACAATGTTCCGGACTGCGGACAAGGTTGCAAAATGAGATTTATTGTCGTCCCAATGTACCATTCACTTGACCGAAGTTTGAAAACTTTTGGAATTATTATCAAATTTTCGATTTCGAATGTCTATAATGACTGGCCTAACATGTGTACTTTGTACATACGCACTTTTATTTTTTAAATGTAAGGTAGAATATAATATTATTGTACATACATACTTTTTACTTATTAAAAATTATAAATATCTATGTCTAAAGACAATGTCAATTTAAGACAGGACAAGCCAAAACACCACAACAATAGTCCACCGGAAAAATGAATAAATATGGATACAACCATGATTAAATAAGCAAAATGTAAACCCAAAATCTGAAACTGCAGTATAACTCTTAGATCAGCTAGCAAAATGGGTAAACCAAAATATGACTCACCAACCTCCAACTTTCCATACAAAATCCCCAAACGACTGAACATATTGAGTGTGCCAAGAAAGTATATAATTGATACGGGAGAGGGAATGCCGGCTATCAACCCGAGAGGTATTCGGAAGTCGGCTTTAGGCGCACAGGCCACTGATAGAGTTACCGATGTTGCTTGGCCATACATACGGTAAGTATACCACAATCGCCAATAAAAAAGAGCATACGAATTCTTAAAAGCCCGATAATGCCAGAAGGGATTTGCAAGTGCAGCCGCCCATGGACGGTATCAGTTAACATCAGGTAAGCCTACTGCCCGTTTGCTCCCAAAAATAATTATTTATCAACCTAAAACAAGATACTAATAATTTGTTAAGCTAATCTTGACTATACATAGTTATTACTAACAATATGGTCAGCCATATTGTCAAAATGAAAATCTTTTACCGTGCATTTTGTATTGAAATATTTTCAGACGTTTTCTCATCTTAAAGCGACTATATAAAAACCGCTTTAGTCAAGAGCGAACAGACCGAATAGATCGCATGATAGAAGCAGCTAATTCCACCTGTTATTCAAAACTCGCAAACTGCGTGCTTGACCTCAAAAAGCAGGATTCCAAAGAAGTTAAGAAGAAACGTGGGTGGACGGAAAGCGAATGGAAAAAACATATGGAATATATTAGTCAAATTGCTGGCCCCAGGAAGGACTACAGGCCGCCACCCATAAAGGTAATTAATTATGTGGGACAGCCACTTGGTAAGGCATTGCAGACAAATTTCTGCGGCCTTTATCTCTACTAGGGTTGTCTAATGCCAGAGTATACAAGAGTATTAAATATTAATACATGGCCAACTAGATGACAATATATTTTTTGAAACAAACAACTCTGAATTAAAGAAAACACTTTTTTTCCGGATTGAAGTTATGTATTATTATACATTTACAATTATTTTACATAATTTTAAATTTTTCCGACGTTTCGCGTGCTTTACAGCGTGCGTGGTCACGGTCACCGTGAAATAAAATGTGTAAAAGTTATGTCAATAAAAGACAATACTATGTGCAACTCTGAATTATCTTATTTATTTCTGATGGCTGAATATAGTTCTGTCGTCGAAGCTTAATTGTCTGAAGTTAATAATGGTATATTATAATGACAAAATATATTATCATTCGGGGAATGACTTGTTACTTCTTACAGAGAGGACACGGTAAGCCGTTAGCGGCGTTATTGCCTCGTATCAACCAAATATGTCGATTCCCGGATTTCAAGGTGTACAGAAGACTATCTCAAGAAGCCTGGTACAGAGATCCTGTTAAGGTAATTTTCAAACAATTTGACAAAGTATATAGAAATTTCGCTCGAAATCTAAATTACTAAAATGTTTTTATCTTGTTACTAGGTTCCACCTAACGCCCTCAAGTATGTAATAACAGACCGCGTCAAGAAGCTAGCAGCTCCAAGAGTTATCCCCCGCAGCCCGGAGCATATGATTAATTCAATTTTCCTCAAATCAATGATTGCCTTACTCCTCCTACACATATTTCTTTAACATCCAAATTATAATCCCTATGTTTTCTCAGCATTTTCAGTAAATTTTCAATTCATATATGTCTGGTTTTATTTTACTCTGTTACCGAATTTATATAGTATGCAAGGTTATTCTGTAATATTTTGTGGGTAAAGAAAATTAGATATTTAGTTATTATGGAGAAGGAATATGAAAAATAATCAAATCAATTGAATTAATTTTATTTACACTGGTAACAAATATTGACATAATACTGTAACTACAAAACCACAGATCATAAATACAAATAAAATAAATTATACTTAATCTAAAGACTTTACTTGAGTTCAATATATTTACTATTATTATAGCTATTTAATTCATTATAATAACTGAATTTTCATGGTCAATTGTCCCATATATGTTAACAGTATGTACCTCAAATGCGTTTATAGCACTTTTAAACGTGGATCTATTTATTTGAACAAAGTTAATGTACAATCTTCAATAATAAATAATGGGCATTTGCCACCCGATCGATAGTAGATTTTTTCATGATAATAAGTAACAACAAAACACACTTTGTATTAGTATGGAAGTGACAAGATCTGTGACATTCAATTGTCATTTATGTAAATTGTCAAGTTTGTACAGGTAAAGGCATCTGAAGATCTAAAATGGTTTATGGTAAAGGGCTGTGTGTGTGTTAGGTGTTTATGTTAGGCAATGAATAATAGCGTTAGTGAAGGCTTTGGTGGTAGATTGACCGCCGAGGTCTTTGGTTCGCACTTTGCCATCAGATAGCACCCTGAAAATAAACATTTAAATAAAATTTAACATCTTAATTATCCAGCGCTACAATCTCTCGAGGACAGTGGCATAAGATTAAATATTTCTCTTTGATAATTTTTATTTTATAGGTTAGTAGGTTATTGGCCTTTTAAATATTTTATTAGACATTTTTTTGATATTTATATTTCAAGTCAATATTCAGTACCAAATAAATGTACGTAAAATACGGACAGATGGGAAATATTAGTAAACAAGAAATATTCTTATAACTTCTATTCCATTCCAAATTTCCCTGTGGAATTCAAACATCACCAAGTTAATAATTATACTTACTTGTTAATGGCACCCTTGATCATTTTGGAGTAGGAGTGAAGATTGACGTGTGCTAAGAGATTAGCCGAACACAGCAACATTGCTGTAGGATTTGCGATGTTCTTGCCCACTGCACCGGAGAATATGTGACGAGCACCCTGTAAATAATAAATGTTTGGTTATTCACCAAAAAACATATTCAAAAAATGTGAGCCGTCACGGGACGCCTGGCAGATGTGAAACATCGACATTATTTTGTAAAAGTAATATGCAGATCTTTAATGCATATTACTTTTACAAAATAATGTCTATGTACAGATTGTGATATGAACTAAATATATCATAATGATAAAATAAAATATTATGATTTTTTCCAGATAACGATGACTATTTATTGAATGAGCATTTTCATTAAATACAAAAATTTACGAATTTATTTCAAATCGTGACTACTTAATTCGTTTAATCAGTAACTTCGAAATACACACACCGTACACACTACTGCATATAGACTGGATATATATATATATATACCATCATATAGCGTGGCGACGCGTCGCCACGGCATGCGTTGCCACGCCAGAAATCGGTTTTACGTGCGGCTAAAGATGTTTCACATCAAAAAAATTCTTCTTCGTCTTATTAACAAATGCCTTGGAGCCTTGAAGCCATTTAAAAACCTTGTTCGAAGTTTTAAAATTGCTATTGTCTTATGTGTAATGCATGTATTATACATAATTTAATAAATTCTCACTCAAAATATTAATATATCCAGTGGCTAGTTTCGTTTGGCGATTTTTTAATTATATAACTTTATATACAATTTTATGCAGACTTTATATAATGTATAATATGTTTTCGGATTCACTCTAACGCACACTTTAAATAAAAACATTTAATAACGTTTCGGTATTTATGATAAGACAAGGTGTGTTAGGCATTTGAAACTTTTACTAAATTCGCGTTCAATGAAGATTTTAAAATGATTTTGTTTTTGCTTGATTTAGAATATTTATAACATGACAACTTTCGCACAAACAGAAAGAGAAGAAAAAGTCCTTAGTTAAACGAGTAAAACTACAATGTTTTAATTTTATTAAATGAGAATTTTATAAAATTACTAGTGGACCCCACAGACGTTGTCCTGCATGATATTTAAAGCGATTAGGATATTAAGCAAAGTATGAAAGTACCGACTGCAGTGCCATCTGCCGGGCTGTTTTGTGAATCTAAACCATCCACGGCTCCACCCAAACGTATACAAAAAAAATCATTCAAATCGGTCCAGCCGTTTAAGAGGAGTTCAGTGACATACACACTCACAGAAGAATTATATATATAAAGATAACTAAATACAAAAACTCAATGACTCTCATTCCTTCGTTCACTCATTATTTACCTGCTCAAAGACGGCACACTCGGCGCTGTAAGAGGCTCCAGCGACGACACCAGCGCCCCCTACAAGTCCACTGGCGAGATTATCTACGATGTTGCCATACAAATTCGGTGTTAGCATCACATCAAACTGGTTGGGGTTAGAGACCATTTGCATGGTGCAGTTGTCGACAATCATCTTTTCGAATTGGATGCGGGGGTAAAGTTTTGCGATCTGAAAATTGTATTAGATCAAAAGTTATGTAAGATGAGAAATATCAACGGTTCACTATTAGAGTTAGAGGATCCATTGATCAAAATGTCCCAGGTTATTAAAAAACTTTATTTTAATTTATTCGCTTATACATAAATAGCTAAATAACAATCTATGTATAGACTAAAATCATAAACTGTAGAAAAAGAGCGTATTCATTAAAAATTCACTAAAAAGCAACCATATAAGATGGTCAGTGGATAAAATATAAGATTTTAGATTACTTGCCAGTTACAAAAATATATTTTCGTTATTATAAAGTCAAATACCTCCTCACAGCTGCGCAAAAACAGTCCATCGCCCAGTTTCATGATGTTAGCTTTGTGTACGGCGGTGACCTTCTTACGTCCCATCTTCACCGCGTAGTCAAACGCGAACTTGGCTATACGCTCTGATTTAGACGCAGTTATGATTTTCAGACATTCGACCACGCCTGTAACGATTTCAAGATGGCTTTTTTTACGTCTCAGAGGGTACAACTTAGGATTGGTGCTAACAAAAGATTCGATTACTTAATTTGTTTACGTATTTTTATACGTTAAGAAATTAGTAGTGCGAGCAAATTAGCGATTAGTGTTGGCCTAGTGGCTTCAGCGTGCGACTCTCATCACTGAGGTCGTAGGTTCGATCCCCGGCTGTGCACCAATTAACTTTCTCTATGTACGCATTTACATTCGTTCGAACGATGAAGGAATACATCGTAAGGAAACCGGCTTGCCTCAGAAGTCGACAGCGTAGGTCAGGCACAGGAGGCTGATCACCTACTTGCCTATTAGATTGACAAATGGTCGTGAAACAGATCTGAGGCCTAAAAAGGTTTTATTTTGTTTATAAAAATACCCATAAACATTGTCTTGTCATAATAAAGAAAAAAGTGGACGCTCAGCAACGACAATAAATATTTCTATATATAATTTTGTCTTTGGTTTAAATGTGTAAAACTGCAAATAGATACATGAAGGGACTTTTAACTCGTTCTAAAGATGCATCAGAAAAATTATTCGTGAAAAATAACTTTAAATGTTACTTACTTTTTGTAAGTAATATTAAATTTGTATAAAAACAATACATTTTTCGCTCCACCTAGTTCACATCTGACACAATTTTTTATTGTAATACTTGGCTCATATATATATAATATAGTTACTTCTTTTCGATTATGCACTTCTCGATTTTAGAAATATAAAAAAGAGCCGGTAAATTGTAACTTCCTGCCTCTTCGTGTCTTTGTTTATTGTGGTATAATTAAATGTTGGCAAATATAACTGAAAGAAATGTCGATCTTACCAGGGACAGATTCGTGCTCCAGGGCTGAATATTCTCCCTCAGTCTGCTCTCTGATGATGATGCAGTCGACATCTTTGTGCCTGGAGGAAACATTAGGCAGAGACTTAACATGCACCACGTTAGCGTAAAGGTCCAATGCATTACGTAGCTTCATGTTTAGGGTCTGTAATTCTCCTGTGTGGGAGAAGTCCGGGGTTGCCAGGATTCCCTGAAAAATACATTACGATGGTAATACAAAAAAAAAGTAAAAAATCGAAGTTATTTATAATGAATTGAAATGACACGACGTGTCTGGAGCTGGTTCAGCAATCTAAGGTTTGGTTGTCCGACCACGAAGGTCAGCGAAAACTTTGATGAAAAGTTTTTCCTCCATAAAAATACTTATCAAAATGAAGGTCACTTGTCGTTATTGCGTAAGAAAACAAAGGCCCAATACCAATATATTTCTTAATTGAATTAACAACATTACTTTGACATTACGGTTACTATATAAAACATACCAACGCGTAAGGGAGCGTTCAAGTATTACGACACGTCATTTATGGAGACTATTGACCCCCCTCCCCCCCATGTAACGAGCCGTAACGTTTTTCTGTACGCAATTACAGTACTGTACCCAAGTATAGTAAAACGTTTCGTGACCACCTAGTGACTCTTTATACCTAAAAGTTACCATTATGTGGTGTAAAGTACTGGAAAGTCGAAAATAATATTAACAATAACGCGGAATTCAATCCCCGCCCCGCATTGTAACGTTTTACAAAAGGCCCGCCGCCCCTCCAAATTTGTTACGTAATACTTCAACACCCCCTCAAAGTTTCAAGCTAGCAATTACGTTATTACCTTAATACAAATCTTGTTATTAGCAATGGAGTTGACGACATCTTCAAGAGGAGCACTCAATGTTGGGTTCACTTCAGAGAAGAAAAAAGATTCGAAGTCCACAGGAATGTTTGCTGCCTATCAAAAACAGAATAACAAAATATATTCCAACCATCTTAGAATTGATATAAGAAAAAATTATGGGTAAAATGCCTTTAAAAATGGCAAAGGTAAAGGCTTAAAATCAATGGAATAAATAATTAAAGGAAATTTCTGTTCAAGGATATGATATATATGAATGTCTATGTATAATTATAGAAACAGATTTTCAAGAAAACTAACTACTCTTTGGAGGCTGTTAGTTTTATTTAAAGTATGTAAAATTTACCTTGAAAACTTCTTGAACAGAATATACCAGCTCAGGACCCACTCCATCACCAGGGATGAGCGTACATTTTATGTGACCTTCCTTGCTTGCTTGCTGTATATATAAATTATTTATTTAATATCATGGGGTGGTATTATATACAATACTTTCATAGCCATACACCATTCTTTACAAGTTACAATGTTATTAAACTTGACCATTTTATAAAGCCCTATTTTCACTCTTAAACCTCATATTTATTTTCTATTATATAAATAAATGTATCTTAAGAATATACAGTTTATAGTTACTACCATTGATATTGCAATCCTTCATATCTCATAACAGTAGTTTGTCCATATGTTTCATATTTATTAAATGCATGTGGCTAATAGAATAGTTACTCACCAATTCCAGTGGAATAAAATTGTTCTAATCGCAGAATTCCTATTAAAGAAATACATAGCCATATTTGTATAAATAGTTAAGTGTTACAATGCATTTGGACAACACAAAGGCATCGCACATAAACCGGGAATCATGCTTCGTATATACAAAACATAATATTCTATTTACTTCACATTTATTATTCCACCAATATGATACTTTTAAAGAAAAGTTATTTGCTTAGCTTTTTGATTAAGCCAATTGGTTAAGTTGTTTTTCTGAATCTTAAATTAATGCCAGATAAGTTTAATTATGTAGATTATACCCCAAAAATGTGTTATTATTTTTTAACCAAGATCAACAACCTAGCTACCTTAGAAATGTGTGTACTAGACAAAAGTTTAAAAGTCCACTAAAGAAAAATAATAGCAATAGAGGTGTATAAAACAACTGTTTGTTGCTAGTACATTATGACTTTTACCAATTAACATAATGTAAAACAAATGCTGACTTATGGTCAATAATTTTTAAATTATATATTTAACAAAAAAGTGAAGTAAATAAATAACAAGAATACCAGTTTTGACTTTTTATTCATGCAATGGAACCATTCCATTCGCAATGATTTCAAAATTATATGCCAATAGTGTGTGTGTAATATATTTTTGCTTTAATAAAATAAAAGGACTGTAATTTTGAATTGAATAGAATGGTGGTTAACACCAATTTTTAAATATCATGCAACAATAACAACACATCTTACAGTGATACCTGATGCCAAGGGAGCCTGGTAAAATCTTTAAAAATCATATATTTATTCATTTAAAAAAAATCTTAATATCTACAACACCAATTAACTACTTAAGTAATGTGACATCTTTCTAAAAATTTTGAAAAAATATTTTTTTTTCTGTGACAGTTATAATTAAGCAGTGGCTTTTGTTTTGTAAATGAATCATTTTTTGACATATTGGTTCTATAGAAGAATTTAATAACACTGCTTAATTATTATATAGATTTTACGAATATTAGTGGGTAAGTTAGTTTTCTCACCAAGGTGCTGATAGATTGAGGTGCGAAACATACGTTTTTGTCAGGATTTACCGCAGTAGTGTGAAGGCCCTTGGAAACATGTTGAGAACCCTAAAATAAGTCAATATAATTAGTGCATGCTATCCTACACAATGTAGATGAAAATTTATACGTCTATAATCACATCACGTGAGACCTGGGAAGTTGTTGAATTGACAATAAAATACGCAATTATAATGTAATCAAGCCGAATCATCACAGGTGTATTATTTTTTGAGTGTACAGTTGTTTAAATTTAAAAGTAAATAACATTTGCATGGATAATGTTATTATAAAACAGCTGTAGAATTATTAAAATAAGGTTTAAAATTAAATCGTCGGTACAAACCTGTACTAAAGTACGAAACACATTTCTAGTTATAAGAGACATAGTTTAAATAACAGAACTTAATTCAGTAATAGATTTAGTTTAACGAAAATTTATTTTTAGATCTCCTATGCTGACAAAAACGTAACCCCGGCGAATTCCAGTTTACGTAACTTGACAATTGATAAATTTATAGTTTTTTTTATTAATTTACTACATGGCCATGGCTACAAGTCTTTTAGTCGGAATTATAGTGCGTTTTCCAATTACAGAGCATAATGCGACTCAGTGCCGCACAATGCCGCATTATGCTGAAGCTTAATTGGAACGTGAATTAGTTTTCAAATGCATCAGCAGAGTGCGCTAAATCAGTGTTGGAAAAAAAAATGTTCTGAATGAGTTAGCAATCTCATTAATGTAAAAATAATGTGGTAAACAATAATAATTGGTTGAAAACTATTTACGCTTATTTTAATAATCAAATTATTTCATTAACATTTTTTTACTGAAATAAGAGAAAACCTTTAAAGAATATAAGGTTTTAACAAGCTAAAATAACAGTAAAATATTTAGTTTCATGTAAGAAGTTTACATCATTTACGTTTTGAGTAATTTTTTTAAATGATTTCTAAAACTATACTTTTTCAAAACCATTGCAATGTTTACAAAAGTATAATCCTGTAAAATAAATTTGTTTACAGATCCGAATATTAAAATGAAATTGTATTCATATTTAAAATGTGGAATATAAAAAAAGTTACTATTTATACCTTCATCCATACTTATATTTATATTTTATATTTTTTTTTTTAACCGTTTGAAATAACTTTAATTATTTTCAAAATCTACAACGAAACGAAAGCCTTACAAATTTTTCCACAATAAATAATATTTACTAACGAAAATTTCGATCAATGCCAACTTAAAGAAAAACACTGGTCAATTTTCTGTCACTGTGTTGGTATTGATTGCGAGAAGCACGCGAGAGCATTACTTTTGAGAGTGCTCAATTGTGCGAAGCGTTGGCCGTTGCTGTAGTTGGAACATTCAACGTTGAGCATTATGCCGCATAATGCGCTTAATGTACAAATTTGACTAACGTACTGTTTCATGACTATTGTTTACAATATTTTACAATGTTTTATTTTTACATAAAGTTGTGAATCTATTGTTAAGTGAGCATCATAGATTTCCCTCAAGTTTTACAAGTCTCCCAATATTCAACATTTAAAAAATAAACCTTTTATGAAATTGCAATATAGTTTTATACTAAAAAAAGTACACATACACTATTCTTTTAATTTGTAGTATTCTATGTGGAAGCACTCTCTCTATAAGGAATATTAGCTCAGTATAAAAACACACAAATACGCTATACCAAAGATAATTAAAGTTAATACAAATTTTAGCTATGAAAAAGCTGTATCCCTTTTGGTATTGTTCTATCGGAATCTCATGGCAAATAGGGAAATAATTTGTCGTGGGCAATACTAGGGAAATTGGATTAAATGATCTTGATAGTGTTTAATTTTTATATATATTTTTAGTATTAATGAACATGAAGTATATTAGTTATTTGTATGAAAAATGAAGTTATAAGTACATCGGGTTCTTAAGATGGGAAAATATGTAATGAAAAATAAATCAATTACATACTTTATGTACTAATTTATTATATATAGGTGTTTATTATAAATCGCTCTTCCAGCATTTCAATATAATCTTGCTTGATTAAATCGTTTTCAGTTTTCTTTACATGTCCACAACATTTTCGCCAACCCTGGCACTTATTTGAGAGAAAGCTTCTTCTGTTAATCATTTTATGTCACTTGCAGGTCTATTTACATTTTTATAAGCAAAGTTTTGCTTCATTATACCCCAAATCATTTCTATGGGATTCAATCTGAAATGATAAGTTTTAAAACTTCATGACCGTGCGATATTAATACTTCATCTAGCGATACGATTGGCTTGTGTATGCGGTTAGTTAATACGTACGATAAGAGCATTATTCGTAACAATTCATGAAGGTCTTGTTAGGTTTGGGATTAGCTGCTCTGTCACCCATTTTGTAAAATTGTCTTTATTCATTTTCGGTTTTCCTTCAAAAACTTGAATCTTTGTAGTTTTATGTCTTCTCTCTCCATCAAAGTAGTCCTTTTTGATTGGGTTTTAACATAGGTATTCAAAACCAATCTCATTAAGTATATCTGTAAAAAATAATAACATTAATCATGTTACTAATGAGTGAGAGTGAGAGGGATTATTACTTAATAATTTTCTTACCTCAGAGATTCTCTTCCTCCGTTGAAATCAATATCTTCAACAGTTTCATTACTGTTGTAATTTCCTTCCGAACTATATAGAATTCCTTTACTTTATTCCCAATCAACTGTAAATTGAAACTGTCCAAGTTTTTTCTTCCTCTCCTCTCCTCTTTTTTACCAGGCGTGAAAACCACACCATCATTATCCTTCATCATCACCCTATAAGAAGAAGAAACCCCTATTAAGAAGTCACAATTAAGTACGGAAGTAAAATATAAAATAAACTAAAAGTATTAAATCCACTCAATCCAACTTACCGGTCAACTCTAGCACGCGCTTTAAACAAATATTGAGTTTGATTTACACCTTCTTCCTTTATTTTCTCTCATCCCTTTTTTTTATTTTTGTTTTATGCTATGAGATTCCGGTAGACCTATAATAACAAATTTTGACGTTAAATGTTTGATAACAGGCTGTAACAAAATAAGAATTTTTTACTAATATTTTTAATTATTGCAAATGTTTAAATACCGCCGCGAGACATAGCTTTAACACTTCTTCCCACGCATTGATACCAAAGCGAGGTTGCCAATCTTTTAATAGTGACGGCTGAATAAGGATAATATATAAAATTATTCAACAGCAAGCGAGGACCAAACAAAGAAGTAACTTTAATTGTACTGGACAATAATATTAACTTTTATAAAATGGGAATTTTATAAATATAGGACATATCATTAACATTAACAGATTATTATCGATTGTCTCATATAATCGCATTAAGAATACAATTTTCTCGGGACTAATCCGTCGACGGAACCTCATCCGAATCGACTAATTAGATTTAGTCAATTGTTATTATTTGAATAGATTATAAGGTGGGTGGACCATAGAAGGCCACTGTAACGAATAAACAGTTTTTATTCATTAATTTACTAGATAAATAAAAGAAACAAATTATTAACTAACACTTTGTTTTATTGTGCAACATATAAATTGTTTTTTTTATTGTAGACGTTATCACTATTTCTTAAACTTAACTTTTATAAAGCTCTTCTAAACGGCCTTGCAAGGAACAGTGCTCCATACAAGGCCAATACATATTTTAAATCAGCCGTTCAACTTAAAACTAGAATTGTAATAATCAAAATATCCGCTATTACTAAAACTACATAAAAAGCTCTTTCACTTAAACGAAAAATTAAATGCTTAACATATTATAATCTTGTTTAATAAACTCAACGAACATTCCTTGAACATTATCGTATAACTAAGAACTTATTAATGGATATTATTCAAAAATTATAGTAATGACTATTATTTCGATAACAAATGAGTTACCAATTCGTTTTGCAATGAAATTATATAATTTTTTTTTTACCTATGATGGCCTTCTAATGGGTCCGTTCTTTGTAAGGCCAAAATGTTCCTAAGAAGGCCAAACTAACAATTATCATTTATGACAGCCTTTTTTACAGAGTATTAGAGTACTTAGTACTCTAATTATTACGAACTTAAAATGGTACATAGTCAGTCTTGAAGTCAGGAATATTTAAAATCAATTATTCCTAAGATTAAAAAATGAAATTATGATAAAACTAGTTTTTCAACCGCAGCTCCGCCCTCGTGGACTTCACGATATCGCGCGCTTTGGAAATAAACTTATAAACTAAAAAGGATAATAATTTATTTTAATCACAATCTGAACATAAAAATGAGAGATCCTTTTTAGGGAGACCAATACACTCCTCGTGATACCACTTTTGACATTCGCTACATTGCCTCATGTCTTCGATTTTACACTCGCCACATGCGTGACAGTACCATTTTCTTTCTTTACCTTCTGCTTTTCTTTTCAGCAGTTCTTTGGAATCATTTTTATTGATGTTTTTCTTTTTTTTGTCGTCGCTTACTTGTACATTTCATTTTTTCTTACTCCCGGTACGTATTTCTAACTAAAAACGAAGTGTTCATATTTTCATAGTTCGTAAATGTTCCTAGTGAGACCCATGTACCCTAGCAAGGCCAACCGTCAAATTTTTGATTGGCTTTATAAGGAACCACCGGCTTTTATAGGAACACTATCGATATTTTAACTGAAACCAAAGTAAAATTAATATTTTTTTCTTTAGTATTATAAAAAAATCCATATATGACAATTTACAGTAAAAAGAATATGATAATAATGGGATATTCATATAAAAACTTATCTTTTGCTGAGCGCGCAAATTACAATTTTAACATCGATGACCGAAGTCTACGTAGTGAGGGACCGCACTGACAAAATAGCAACGCGAGCGACTCGTCACCGCGTCTGTGTCCTTGGGTTTGATGGAGCTTTGTGTAAATGGAAGGAATTTGTCATCACATGACTATAACTATGATTTTTTAGTACTTGGCCTTCAAGGGAGCATGGCCTTCCATGGTCCACCCACCTTATTTTTCTTTCGCAGTTTATTGGCTTGTGAAAGCTCTTCCACGTCTCGTAGTGCGTCTCTCCGTCGTAATTTTAGTTTATTTTATACTCAGGTTGAGACGGACTTGTGTACTTTCTTGGTAGAGAGGTTATATCATTACTTGTAGGTCGTTAGCTGCTTCGGCGATTAAAAGGACAACATCAGCAAAAGCCTAATGACTGTAGACATCATACATTTGTATTCCCTTTTTCTTCCAGTTAAGTTTTTTTGAATAATACATAATATTAGCAAGAACTGTGAATAACAGTTTTGGAGACATTTCACGATCTTCCTGCCTGACGCCTCTTGTTATTTTAAGCTCTGCCCTGCGATTCTGTAACTCGCTTTTCCAACTCACACAGCGGTTTTCGCATCGGCGGTCGCTCTCAAATCAGTCATGAAGCAGTCATTTTATGATTTGGCATTCTGATAAACAATAAACTACAAGCTCCCACCTTGTCTCCAAAACTCAAAATCTTATTCTAACGATTTGTCGAAGCTTCAACTACCTTTACCATGGCATGTGATATAATTGTACTAACGTTGAAGCTTACGAAAGCATTTATACAAAATATTTGCCAAGTTTACATTTGAATAAAATTTAAATATTTTGTTTTAAGCCTTCCCTTTAAGTGAGTGCAGCGTGCACAAAATGATTTCTCACCTCAGACATTTAGAAATATATGACACAAGCGAATATGGGACTTTATATACTGTTAATAAAAAACTGATAAATGTTCATATATAGACTTCATATTAATTATACATATATAGAAATAACTTTAATTGAATAGAACATCGACTTTACATACCTCTGGGTGGAAAGGGGATTTTCGATCCCTGATGCTCCAATAAGGCTTGTAGCAGAGACATGTTTCTACAAATAATTATATATTTTTAACATAGGTATATCTATTCAACAGTATATATAATACACAAATCATAAAATAATACAGTCTTGTTAGGAACGCGATATATGTATATGAAAATAAGTATTTAACCGGGCAGTCCATTTATTAGCCTCGGCAGAAAATTCTTCAACGTTTTCTCACCACAGCCTTGCGATTCTGTAACTCACTTTTCGAACACACACAGCGGTATTCACAGCGGAGCGCGGTCGCGCTCAAATCAGTTGTGAAGCAGTCATTTTTTGATTTGACTATCTGATAAGGAGGTAGCTTGTAGTTTATTGTTTATCAGAATTCCAAATCGTAAAATTACTGCTTTACGACTTACGACGATTTGAGCGCGACCGCCGCTGCGAAAACCGCTGTGTGAGTTCGAAAAGTGAGTTACAGAATCGCGAGGCAGATGTTGTTTGCTCGCGAAGTACAGAGACGAACAGCTTGTTTTTTTAAAGTCATCTCGAAAATCGTGTTCGACTAGAAGACTGTTTTTTTACCTGTTATGGGCAGTATACAGTGTTGTGTTTAACCATAGTTTCTAAAAAAAACTTTATTTTTTGACACTTTTCTTATTTTGAACATTCCGTTACAGCCACTCACATAATTGTTCTTTTCGTAAATTAAACTCCTCTTATTTCATTATTAGATATCTGTTATTTTTAGTTTTGTTTCTATTCGTTCGGAATTTTCTCTATTTTAATTGTAAAAGTTTTATCATTCCCCATATCCCCAAAAAATACACGATGTATTTACCGTACCTGCTTAAGAAATTTTTTTTTGTTTAGTGCTGTGTGTAAAAAATTACTCTTCATCATCTTCCTCTTCTTGTCTCTGCCGGTATCGCATCATTTTACTTTCGTCTGCGCATTTCGTTGTTATGGTCATCCTAAAAGGATATAATAGAAGCCTACATACATTTAATATTGGACATTAACTAAAGGCAACGATTTGCACGTAAATTTTGACGGCGACAATAATATAAACAATTGAAAGTATTGTTGCATATAGATGTAACATTATCAAGTTACTTTCCACTTTAATATATAGAATAATTATATAACTTACTATTATAAATAAATTATCAACAAAGAATCTGATTATTGTAAAGTAAAATGAAATACACTTCGAATCTAAAACGTTTTGGCTATTAAAAGTTACAAATAACTAAACAAGTGTCTAATATACTATTGCATATATTCAAACATAAATAATTGAGCTTCCATGATTGAAAAATTTACCTCACTATATTTTCCGCTACGCCACATCTGGCCATTACGGTTTTAATAATATCGCTAATGACATTTGGGTCGAGCTTCGCTTTTGCTGGTTTGTTGGGAAACGCTGGAGACCTTTTTCCTGACATCGAGTGCGTTGCCAGAACTCTGCAAAATAAAGCAACGGTTATATATCGGAACTTCTTATTTATTAAAAACGTATCTTTTAAGATAGGACCACAGAAGATAGGATCAGTCATCAAGTTTTTTAACATGTTAATGTTTGAATTCGACCATTTCCAAGTCCCTTATATATAATAATATCAGAAATGCGAAAATTTTTCAGACTTGTGTTATAATTTCCTTACGTAATAGGTGAAAAATACTTACTCGCGAGGGAAAACAGCTATTAATAGTTTTCTTGTTGCGTTTTTATATGATTCCCACTTAATATTCGCTAAGACTCCCTTAGGGACCATGGCATATCCCTCTCCTAATAGAACCTATAACGGTACATTAAACATCGATAAATAAAACTTAAAATAATTTTATGTTTCAGCGTGACTTTAATTCATAAAAAAAACACAGCTAATTTGAAAGAAATAAAACAATATTTATTTATCATATTCAAGCTGCAATACAAAAATAGTTACCATATTGTTTCCACACTTATTCTTTGATTGTGAATTACTCGTACGGCGTCTGTTAGATGATTCCTGTTGAAGAGATTTTATAATATATCATATAATTTAATACCGTTTTAAGTACTACAAGTGTAACTATAGTATGTATCAGTTTGTATTTTTAATCCTAAGCAAGAGTGCAAGAAACGATAAATGAGATGGTTTCCTGTACTTCTTGAAACCGTGACAGGATAAAATCAATATTGGACTACACATAAATCCACCAAACAAAGCTAGTGTGATAAGATATTTACTGGAGTGCTTGTGCGAGCTTTTCTACATCTCTTCGTGCGTCTCCCCGTCGTAGAACGTCGTCCTTTCGATGCAACTACAGGAGAAGGACCCGTCGACATTTCAAGCTCCTCATTGTCCTCTATATTTGGCATCTCAGTTTTAACTGGTGTGCTCATAATTTGAATCTCAGTCAGAGGACTCCGATGTGATAAAGATTCAGATTTACCACCTGGTATTACGTCCGTTTGATTGGGTATGTTGACAGATTGTACGTTAATGATCTGGTTATCAGCTGAAATTTCGTAATATAGATCAAAATCAAGATAAGGAAAATCAAATTTCTAACCACAAATAATATTGTAAAACATTGTATTTTGGCTATAGAAATTAAAAAACCAAAAAATACTGTACTTACAATTCTCAGAAGGAACTGGATTATCGGTCGCCCTAAGATTCAATAAGGCTTCAGCGGCCAATATATCGGCGATATCTATTTCTGCAAGTATTAGATACTAAGTTTACTAGGCAATGATATAACTGTACCAACGTAGCTTACGAAAGCATTAATACAAAATATTTACCAAGCGTAGGTAGAATGTGGGTAAAATTGTATTCTTTTGTTTTAAACAATAGTTAACCCCGACACGCAATGGCGTGGACAAACAAAATGTTTCTGCAAAATTTTACAAACCGTCGTAAATATGATTGCTTGCCTTCTCAAACAGAATAGAAATATTTTTAATGGGAATTTGAGATTGTATATACTATTTACAGGTTTTTACTGTTGTTTCTATTCAATGATTGTAATAAATGTTTATGAATAGGTACTTTGATTAAACATAACATCAACTTTACATACCACTGGGCGGAAAAGGGATTTTCGATCCCTGAAGCTTCAACAGGGCTTGTACAGTTGCGATCTCCTTAGTTATCAGAGACATGTTTCTACAAATATAAATAATTAAAATATTATGACGACAAAAATCTAAAAAATGCGTTAACTCCAAATTCTAAAAATAACGAAAAATTTAAACTTTCAAATAGGCATTTAAGTAGGCATCCATCGTTAGGGCGGGCAGTATTAACCATTTGTCCACTGCAGGTAACAATTGGAAGCATTGTTAGCCCGAAAAGGGATGTAAGTCCAATCAGGTACCTGTGTACTTGTATTGTTTACAATGGTCATCCTATTAGATGTACTCGCATTGCCTAAAACCGGTTTGACAAATTACCTACCAAGAGAGCGCTCGCCTTACGAGCTATATAATTATGTACTTGAAATTTGCCTAAAATTATGAATTCATAAAACATTTAGGAATAAAACACTAACTACTAACGTTAACTTAGTGGTTATAAAAGGCGTAATTTATTATTAACAACATAACTAATAATTTAAATTCATTTATAAAAAAATATAACTTCAATAAGCCACAAATCTTTAAAATGAATAATGTAAAGGTAGAACAACCAATTAATTTATATTTTTAAAGTAAACGAATTTATACTTATTAATTAGTTTATTTATGCACAGGGTCTTTTGTAAAAATCAATTTATATTTATAGTTTTAATCGGTAAAACGGAGACGCGACGCGAGAATTTTTCATTCATGAAAATTTTAATAATAAACATCATAAATACTACTGTTTACATATAACTTTAATAAGGTAAATTACTTATTCATTTGATAAGTCTTCTATCTTACAATAAATACCGCTAACTTTTATTTTAAATTATTCAAAACGCCCTAAAAACTGTGATGCTTTGTTGATACGCATTTATAAAATATTATGGTTTTAACTAAATGCAGCGGCGATAACAAAATGGCGATTTGAATTGGTGTCGTAATGACAATACTTAATTAAGCTCTTCTCATTTGTATATTAGTTATTTGTTTATCAATTATATACATTAACTCTTTTCATACAAGTTTTTTGAAAGTTATTATTTCACAGGAAAATTTATGGTGAATTTTTAACTTTTTTTAAATTACAATATCTAAGATTCAAATATTTTGATAAATAATGTTCGTAGTTATGGCAATGTCTGAAAACTAACTGTTTGTGCCCAATTATTTTGACTTGTATTTTGATTTTGACTTTTCATAAAACACTATGAATTTAGCACAGTTATTTAGTAAATTTTTAAATTACTCCAAATGCTCATTTTATAAACATTTATTTCTCATTTTATAATTATTTTCACAATCCAAAAATTACCAAATATGTTCCCAATTATTTTGTATCAAAATAAAATCTAAAATAATGTTAGTTTGACATTATTTAAATTAAGAAAAATATACAATGAACAAAATAAAATGTTTTATTTTACTTACACTAGAATGTTGACTTAACTCGAAAAAAATATCACCAAATTTGACACTAAATTTACTTTTAGAACTTTCAACTTCAAGAAACCGGAAGACACTGACCGAATTTGCAAATGGAACAAAGTTATCTAGGTTTGGGGATGGTGCGTTTAAAACAAATCCTATAGCATTTTCCCTATCTCGTTTTCACCGTATAGAAAAGAGCGAGACATATGAACAGACTGGTACCAGATCACAATGTCTTTGAACATTCTGTATCCTTGTTGGTACTAATAATTTTAATTTATGTTTGGTTTATCCAGATAGTTTTATGGTTCCAGGCATATATGAATTCTAATAATAGGTTTCATTGCCCTACATTTAATAAAAACGTACTACACACTAAACGTATTACGTTCTACATACTACTTATGTACATTTGATGGAATCAAAAGTATGCCCATCCAATTTTTCCCTTACATTTATTTAAACTTTCACAATAATAATTGAGCCTGCTAAAATTTGTAATCGCTGACAATACTATTATGATTTATGCGACAAGTATTTATAAGTGCCTATAGGTTCGTATGAAGAATTGTTAATGTTATAAGGGTAATTTTCATTTTACAGCCAAAAAACTAACTTCCGTTTTGTAATTTTTTTTTAAATCAATATTATGTTACATTTATCTACTAATAATAATCTATTGTAATTCAAAGAAGACTCATCTGAACTAGGCCAATTCAAAATATACCTGACTTTAATGGTACGATTGACAGTCGAGACTCGTCGCCAATAATTTTACATAATATAGTCAAAGTAAAGTAAAGTATCTAAAGGTTTCCTTAGCATGTAAGATTTATTGAACTAACAAAAGAATAATACAATTTTCGTTGCTTTAGCGTCCACTCACACACGGTGTTAAAATATATTTTTCTATATATTCCATGATTCCAACGCACGCGTCCTGAAAATGTGTTTTAAATCTTAAAAGTCAAAAAGTCAAAATCATAACACAATGTACTTTCATAAGTGAAACTTCCTCAAAAAAGAAATATACATTAAATGCTTCTAATTTTACATTTACTGCCAGTTCTCAAATCAAGGGCGTAGAACGGAAGAGAAGAACTGGCAATAAAGAGTGGCGGAGCTCTTTTTAATCGCCAAGTTTTTGTTTTACACAACGTTTGTAAGATAAATTGCCTCAACTGAAAAGCAGTTACATTTTAGCATCTGTTTTGGTGGCATGTAGCTGATTTATAATTACCCCTATATGTACTTCAATCAATAACTGTTACGCCTATACCACTATATAACCAATATATAATATAAAACAATAATCAAGTCAAAAGTTTGCATCATAAATGCATTAAAAAGTATATTATGGTAGTAAATTCACTCGGGTCGTGTCCCATGTACCTGGATTTATGGGTGGTGAGGGTGTGAGGGAATAAAAGTTGACGAGAGGGACGTGAAACCTTGTTTGTCATAAACGCGGTATTCAGTTTACTATAAGTAATTAAAAAAGGTATTTGTATAAAGCTTTTAAAAATAAATTTTAAAATACCATATTCTTTTTTATAATTTTATATTATATTATGCATAATTTAATTTGATTTAGCTGATTCATCCTAATAATGTTAAAAATTTTATTCAATTGAATTATGTATAATTAAAAATGTCACGTTTTACCTACGTACCATAATGAACTTTTTACTCCTTTCTTTAAAAAAAACACGTCGCTGTCCCGATCTTCACTAACTATAATGAGCAAAAATGAATTAATTATAATAAAATAAATTACTTCACTTTTCTCAAAACAATCAAATTAAAAAAGGAGAAATTAATAAAATTTAGTACTTACAGTTTTTATCGATATTATATAAAAAGCTTTATTTTATTCATACACACATTCATATTTTTATAAACCGTGATCGTGTTAATCAAACTCTAAGCATTAATCACACATCGAAATTGTACCCACAAGAATTCTCGCTTGAGTATCTCAATTTATTTTGATCTACCTTTATTGACCGTACAAAAATTATATCTGGTTATTCAACGACTTATATATTTCTTTAGTTATAATGGGATTATAGACAGTAAAGCGAACAATAAATTATTAAAAATTATGATAATTTATTAAATATTTGCAATAGTTTATGAACAGTTTTTTTTAATTAATTTTTATATATACATCATCACGCCGCCTTTAGTGTCTTATTTTTAATCTTTTCCCCTCTTTGTTGCTGTGGGTATGAAACCGGATGAGCCTACGCATCTATTGTATTGATTTTAACCTTAGAATTGCACTAGGACGACGTAATTAATTACCGAATTAGTCATTTATTAATAGTCTTCTTTAAACTTTCAACCATGGAACAATGCTTATGGGTTTTAGTAGAGTGGGTGGATCATGATTCACAAGAAACAAAAGAATTTTCAAGTTATAGCGTGGTAAATGTGGCTTGGATAGATAGCAATGAGATAAGCGAGGGGAAGACTGTTCTAGTTCGAGATGGTGTTAAGGGAAAGCCGAGGAGAGGACAAGTTCATAAGATTTCAGGTTGGTTAACCTTTGTAAAATAAATACATTTGCTATTTTAATAAGTAACGAATCGTAGGCAACGACCGTTAACCGTCCTATCGTTACACCAAGTAACGGTGCAATAATAACTTTGTTTTTGCTGTTTTTGTTAATATTTTTATTTTAGAAGTGAAAAGCTATTTAGTAGAATTGTTGGGTGTTTTTTTGGGACGAGATAAAAAGTTACAACATCTGGTACCACTAGTTACGGACACGAACGAAATAGAAAAACCAGCTGAAATGGTATGTACCTATTTAATATGACTATATTATTATACTCTTGTATACTATTGTTTGGACATTTCATGGTTTAAATCTAAAAAATATTATTTATGCATACAAAAAAGTTATTTTTTTGTCATGCACCCTGCATGTGTATATTTAATTATTATATTTTATTATTTTATTTTTCTTATGAATTAAATAACTATATTTGTTATTTATACTACTTCTATACCTAGTATTGGCCTAGTGGCTCTAGTGTGCAATTATCATCCCTAAGGTCGTATGATAGATCCCGGGACCATACCAATGAACTTTCTGACTGTGCGTATTTAACACTCGCTCCTACGAACCGAAAACATTGTAAGGAAACCCGCATGCCTTAGACCAAAAAAAGGCGACTGAGTATGTCGGGCACAGAAGGTTGATCACCTACATGCCTATAAGAACAAATGATCCCAAAACATCTCAGGCCCATATCAAAAAGGTTGCAGCGGCTTTGGTTTTTTTTATTCATATCTTTATGTTTGGTTGGTCTGCATTGCTAAAAAGGGAATAAAACCGAGGACACTGCTGTTACAATAACAATTATACATTATTATTACATTTTTTATTTGATTTATCTTGTTATGGTTTCTTTGAATTTCCTGATGAAATCGGAAGGTCTCAAACCAAAAATAAAAGACGCATGCTTTTTAAGATGCAACACTCATAGAGAGTTATCAAATCATTATAATTATGTACACATATTTAATAATTAATACCCGTTCAATGAATAGCCATCCAAATACATATATTTTCAGATCCTACCTCTAATCAGTGAAAGTGACTTCATACGAGAAGATTTAATGGAAAACAGTGACAGAGAGGTCTGTATTTATTAACATTTGTTTTGAAAACTTTATCGGATCACACGTAAGGGCATTGGAGTGGTGGTACAGTTAACTGTGTTCATGCGAACTGAAAAGCACTGTTAACGTAGTAGTTTGTTTTAAATAGTGGACTTCCGTTTTCGTTTTGATTCCGTAAAAACATCTTATTTAAATATTATTATTCCATTTCATAGTTCGTCTATCAGCCGTACTTAGAAAATTAACTGTTGCTTATACCATTTAGTACCTAATGTTCTAAAAAAGATGGTACTAATCGAAACTCTTAATATGAAAGGGCTTATCTTTACTTCTTTAAATACGTTATCTTTATTCGAGATGCACCGTTCTGTAGATATAATTATTATCTTAGGGATAGTTAAAAGATGACTTGGAGTTTAATAAAATAAAATTTGTTTTTTATTACGACGTATTGGCTAACGGAGAGGAATAATTAATAATTTATAAATATATATATTATTAATTATTATATAATAAATTAAATAATAATATATATGTTAATGTACATATACTTACTTAAAAGTTAACGGTCACCATTAAATAATATCTATATTTTTATAATAACTACTCTTGACATAGTCATCAGTAGCTATTCAATTATATAAGGGAGTAAAATATATAAAGAAGATATTTTTTATGTAATTTGAACTAGTAGGTATAGCAATATATTGTTAAACAAGCTATACAGTAGCCGTGCTATCATCACGGTAAAAGACTCTTTAGACGAATTAAAAATGTGATTAATTTCGTCAATATTAATGAAGTTTTATTTAGTATATAATAATATATAGTTGAAACATCTATATTTAAATGTGAATATATTCCTTTTAGATTTTTTTATTGTGTGTGCTATGCAGTATGAAATAAAAATCAACTTGAAATATATAACAATTTTAGAGCAAAGCAAAGCTTAGTTATATTAAAAACCAGCTTATTTTTTTTTTTTTTTTTCCAGAACTCATCCATAGAGTATGTCTTCGATAGCAGTGATTCCAATGCTGAGGTATATAAATTATATTTTTGTAAGTAAATTTAGATTTTTTACGGCCTTAAAACCCTACAAGGAGTGTAAGATTACTTATTTATTTAACTGTTTACGACGAATTGTTAGCACAAACGATACCTACTTAATAGAAACCGTTTAGCCGGGAAACGGAACATAAATATCATTCATCACCTAAGCCGAAATCAGATGTAATTTTGTCTCAACATTTATTAAAACTTTAGGCGAATGCTACATTTACAGATGAAACCCGAAATTATATTACCTAAGCTATTGATGGTGATTCTTAAAACTATTTTATTGCATATATTAAGTTTCATCGGTTAGTAACATCTTAGCTAATACCTATTAGGTACTGTAAATTTATAAAAGCTGACACGAAGCTGTTAATAGGGTTTCTTCTTTTATACTAACATATCTGACTAATAATAATCTTTGAGTCAATATATTGCTATTGTTTTAGCAATCAACGCAAAACGACCAAAGTGGTAATGCCTTGCAAGAAACAAATGACAATTATTCTAATACCACTCCAACCAATCCAGAGGTCTGTATTTCATATATCTTTAAAAGTTTTAGAACTTCGCGCAACAAAGAACACAAGAACTAAGGCTATTTGTGTGATTTAACAAAATTGTGTGTAAACAACTCCTCACATTATTAAGGAATGGTGAGGAGACAGACCTGACTTTGACTTGGGCATTCCGAAAAGGTGGGAGCTTGTAGTTTATTGTTTATCAGAATGCCAAATCATAAAATGACTGCTTCACGCAAAACCTCTGTGTGAGTTCGAAAAGTGAGTTACAGAATCGCAGGGCAGCACACAAAACTTCAATCACCGCTATGTGAGGTCAAGTTTCATAAACGCCACTGAATTTTATTATATTTTGTCAATCCCTAAATAGACATTGAGTTAGAAAAACGTCATAAAATATGTTATAAGATTAAATAATAACAATTTCACATTACACGTCCCTTCTCATTCGATTTTGAAATCTTACAAAAATAAAGATATTAAACTATAATATCTTTAAAAATATTTTTAACTCAGTTGTCGAAAGAAGCTATGTAAATAATATTTTCTTTAAGGCAACGCCTCGAACTGAGCAAAGTCACCAAACATCACAAGAAGGAAATAGAACCGATAACACAGAAACTAATGTAGAGGTTTGTAACTATATTATACAAGTGAACTAATCGAAAAAAAAGGAATATAAGTTCACATAGTCAATCGTACATTTCATTACCAGGAATATAAGTAGCTGTCATAACGATGGCTCTGTATGTAAATAAATGTGTTTTTTTATATTTTAAAGAACCGGGAATAAACAGGCAGGAGGCAAATCTGATGTTAAGTGATAACGCCGCCTATGGACAGTTTAAAAACATATAAAGAGTGGTAATAATATATCTCTGTTTCACCAACGTCATAATATTTCCGCAAAAAGAGTGGTAATACAATATTATGTTCTAGACATTCGTCAAAACGTGCCGTCGTTACTGTGTCGTCCGTAATTATGTTAAAGCAGTAAACAATAGTTAGTTGATAAAAGGGCCTGGGACTAGTGCTAGACAGGCTACTTCTAATTAATTTGCGATATTTGTTTTAAATAAGTGTTGTTTGATGATTTGCTGTTTTAAAAGAGTACCGAGAGTTTTTTACGCCGGCTTTTTCTCTCGGCCTACACCCTCTGTCTTCTTTGCCGATGAGTAGGGATGCCTAAAAGTTCAAATTTAATGACGTGGAATAAGTGATACATGTATCTTATGTTCCATAATAAACATATTTTATTTTATTTATTTTATTTTAATGGTTAATAGTTCGGTAATTACCAGTAACCATTAAAAATGGTCCAGTGAATAGGCTACCTCGCTCTTACATTTGATTACTAACATTGATGAAAATATTGATATACTTATTTTACAACTTACCGTAACTTTGATTATCATACACATATCATATATTAGAAGATGAGCAAGCTAGCAAAGGAAAAATAAAAATAAATTAATAAAATAATAACTAAAAAAGTAATAATAACTGAAAAAAAAATTATAATAATTGGTACTCAACTAGAACTAAATGAAAACTTAAACCTTAATACTTTTTTAGTTATTATTTTATTAATTTATTTTTATTTTTCCTTTGCTAGCTTGTTCATCTTCTAATATAATTGATGTTTATGTGTATATATGAGTAGAAAATTTGTGATATCATAATATTTTCTTAAATAAATAAATCGTAAAACGCTTTTGCTCTTCAGACTAATTAGATTAATTATTATATTTTTAACAATTTTCACTAAATACATAACAACAATGTTTCAAGTCATATTGAAAAAATAGCTTTCATTTGATAAATGTATACATATATTTTTATTATACGTACTTAGTATCCTAATAATAACAGCATTACCTTTTTTATATTTCTTGAAAATAATAGATTTTCTTTACCACTTTGTTCCCCTCGGCAAGCGATGTGTCTTCTTGGGGTTAAATTAAGTTTCATTCCCGTTTCCTTCAGATTTTTTTTGTTTTAATAGATATAAACTTTGGATATACATTAAATTGCAAAATAATAACATAAAATATAAAAGATAAGTCAAGAAGTTTATACATACATTATTATTATTTTAGACTACATAGATCTTTTATTTTATATTTCAATAAAAATTTACTCCAAGATACTCGTAATTTGTTAAAATAAACAAATAGTGATCCCAAGTAATGGGATAAAAAAAAACAGTAAAAAGAAAATCTTTCAATATATAATTTCAAGCTTTTAATATTAATTCTTACTTTTAGGCTTCATCCCCAAACGTTCAAAGTGGCCAAATATCACAAGAAAGAAATACAAATGACAATAGTAACATTGAAACGAATATAGAGGTTTGTATGTTTATGAAATGATAACTAAATATACTAGGAAACTGATTAAGAACATATTACAGTTTTGGGTTGCTTAGAAATTAAAGTAGCTACTTGACCTAAGCTCGTACATACGCTACATAGCTTGTACGCACGTACCTACATGTTTTTGTAGAAAACAAATGAACAAAGAAATTAAATTTAATCTAGTTTTTTGTGGTAAGAGAATATAAATATATCAAGCCTTGAGATAACAAATCATATATATTTTTTAGCTACGTTGATGAGGATTTTAGATTTCTCCTTAAGTTTTTTTTTTAGGCGTTACCAAACAATCAAAATGGCCAAGAGTCACAAGAAAGAACAAGAGTCGCCAATAACACTCCAGCTAATATAGAGGTTCGTACCTAGATATATTATACCAGTGCAGGTATAGGCATTATAAGTACTAGATTTACAGAAAAAAAAATAATACATATGTTTATTATTTTATACTAGGAATATTTGGACAAATTGTCATATCATTATAGATTTTTAGAATATAAATGGTAGGACTAAACTAAATTTAGTCTCATTTGGTTTAGGTCACATCAGGACGTGAGTAGATACATAACTATTTCCAAGATCATAAATATGTATGTTAAAATAATAAGTTCAAATAAAACAAAAATTGACTGTGCGACGGGGACATAAAAGGGGAGGGGCAATATAAAATACACGTTTCTGAAATTAAAATTTTCTTTTAGGTTGCCTCACAAAGCCACGAAAATCGTAATCTATCGCAGGAAAGAATCGACGAATTGACGATTTCGAATAGTAATACTGAAAGAATTCAACCGGTTAGTATATTAACATACTATAAGTGTATTAAATTCAACTGGAAAACCCTTAATATATTTTTAGGCTACTTTGATTTACACCGATTACAAATTTATGATAGATACTACAGGCTTCAGTGAAATACGTTGAAAACTGGAGTTCTTTTGTTTTAACAGACATTTAGAACCTAAGTGCCCTCCCTCACCGGGACGCCATGGCGACGTGGCCAGCGACGTTACCATGGCTTCTATTGGCGTCTCTGCGTCGCCAGACTGAGTCTCCAAATCGCGTCGCCAATGCATTCAGTTCTGTCTCGACTCAAAAATCAAAATCAAAAATAAATTTTAATTAAATGATCAATAAAATTATAATAAAATAATAATTATTATTTTATTTAATCATTTTAAATCATTATTATGTAAAATATTAATAGTTAGGAGAGCAGGAGCCTTACTAACAATTTATTTCAGGATGACTAAGTAAAAAACGTAATTAAGAGACTAAGGAAAAGCAAAAAAAATGCTATAGTGTGCTAACTGCTAATTCGCCAGGTAGCCAGCGTCGCCGATCGCCGCATGCGGAGCGGTCGACTCTGGCTACGCTGGCTACTTGGAGACGTCGCCAGTCGGTAGCCAAGTGAGTTTTAGCCGGCATACATCTTAATATTATGAACTAGTTGGCGACGTCGCTGGCCACGTCGCCATGGCGTCCCGGTGAGGCAGGGCGTTTAAACTGCACAATCACAATAAGATAAATTTTCTAAGATTTCCTTAGATTCCTCAGGCTTGTTTTGTTTCGAAGTCGAAACTTTACTTGGTTGTAATTACATCGTAGAAACCATTTTCCTTCAAACACTAACTGGCCTGAAGGCGAAGGTTGAGAAATTGTATTTATCTTAAGCTGGCGGAATACATTTGTTAGGCGTTTCATTGTACGTCATCGCAATGATTGGAGCTGTAGAATGAAGGTGTCGCTACAAAATAATTAAAATAAAACATAACTCGGCTATTTATCGCAATGTAATTAAATTACCTATATGAAATAGTTTAACCATTGTCTGGCTGAGCTACACTCGTCAATATAGTAGTTGAGCTGTCAACATGGGCGGATCGTGAATTTGTAGGGCTCTGGGGTATTACGGGGAAGTCCCCTGTAATTGACGCACACGCGAAAAAATTCACCCACCGGAAACTAGCGACTGTTTTCAGTGGGGACTGGGGGCCCTTTGTATCCACGGGGCCTTGGGTTGCAGCCCAAAAAGTCCTTGGGTAGATACGCCCCTGGCTGTAGATTCCATTAAAAAAAAATTGTTATTGAAATATTAATTTCTAGCTAAGCAATTATTGAAAGAAGCTTCTTAGATTATTTTTTTAGGTTACATCTCTAAACGACCAAACTGACCAAGCATCGCAAGAAAGAAATAGTAACATGGAAACTAATACAGAGGTTTGTGTCTGAATAATAAAATTTTGAACTGATTTGACCAATTTGGGAAAGTCACCAACATACGCATAATTCGCTAGTTCAAGAGCAAAACTTTACCCAGTCGAGTACAGTCGATACTGCAGCTGCAGGAACTATTACTGAATTATTGGTACGTACATAGAAACAAAAGAACACTTAAATGTGAAAACCGTATTTTTAATAAAAATTATTAAATTTATCCGTGTACTGCGTAATACGGTAACGCCCATAGTTTATTTAATTAACGATATATTAATAATCGCTCTCGAAATAATAATAATCCAGTGGCGCTACAAGCCTATTTGGGTGCGTTTTCCAATTACAGAGCATTTTTCGACTCAGTGCCGCACAATGCCGCATAATGCTGAAGCTTAATTGGAACGTGAATTAGTTTTCAAATGCATCAGCAGAGTGCGCTAAGTCAGTGTTGACAAAAAAATGGTCTGAATAGAGTTAGCAACCTCATTAATGTATAAATAATGTGGTAAACAATAATAATTGGTTGAAAACTTTTTACGCTTAATTTAATAATCAAATTATTTCATTAAAATTTTTTTACTGAAATAAGAGAAAACCTTTAAAGAATATAAGGTTTTAACAAGCTAAATTAACAGTAAAATATTTAGTTTCATGTAAGAAGTTTACATCATTTACGTTTTGAGTAATATTTATTAATGATTTCTAAAAAAATATATACTTTTTCAAAACCATTGCAATTTTTTCTAAAGTATAATCCTGTAAAGTAAATTTGTTTACAGATCCGAATTTTAAAATAAAATTGTATTCATATTTTAAATGTGGAATATAAAAAAAAGTAACTATTTATACCTTCATCCATACTAATATTTATTTTTTTAGCAGTTTGAAATAACTTTAATTATTTTCAAAATCTACGACGAAACGAAAGCCTTACAAATTTTTCAACAATAAATAATATTTACTTTCGATAAATAAATAATTTCGATAAATGCCAACTTAAAGAAAAATACTGGTCAATTTTCTGTCACTGTGTTGGTATTGTTTGCGAGAGCATTCGTTTTGAGAGTGCTCAATTGTGCGAAGCGTTGCTGTAGTTGGAACACTCAACGTTGAGCATTATGCCGCAAAATGCGCTCTAGTGCTGTAATTGGAAAACGCACTGGGTCTTGGTCTCAGATTGCATCTGTTTTTTTGATCATTTATATTTCATAGACTAGTAGGTCAGCCATCTCTGTGTGACACTTGTCAACGATTTTTGGATTTGACATGCCGGTTTCCTCACGATCTATTCCTTAACCGTCCGAACGAGTGTTAAATGGACAGAAAGTCGATTAGTGCACAACCGGAAATCGAACTTATGGCCTCAGGAATGAGAGTCGCATGCTGAAGCAACTAGACATATTTTGTAGCAAATCGCTACAAAATATGTCAAAATATGTCGCTTTGCCTACAATTATGTGACTTTGTATCATAAAGCCACAATTCAAAAGTTATAAGTAAAAAAGGGGAAAAAATTCATAGTGTCCCATAAATAAAATTACGTCCTCTAACAAAATATGTTCAGTTTGGCCCTCAAATTGTAACCTTTCAATTATTAATATGACATTTGCATTCGAATACGGCTGATTAAGGGTTTTATTTATAGTTAATTCTGAATGTAGATTGTAGACCTACCACTCGATTTGCAAATAAACCATTTATTTACTTAAAATATTAATTTACATCAGTCACATGACGTTTAATGTCATCGGAGACTGATTATGTTCGAATTTCGAAATACAATATGTGTATGTGTAATTTAAGAATGATAATTAACACGTAAAAAACTTGGATGTTTGTTTACGTATGGTATGTCATAGGGTTTGGTGCGACGCCATCTTGCATAGAGAAGTTTTGGCGGGTTCTTGATATCAAATTTTAATTTGATTTTTTTTAATAATTTTTTTATGACATACGATAGGTATTCATAGTCCGCGCCAAGTCTCATTTTAAACCTTACCCTAAATGGTTACCCCATCTGACATATTTGCTTGCCTGAAATTATTATTGTAACGTAAACAATTCTTTGATAGAAATCAATGTGTCTATGTATGTATATATCGACAGACTAATATAGTGTACACTTTTCCCGACGTACCAATATGCTTATTTATGATAATATATTGCAGATACCTATCGGAAGAGGTAACGTAATGATACCAGCTCCACTCTTAAATGAAATTGATTGGACGTCGTACTCAAATGCCACTCGGATGTTATTACAAGCTGTATTTCCAAGGTAAATTTATTTTTGAAGATGTCTTATGTTTGCTTAACTTGTAAGTACATGTTTTATTTAATTTAAATTGTCTATTTCAGAGTACTACTTAATAACACAATAGCGATGGCCGATAGGTCTGCAACAAAGTGCTTCGATCCCGTCATTGTGAACGACATAGCAAACATGGTATCTGAAAGATGCGGAGTGCCAAAGAGAGTAGTAAGGTAACCAACTAATCTTCTGATTACACTAACACCAGGACATAGATTAAGAATTGTTTCTTGCCCTATTTTAACTAAACTGCCTCTTTTTGTCAAATTGAATGAAAGTGTCATATAAAACAAACAAAAATATAGATAGTTAAAACTAAAACTTAAAGTTAAGGGATTGTATAAAAAATATGTGGAAAGTAAACAAAAGTCAGGCCATAATTGATGTCTTTTTGGGAGTTTGATAACTATAATAATATTTTTCAGGAGATATATAACAACCAATTGTGTTGACGAAATTAAACTCTATCGCAATCGTCAAATTTTTAAAAGGCTACGTCAACAGAACCATGAAATCGAGCCGCCGTCTCCCGTCTCATCAAATGAAGATTCTAACACTAGTGAATAAAATATAATAATAATATATATATATCTCACATAGAAAATACGGATGACAAATAAATTGACATGCAAATATTACACTCTGTAGTCTTATTTTCTGACCCGTTGTTTATGAATCTATATACAAGATATTTTTTTAAATATAAAGTACAATTCCGTATAAATCACAAAATGCACTTAGGGCCGGTTTTTTAATCCGTAGTTAACTCAACTATTGGTTTAATATTCTAACTATTGGTTAAATATTCTAACTATTAGTTAAATATCAGCAAAATGCTGAATTCATTTTTTGATCCGTGGTTAGAGTAACTAATGGTCAAATATCTACCCATTAGTCTTAAAAGTTTACTAGTCAGTAGTCAGTATCGGTGGGTTAACAAGTTGGCCGCTGGTTATTTAATATAGTAACAGCTGTTTGTCACAGAAATCAAGCTGCAATACGTTTATTACTATCTAGTGATTAATTTAAACGTAGTTAGATACTTTGATGTCGAAAGTTCTTCAGAAGAAGAAGATGATAATATTATATTAGAATATGTTTTAATGAGAAGAGCAAAAATATTTAGGCAACGCCATTAGAAACCTGGGATGATGTTGATTTTGCCACCGTTACCGCCTATCGAAAGAAACAGTACTCTGGATGGTTACTGAAATTGGGAACGACCTTAAAACGCCCACCCTCAGGTATGTACATAGCTACCTTCATAAGATTGCCTTTTCTTTGCTTCTAGGTACTTTGATGCAAAATTTCTAAAATGAGTTTTTATTCCAGGATGGATGTATTAAAATTGATGCTATCACTCCTATGAATACTTATTGGTGTTACAAATGATTTCTGATTGCCATTGATTTAAAAGTACGTTTCTTGTAAAACATCTGAAAAAACGTATGTGACGTTCGTACGATTCTTTTAAAAAACATTTAAAAATTACAATTGCATTATTTTCAATTTACAAGTTTAATTTGAAATTTACTTTTATGCTAGTACTGGCTAGGTTATATTAATTCAATTGTATTTGTTTGTTAAGGTACAAAATCTTCATAAACACAAAAACTAATGAATGCAATAGATAATATTATGTATTCAATAAACAATACATGAATGTAAGCAGTGTAAGTCTTGTGGCTTCAGCGTGCTCTCTGTCTGAGGTCGTAGGTTCGATCTCCTCCTAGAAAATAAAAATTATCAAAGAAACGGATACAATCTGAATTATTATATCAAAATATATTTGTCGTTTTAGTTAGAGTTTAGTTTCAGGGCTGTACTTAAGAGGGCGTCACATTAAGAATAGCTTTAAATTTTATCGGAAACTATTACAAATGCCATGGGTATACTTTGAAGTTTGGTTAACATTAAGTAATGTCATCTATGGTTAAGTCAGTGTTAACATGTGTCTAAACTCTCTCTAACCAATATTGAATATTCAACAAGTAATTTTTTTAGCATTTCAATTTATGATAAATAAGAATTAAATAAATGTAAAAAAGAATTGAAAATGAGTGACTTTCAAGAACAAGAATTTGTGTCAGCGGAACACGACCATTTAGTGAGTGCAATAACAAAATTGGACAAAACGCAACATATTACAGAGCCCACTCGTAATGAACCCACAAATCTAAGTTCAGAATTTAACTTAATAAAAAGCTCAAATAAATTAGATTTGAGTAAAGTTGTTACTGCTCTGAAGGACAGTGCTCATCATACAATCATAACAAAAAAATTAAAAAGTCTCGACCAAGGGCAGGTTTTACTCAAACCTTTAGAAAAACCACAGGCTGAACGAATTAAAAGGTCAACAGGGTATGATGCTACCAAAGAAAAAGTGGCTAAATGGGATCCAGTTGTAGCAAGGAACAGAACAGTGGACTTTGTTTCCTTCCCACTACATTCAGTCTCCAAACGAGAACATCCTACAAAAGTAATCTTGTCTAATTTAAAATCTAAATCTCCTTTAGAAAAAGAGCTAGATGAGATTGACCCCCCAGCAGAAGTTGAAGAGGAAAATAAAGAGGAACAAAGCTTTCCTATGACTTATGAAGAAATGTTAGAACACAGAAAAGAAATGGCTAAGTTGAGAGCTCAGCAATCATATAAAGCAGCAAAAGCTAAGAGACAGAGTAAAATTAAAAGTAAAAAATATCACAGGTATGATACTGGTATATTAAACTAGTACAAATAGTCATAATTGGTATATATCATATATCTGCACATAGCTATGCAGTGGCCCTCGATCTGAACAACAAATAAATCTTGTATTGTGCTACATGATAGACATAGGAGCTTTGTAACTTTTCTATAACTATTAATACATCATAATTATTTACAGAATCCTTAAAAAGGAGAGACTGAAACAACAGCTTAAAGAGTTTGAAGAATTACAGGAGAAAAATCCTGAGGAAGCTTTAAAAAAGTTGGAGGAGTTAGAAAAAGCAAGAGCTCTTGAGCGTCATACTTTAAGGCATAAAAATACAGGAAAGTGGGCTAAAAATAAACTAGTCAGAGCAAAATATGATAAAGAGGTATATAGAATAATTGTATATTTCATTTTATTTTTTCATAATAAATACTTAATTTTAACTTGTTTATAGGTAAGACAACAATTAGCTGAGCAATTAGCAGTGAGCAGGGGACTTACACATAAAACACAAGATAGTGAAAGTACTGATGATGAAGCTGATGAAAATGAGATACTACCAGATATGACATTAGCTCAGGATCCTTCAAATCCGTGGATGATGAAAGGACCTAACAAAAGCAATGTTGATACTGATTTTGATTTTGGCTACAAAAAATTTTTAAAGGAAAAAGTGCTGAAGCATACAGAAGACAGTGAGTCTGAAGAAAATGATGAAACAGTTTGTGATTTATCTGCACTTAAGAAAAAAAATTATATATTGGGTGCACTAACAAACAATGTTCATGAATCAAGTAATCCTAAAACTGATGATGAGGCCAAGGCATCTAGCCCTTTAGGTAACTCCAAGAAGAAACCAATGGAAAAAATGAATGCTAAAGTTACTTTTATGAAACAAGACAGAAATATTAAAAGACCTATAGCAACATCTGAGTGGACAGTTGAAATAATCAAGCCAAATGATAGCACTGAATCAGGTGAAATTAAGGTTGCAGAGGTTTTTGATACATTTGAAACTAAAGTAGCGAAACAAGTTGAAATAAAAATAAATAAATTAAGGAAGAACATCAAGCGATTAGAGAAATCATCTAGTAAACTAAAAGTTGTTAAAAAAAAAGGGAGGGAAAGGGAACAATATTAGTAATTTGGAATCTCTAATGTTTAAAAATAATAATCCAAAGCCTATCATTGATGAAGAGTTAATAGAGACAAATCTTAAGGCACCTGAAGATTTACCTCAAAAGACAGAGACTTACACAAAAATTATTCAATATCCATCTGAACAAGCTGCCCATTCTAACAATAATTCTAATATTGATCCAAGTCAATTTATTGAAGTAAAACCCAAGTATCTCAACACTGCAATTCCAAAAGGTGAAAACATCTTAGATGAATTAGATGATGATGAACAAATTGTTCCAAAAATTGATATAGAAGAAGTTTTTGAGGAAGATGATGTTGTAGCAAGTTTCAGACAAGAAAAACAAAATGAAATTGATAATGCTATTCCTAAAGAAATTGACTTGCAGTTACCAGGGTGGGGAAGCTGGGGTGGAATAGGAGTAAAAGCACCTAAGCGAAAAAATAACAGGTTTATTTCCAAGAAAATACCTAAGATGCCAAGACGTGATGAAAATAAAGGGGACATTATAATAAATGAATTCAAATTGCCTAAACTAAAAGCACATAAGGTATCTGAATTACCATTTCCATTTACAAAAGTAAGTGATTTTGAGGCCTCAGTTAGGGCTCCACTTGGTAATACCTTCATTCCTGAAACAGCTCACAAAAAATTAATTCGACCAAATATCATCACGAAAGCTGGCACAATAATAGAACCCATGGATGATGAACAGCTTTTGATTAAACGTAACCAAACATTTAAGAATGAAAAGATTATAAAGCTGCTAAGTAAACAATAAAAGAAATTTATTTATTAAAAAATGTTTTATTTAGCTAAGCTCCAACCCTAACAGGTGGTGAAACTAAGATTACTCCATCACCTCTTACAAACAACATTGGTATATTTCTTTTTGTACTTCTATAAACTTCTTCATATGTTTCTTCATCAATCTCTACTGTTGTAATAGTCTCTTCTGCATCTCCAAGGACCATATTTAAATGTTGATCATAAGCCTAAAACAATATAATTATGTAACTGATAAACTTTTCCATTTAATATTTTATCTCATGACAAATTTTGTTATTTAAATCTACAGTTTCTGTAACAAAGTTAACATTTTAGATGTTTTAGAAATAGTGGGGCAAACCACTTATTAAATATGGCAATGCATGTATAGTTCCTTTTATTTATATTTGCATACATAAAAACCAACCAAAGGCAACCAACCCTTATTAGATTAGATAGATAGCTTAAGATTTTCTATTCTTTTCTAGTTTTTTTTTATTGGCAAGGAGGTTACCAGTCTTCTGTGCCTGAAAAACACCATTAACTTTTGGGTCAAAGGTATGCTGGTTTCCTCACAATGAAACCTTCCTGCACCATGCAAGCAAGTTAATTAACTTTTATGTAATTTTACACTTAGAAAAAAATCTGATGAAGGTTGCATGAGTAAATTGCCATAACTGCTCTTATATATTTTATTTACATACATATAGAGAGTACACATAGTTAACCACAAGATAAAGATCCAAAAGTTTTAGAAATACATTGGTGCCAGGGTATATTGATTACCAGGGTTATGCTCTTCTAAGGGTAAGATTAAGAACTGATAATTAGCTATGTCTACGGACTCAAAACTGAATTGTATTTTCATAGACCACGCTAAGTATGCTTTCTTAGCCGGGAAGACTTGGAGCGAGGTGAAATACGAGGCTCAAGACCGAACGCGATGGAGACTCACTGTGGACGGCCTATGCCCCATCTAGGGGTTATAGGACATTAAGTCAAGTTAAGTCGTTTGCTTTATTTAAAAAAAATTATCTTACGTGCAATCTTCCTCGTAATTCGCGTTCATTGCGCATTTTGACATAAATCCTTTCGTCCAAACTAAGCCTTATCAAGTCCAGAGGTTCTTTTACGGTCATCACCGCCACCTGAAAGAGTTTTCAATATGTAGCAAATTCAAAGTTAGCAAAATTTATTTAGGTATTATATATCAATCTACTCGAAGTCAATTTAAAATAAAGTCGGGTTATAAAAATATAATACAAACGTTTTCTCCATCATCAGCCATTTCAAAGTCCTAATTAAATTATGATATAGCTTTACTATTGTTTAATATGCGATTTTAGAGAGTACTTAGATAGTTAGCACTAAAATATATTTAAAAAGAACTTCAAGAGGTACTACATTAATTCATCTTATTGCTTATTTTTAGTTTTACAATTTACATTTTACGCTTCTATCAAATTGACAGATTAAGAGAAGACTATAATTTATATCACAGATATAGCGACATAAGAGAGATAGCAATAAATTATAAACAAAAATCCGTCATTAACGCCAAAGACAATTCAATAAAAAAATTACATTAACAGTAAAATTAAAAGCTAGCAAGTGGCAAAGAAACAGTGGACTCAATCCCTACATTTAGAAATGAGATTGATCATTGAGTTAAAAGTGACTCCTGTGTGTCAAAAACGTATGGGGTTTTGACATACGGAAGTCACAGTTCAACCTTAATAAGTTTCACGTTAAACGTTATATTTAAACATAAATTATACGTTTTATAATTTTCTATTCTTTAAAAGAATACATTTTTGATTAAATAATCTATAATGATCATGCATAGGTATAGGTTGTTCAGAGCTTTCATTGATTAATCGTTTCGTATGTAAAAGTCCCTGAAGAGTGTCCGTTGACAGTTTATTTCGGCTAGAGGTTTCCAACAAATTGACTGAAGAAAACAATCTTTTGACATTAGCACTACTATGCGGCAGTACAAGAAGTTTTCGGACGAATAGACTCAACAAAGGGAATATTTGTGTGCGATCGCCATTTCTAATTTAAATCTGTTAAGGAATCTTGACTAATTTTGTCTTTTGAGTTTTATCTGTCAAATTGTCAATTGTCAAACTACAAGCGATAACACCGAGCGTGTTTTAGAAAATAATTAACTATTAATTTACCAATAACAAATTAACAATTTACTGCGTCTAAAAACAAATTTTAATCTTTCCAGGTTTCGTTTATATTCCTATTGTTTAATATTGTGTGAAATGATAATTTTTTACGAACTTTAATCGTAATGGTGCGAAGTGGGTGAGTGTTTTACTTTGCGTTGTAGTTAAACTTAGTTCTTACATGGGTTTGTTTAATAGAGTAACGTTAACATATTTCTATTATTTTGCAGACGTGATCGTGACCGCCGTAGGTCTCACAGTCGTTCTGTGACTCCAGAAAGGAAAAGACGGCGTTCCCGGTCCAGAAGCCGTGATAGGCTATCCAAAACATCAAAACGGAAGCGCAGCCGCAGCAGGGAAAGAGATACAAAACGCGATCGAAGTCGAGATCGCGATAGGGAGAGAGATAGAGACAGAAAAAGGTATTATTTGTGCTTAAGTTATATTAAATATTCATAACCTCAATACACCTCAGATATTGGTATTACGAATTCTAATATTTTCTTAAAATCATATTATTATATGATTTTAAGTTTTATATTACTGTTTTATATTATTATATAAAACAGAACTAGAGTTTTACTATTGAACACTTTTGTTCCTAATTTTGCATAGTCCAGTGTCAGCTAGAGATTTTTTAATGTTATATGTATTATTTATAGAGACAAAAGGGAAGAAAAGAGTAATGGCTCTAGTAGTAAATCTAGAAAGAAATCACCAGATAGAGAAAAGGAAAGTGAGAGGTTAAAATCAAAAGAGGAATCCTTAAAAGCTGAATCTGATTATGACATTGGATCCGCTGATAAGGTAAGAAATAGAATTATAAAGCTTTTATTATTTTGTTTATTATGTGTTCGAAATTATCAATTAAAGAAAAAAAAATATTGCTATTTTGGTCTTTAGAAATGATTTATATGGCAGTATATTGTAAAATTGTTACAAAATTTTAATATAGTAAAGTATCTTATTATGTTATTCTGACAATAATTAGTGTAGTGTGTATCAATAGCCTTTCAGTTTAGATTTGTGAAAACAGAAGATAGAAAGATTCGTTTTTTAAAGATTAATAGAATATTGTAGTTAGAACATTATATATATATATATATATATTATAGTTATGTATCCAACATTTTTCCTAATTGCTTTACTTACATCAATGGAAAAACTATGTATATTAAATTCAATTTCATTTGACTTAAAGTGCAAACAAATATTAGTGTGAAGATGATCTGTGAAAACACATAAAATATAATTTAACCTTTTTCTAATGTTATTTTTTTGGAATCAGATTTGTACATAATGTATCACAATGTATATTTTATCATACCTACGTAAATGACCTTTACTAAGTTGAGTTTTTTAAAATATGATACAATTTGGCAAATTTTAATAAATTATAAAAGTATAACCATTGCTTAACCCTTTCTTAAAATGAACTATCACTAACATTTTTAAAGTAACAATATTATTAATAGGAAGAAGAACAGAATAGACTAGAAGCAGAAATGCAAAAGCGTCGCGATCGTATAGAGAGGTGGCGTGCTGAACGAAAGCGGAAGGAATTAGAATCTGCCAAGAAAGAAGTTCAAAAGGGTAGTTTAGTCACCAATATACAGACACCAACTGTCAAAAAATGGTCATTAGAAGACGACTCTGGTGATGAAGGTATTTAATTTCGTACTTTTGATTAGTTTTCATATTACAGCTTATCATTTGCAAATAATAAAAATCCTTGTGCTAATAAACTGTTCATATCTATTTATTTAAAAAAAAATATTTTTAACAGGTGAAGAAGATAAGGAGGCCAAAGAGAAGCAATTGGCAGAAGAGAAGAAAGAAGAAGACGAAATTGATACTCTTGATGCATACATGCAAGAAGTTCAACAAGTAAGTTTGGGACATATAAACTTAACTTATTTATGTTTAAAAAGTACCTGAGACATCTGGTTTTAAATCTTTTTGGTATTCATTTTGATTGTGGATTTATGAATTTAACAAAGCAGAACTGGCAACATCACAAATTAAATTCAACATTACTGGATTATAAAATGTTATAAAAGGCCTCTGTATATAACCTATATATAGCTAGTTTTCATACCTTAATAACTTTTAACCAAATATTACAGGAAGTTCGTAAAGTGAATCAAATAGACCATGCTCGTGGAATCATAAATCTGCCATCATCTGATTCTAGTGTAGTTATCCTAACCGGGACTGCCAAGAAGCAAGTGGCAGAACAGAAAAACAAAGGTTGGTGGGATATATCTTATTTAAGTTAATTTTTTTATTTCAGAATAATTCTTCTTTTAATACACTCAGTATTACTCAGGCACTACTTTAATTAATCTCATAACATGGGATTGAATCTGTAGCAATACTTTCAATCTATGGCTATCACTGTGATGACGTCATACCCTGAAACTCGCAAATGAAGTTATTACGGCCTATAAGTATACATATGTCACCGTAAAATTGTAAACACCGTTAGATTGTAATCTATCTCGCGATATTGTGAACTGTCGAAAGATTGTGAACTGTCGGAAGATTGTGAACCTCAACGCACTGCTTACAATTATTATTTGGTAGATTGTAATCTATCGAAGTGAAACCGTCAAATTACAATCTTAAAATTGTCAAATTGTTAACTGTCCGAAGGCTGTTCCTGATTGGTCGGCTTTATAGTTTCACTTTCACTTCGATAGATTACAATCTAACGGTGTTTACAATTTTACGGTGACATATACAACACCTCCATCCTAGCCAAGTAATAAAAATAATATTTAAACTCTTTGTTTATAGAGACTTGGTGATAGTCACTTTGGCCCTGTAGTAAAAGTTTTATTTGTTATAAATGTCTCATTGAATAAACTCAAAATATTATTATTATTATATTTGGTTTTTCATTCCAACAACATGTTTAAGAAGACTACCCTTTCAGATGTAAAAGAGGTAAAAAGATCCACTCTATATTTCCATATAAGTTAAAAATTTGTATAATTATGTGCTTTCAGGAGAGTTAATAGAACAGAATCAGGATGGTTTGGAATATTCATCTGAAGAGGAAACTGAGGATATAAAAGATGCAGCCGCGAATCTTGCGTCGAAGCAGCGGAAGGAGTTAGCTAAAGTGGACCATTCCAGCCTTGAGTACATGTCATTTAGGAAAGCATTTTATACTGAAGTAAGGATCTTTTATTTTCTTTTTCTTACTCTGAGTCTTTGGGTAAGTGATCCACATTTAAACATAAACCAAAAGTTTCACTGTCAATGACATTATTTTATAGAAACTAATTATTAAACAATTTAATGAATGATTTACTAATTGATTATTGTTTTATGTGCTTTAGGTTTAAACTTTTATAAATCGTAAATACTCCAAGAATGTTACAGAAAGAAAAGCCAAACAAAGTTTTTGTGTTGATCTTCAATACAGTAAATAACTAAACAAATTTATATAATATTTCTTATTGCCATCACAAATTAGATCAGTACATATTCCAGACTCCTCTCACTTTATGAATTGGGCATTTAAAATTCGTCAATACTCACATTTTTAAATTGATTTCCAGATTAGTGAATTGGCTCGAATGACATCAGAAGAAGTTGAAGCATACAGAACAGAATTAGAAGGCATCCGAGTGAAAGGCAAGGGATGTCCCAAACCTATTAAGAGCTGGGCTCACTGTGGTATTAGTAAGAAGGAAATGGATATTTTGAAGAAACTTGCATTTGAAAAACCAACCCCAATTCAGGCACAGGCCATACCGGCTATTATGTCCGGAAGGTAGGACAAAAAATGTCTCATATTTGTAGATAAGTTCTACTTTGTTTTTGTATAAGACAACAATAAATGTTATAAATGTACTAACAGCATGGCAACATTTTTGAAATAAAGGAAGAAAGAAAAAACTTTATTATACACAATATACAGGTTGTTTAGGCCCCCACACTAGGATTCCCTGTGTTGTGGGCAGCCAGTCTCTTCCTTTTGACACGTAAACAGTATTTTATAAAGTATATTAATTATTTCTACACATTTATATTTACACTATTTTTGCACAATCAGAATATTTTCAGTATCAGCATATGACAGGTTAACAAGATGAGTTGTAAAGTGATTTTTGAAATGTTAGTGATAACTTTGTTCATAGTATTGTCTTTGATTGACATAACCTTTACATATTTAAAGAAAAAACGTTTTTACCGGATTGAAGTTATGTATTATTATAAATTTACAATTATTTAACATAATTTTAAATTTATCTGACGTTTCGCGTGCTTTACAGCGTGCGTGGTCACGGTGACTGAAGACAAAAGGTGTTGAATGTCAAAAAGTATCACAGCTGTAGAGAAAGTTGCATTATCTGTATTTATTTCTCCGGAGTTGGTATCGACTAAAAGATGGAGGGTTTTGGCAAAAATGACTCACGGTGTCCTCTATTTATTATACATAACTTTAATCCGGTTAAAAAGTTTTTTCTTTAGATAACTTTGTTTTTAAAGAAGTGGTTAAAGATAAGGGCCTCGGAAGGAGCGTTGGGCAAAGAAAGTGCGATTTTTGGGTTGCTTATATATAGGTTTGCGTTTTGTTTGATGTGGTCCGGGGGGTATTTGTTTCCAAAAAAGTCTGCATATTGCTATTAAGTATAATTGTCTCACAGTTAAAAAGTTTTGTTTCATTGTACAATTTTGAAGTTGAGTAGCGGAAAGGTTTCTATTTGTAGGTGTTGATCATTTTTCTACTGACTTTATACATTGACTTTATTTGTGGTTTCTTATTCAGAAAACCCCTGAAATTACTATAAAACTAACTAATTTGGTCAGTTTTCTATATGCAGATGACCTACAATCATTAATTACATTTAAGTAATGGCACAACAAAAATGTATTTACCTTTTACATTTCTTTTCAGAGACTTAATTGGTATAGCTAAAACTGGTTCAGGCAAAACCCTAGCTTTTATATTGCCAATGTTCCGACATATTTTGGACCAACCGCCCTTAGAAGACACAGATGGCCCAATTACCCTTATAATGTCACCCACAAGAGAACTTTGCATGCAGATTGGCAAAGATATAAGGAAATTTGCGAAATCTTTGAATCTAAGAGTCGTTTGCGTTTATGGCGGCACGGGAATTTCTGAACAGGTACGAAACTTGGTTACATGGATGAATCTTCAGAAACGAAGAATATACATAAATTTGTATGGAGTTTATCAGGTTGACTTATTTTAAAGGACACCTGACTGAGTATAGTCAAAAAATGTTTTGGCGTTTATGGTAATCCCTTACATTTACCATTACTACCCAATATATATAAAAATCATTTTGTAAAAAAAAAACAAAAAAAAAGAGTGGCGGAGAGTCTATTTCCAGTTCTTTTCGTAAATATAGAACATTCATTTTTTTTACAAGTTAGTATTGTTTTTGCCTAAAACTTGTAAAAATGCTACATAATTTCTTATTATGTTGTGTGTAGATAGCGGAATTGAAACGTGGCGCTGAAATAATAGTGTGCACTCCAGGGCGAATGATCGACATGTTGGCTGCCAACTCGGGACGAGTCACAAATCTACGAAGAGTCACGTACATCGTGTTGGACGAGGCTGATCGGATGTTTGATATGGGATTTGAACCGCAGGTAACTAAGGCTTTTAAAGTTTTATAAAATCTTTGATATAATATCAATATCTATTAAATTACCAAATGCTAATGTATATATAATCTCGTAATTACTTTGGGTTTATCTATGACATAATTTTTATTTGTCTAAAGTACGCAATTAAGTACTAAAGTACATTTAACTTATGGAGCTATAATAATAGTTTTTTTGTATGTATTCATACTATTAAAGATTAAACTCTTGAAAGAAAGAAAAAAGCACCAAAATCATAATTACCCTATATACCACTAAACGATTAAATATTGTGCTTTGGAATTTTAAGATTTATTTTACCAGTATACTGTTATGCAACCAGTGGTGTTATCTATTTGTAATATTTGTAGGTTATGAAGATAATAGACAATATTCGTCCAGACAGACAAACAGTGATGTTCAGCGCGACTTTCCCGCGACAAATGGAGGCTCTCGCTAGACGGATATTGCAGAAACCTATTGAAGTTCAGGTACATCAGTCATATCATCATGAAACTATCACCTTGAAACTATACCATTTTATTATTTTATTCATATTATTAAGTAATAATAGTTCTAATATTTTTGTATTAGGGAGCGTTCAAGTATTACGTCACGCAATTTTTGGAGATTATTAACCCCCCTCCCCATGTAACGCGCCGTAACGTTTTTCTGTACCCAATAGTAAAACGTTTCGTGATCACCTAGTGACTCTTTGTGCCTAAAAGATACCATTATAAGTACTGAAAAGTCGGAAATAATATTAACAATAACGCATAATTCAATTCCCGTCCCGCATCGTAACGTTTTTCAAATGGACCCCAAAATTCGTTACGTAATACTTGAACGCTCCCTTAACTGATATAAAAGATATAACGTAATTATTAATTAAAATAAATCAAGAAATTATTCTGAGTATTTGATAATGACAAACTTATTTGCCGGACAATATATCTCGATTGAATCTGCGTAGGCTCATAAAAGTGTATTACTTTAATAAAAAGAAGTATTTTTGAGAAGGAGGTTACCTTTTTGATCTGTAATTATTTAATCTAACATATTATGTAATAAATAGGTCGGCGGTCGCAGTGTAGTCTGCAAAGAAGTAGAACAGCACGTGGCAATATTGGAAGAAGATGCGAAATTCTTCAAACTTCTGGAATTATTGGGACTGTACAGCCATTTGGGAAGTATCATCGTTTTCGTGGATAAACAGGAGAATGCTGACAGTCTACTTAAGGACCTTATGAAGGCCTCCTATTCTTGTATGAGCTTGCATGGAGGTATGTTGGAGTAAAAAGGAATTGAGTGTTAGTAGGTTCTAATTTAACTTAGTATTCTTTAAGGTCGTGCATTAAAACGCCAGCTGTGGTTCAATATTTTTTTCTTTCTATGTGCGCTACTAATAATTGCTTATGGTGAAAGCAAAATACTAAGAAGAACGTGCACGTATGTCGTGAATTCAAAAATCAATAACATGATAGGGACAACATATAGAGATAAATTATTATTCATTCTCATTTAATCAATTGCCTTGATTGAATAATGTTCTGTGAAACCGTTATAAATATTCTAGTTGACAAATGATTGCCTTGTTTTACGCCTCGGTATATTTTAATTTCTGGGCCTATTTAACAGTCGGTTACGTCAGATAACATCCATTACATCGATACATTATTTGTATAGTTACACATATTCTAGGGAGCGTTCAAGTATTACGAAACGAATTTTTTCCTTTTGTAAAACGTTACGGTGCGGGGCGGGGATTGAATTACGCGGTATTGTTAATATAATTTTCGACTTTCCAGTACTTTACACCACAATATGGTGACTTTTAGGTATAAAACAGTCACTAGGTGGTCACGAAACGTTTTACTATTGGGTACAGAAAAAAACGTTACGACGCGTTACATGGGGGGGTAATTTTTTACTTAATAATATATTAATAAAATAATAGAATTGTGTAGTTTCAAGGTGATGGTTTCATGATGATAAGACCGATGTACCTGAACTTTACTATACTTGGGTACAGAAAAACGTTACGGCGCGTTACATGAGGGGGGGTCAATACTCTCCAAAAATTGCGTGACGTAATACTTGAACGCTCCCCTATTCAAATACTTGTTCAAGCTTTTTTTAGTACCAAATACGCCCGCGGAGCGTTTTTAAAAAGCTTTGTCCATACAAAAATGTAACACGTTACTTTTCTATTACTATCTGTTCGATTTTAGATGTCATGCTAAAGCCTCTGCTCGAATATTAATAACGCTCTGTTACAGGTATTGATCAATTCGACAGGGACTCGACGATCGTCGACTTCAAGAATGGCAAAGTGAAACTCCTCGTGGCGACGAGTGTAGCGGCCCGAGGCTTGGACGTCAAGCAATTGGTTCTGGTTGTTAACTACGACTGTCCGAATCACTATGAGGATTATGTTCATAGGTAATGTTTTTATCCGACTTCTAAAAGGCAAATTATTTGTATGTATGTGTTTGTGATATTAGTGTAGTGGATTTGTATTGACATAACCTTTACACATTTAAAGAAAACACTTTTTTACCGGATTGAAGTTATGTATTATTATAAATTTACAATTATTTTACATAATTTTAAATTTAACCGACGTTTCGCGTGCTTTACAGCGTGCGTGGTCACGGTGACTGAAGACAAAAGGTGTTGAATGTCAAAAAGTATCACAGCTGTAGAAAAAGTTGTATTATCTGTATTTGTTTCCCCGGAGTTGGTATAGACTAAAAGATGGAGGGTTTTGGCAAAAATGGCTCACGGTGTCCTCTATTTTCGTGGATTGTTTATCTTGAGATTTTAATTTGGATATTATTGGATCACAGGGGTTTGACAATTTTAGGCCGTCTTCTCTATTGAAAGACTTTAATCTTTATCGGTTAAATTTAAAATTATGTAAAATTGTAAATTTATAATAGTGGATTTGTGTTATATTTTTAGAAATGTGTGGTAAATTTCATATTGAGATGATCCTTTCTCTGTCGGAGGTACATAAATAGATATTAGTGCGTTCACGCAGGTTATGCTTCTGCGTATACACTGGTCCGAAACCGTTCCATAACTCTTATCGTCTGGACCATAGACCTTTCAAATTTTTTATTAAACAATTGTAACATGATTTAGATGCGGGCGAACTGGCCGAGCTGGTAACAAAGGTTACGCGTGGACCTTCCTTACGCCGGAACAAGGGAGATACGCTGGGGATGTATTGAGGGCTTTCGAACTCGCTGGAACCAATCCAACCCCGGATTTGAGGAACCTTTGGGAGAAATATAAGGAAGCACAAGAAAAGGATGGAAAGAAAGTTCATACTGGCGGAGGGTTTAGTGGGAAAGGTAAATTTCGTTTATAGATAATTGTCTTTTTGGTATTGTGAAGTTAAAATAAAAAAATAATAGTTATCTGAAGTTACCAAAGCTTAATTTGGTCCAGATTTCATTGATAAGCAAATACAATTTTGATAACCATCTCAGAACAAAACGCGAACAATGATCTTCTTACTTACCAGTATTATGTCTTAAAGCAAACAAAGCTATATATCAATTCTGCAGTTTATATTTTTATATAAAAAGTATTATATAGTTATGAAATTATATCATCGACATAAGCCAATTGTTTTAGTATTGTTCTTAATTTTTAGGTTTCAAATTTGACGAGTCCGAGGCACAGGCGGCGACGGAAAGAAAGAAATATCAGAAAGCGGCACTGGGTCTTCAAGATTCTGATGATGAGGATGTTGAAGGAGACCTCGATCAGCAGATTGAGACTATGCTAGCTGCCAAGAAGATTGTTAAAGAAATAAAGGTAAGGCTTCTATTTAATGTATTGTCAAAACAGTTAAATTCGTGGAATTTAAATACAGTGAAAACCGTTTACGACGACATAGTTTAGAACAACATACCGGTTATATTGACCAAAATCAAAGGTCCCGGCTGAATTCTATTAATAACGTCATCGGCTGTTACGACTATTGGTTTTTACGACCAAATATGAGTAGTCCCTTCGATGTCGTTATAACAGATTTTGACTGTATATATGTTAAGAGAGAGTTAATTGAATCTCTAGACAGTTAATTAAAGATCAGAAGATATTCAATCAACTCGCTAAACTTCCGTCAGACAAGTGACTGAACGAAACGTTTAACGAGTTTCCTAAACGTTCCTAGACAACAAGCCGCATTTCAACTTTGGCAGGATGACCAAGATATTTGATTGGAAAAAAAATTTATATTTATATATTTTCCTACATATATTGTCGTTTAATATTTTATTATTTAGGAAAATGAATAGCCAATAAAAATATTTTATATTAATAACTAGCCGTGTCGCGCCCGCTTTGCTGGACGAATTAAAATAAATTTTATGTTTCATTATTTTATTTTTTTTCATATTTTTATTATTCTTCTTTTTAACTTCCCTCTAAGAAAATTGAAATATTTCGAAAATCGAGTTTTTAACAGATGTTGACGTTTAGAGGTTCTAGGAAGCCTCCCCGAATGTTTCTGCGGTGAAGTCCGTATGGATAAATGTTCATAAAAGTAAAACAGCAATAAAAAAATCAAGGAACGTTGGAATTTAATAAATAAATAGCCAAAAAATTTCGCATCGAATGGTGGTAGTTTCATGTCGATACGATCAGTGGTTTAGGCGTGAAGGAGCCTCAAACGAAGACCATTTTTCTTTTATATATATAGATTTAAAAAAAATAAAACTTGCTCTGCTGCAGATATTTACACATAGACTTAATTATTAATAAAATGATATCTTATTTTAAATGACATTTTAACTTGGAATAATCAGTCTTGTGAAATTTGTATTTTAGCAATTGACTTGAGTTATTAAAAACATGTTTAATATTAAGAAATCCTTTGCCTTTTACAGCCTGGTGTTGCGGGTGCAACGCCCCCTGCTGGGGGTCCAGCTACCGCGGATGGCAAATTGGAGTTGGCTAAACGTCTGGCTTCAAAGATAAACATCGCTAAGGGTCTTGGTGTAGAACAAAAGGGCGCTACTCAACAGGCGGCTGAAGCCATCTTGAAGGGATCTCCGTCTACACATACACTGATTACCGTAAGTTTTCTAATGTATATTGTAAAATGTCTATGGTCAAAACTTAAGTTCAAATATAGTTTACGGGGCATCTAATTTTTAAAACACTTCAAAAACCCGAACCCCGTTATCATTTCGACGTGTATTTTTTTTTTTAGTTTTTACAGTATACAAATTGTTTTAGTATGTAATATAATCAAAGTATATAAACATATTTCGATCTTTTATCGTGTTTTTATCAGTTGAATAAAAAAACATTGCGTTGAAAAGTATATAAACTACCTTATATTATATCTTGAATCTTTTTGTATGGATGTATTAGTCAATAACGCCAATTAGTTGTTAGACTTGCGTATATCGTTAGAAATGTGCTATAACATTTCTAATGATATACGCGACTGATAACAGCCCGAACAGGTTTTTTCCGGTTTTCCTCGCTATTAATACACTACCACTAATGAGAAAATGTCTCTAAGCTGATTAGAGTGTTCCTATCTATTAACAAGGGTAATGAGAATAAAAAACAAATATTTTTAATTAAATATTACACGTCTAGTGTGAAGTACTTCCTAATTTCTACCGATAACTAGCCCCAATGAGGTTATTAATATGAAGAGACTATTTTATACAATTTTATTTACGGCTTAAAAATATGAGAACAGACATAAGGGACTTTCTATGGCTGTTTATTGCCACTAACTTTAATAATAATCCTTACGATTTTCTCTCTTTATTTTCGGGAGTGCATGGCCCTTTATTTATCAAACATTTAGTTTATGCTATTAAAAGCCTTTCATTAGTTACTGTCATTAAATTATTATTTATTATTAGCTGACCCGGCAAACGTCGTTTTGCCATGTATATTATTTCTAGGAAACATTTTTTTAGTTTAATAAAAATAATTATCTACTATAATACAAAATAGGGGTTGATCGTAGAGGGCTGACATTTAAGGGTTGTATGTATTTTTGTATGCTGTATCATGCAATAAAAACAAAAATTTTGGCTAAAAATAAAATTTTGGGGTGACCACCCCTTATCACTTAGGGATTTGAAAGCTCGAATCGGTCGAGCCATTTCGGAGCAGTATGGGAACGAACATTGTGACACGAGAATTTTATATATTAGATTATATGCTAGATGTGTTAAAACAAAAGTAACGTATTTTATCTTGTAATATTTTAGGCAAAAACAGTAGCGGAACAGTTAGCGGCGAAGTTAAATACGCGTTTGAACTACCAACCTCGTGATGAAGCGAATGCAGAGCCCGCGGAAGAGGTATTCCGGAAATACGAAACGGAGTTAGAAATTAATGACTTCCCACAACAGGCCAGGTGGCGGGTTACCAGTAAGGTATGTTGAGATATTTTTTTCTATAGTATCCCATATAAAATTCGTTGAAAACGTCACGTACGTATAAAATATAATACGTTGTGACGTTTACGGTAAGGGAGCGGTCAATCCCCGCCCAGCATCGTAACGTTTTACAAAAGGACCCCCCCACCCAAATTCGTTACGTAATACTTGAACGCTCCCTAAGTGGAAGGGCTAAATATATCTAAATTTTGAGTTAGCTTGGACCGAGTATATCTGCTCGGATACAAATTTTAGCTATGCGTAACCAATGGACGGACAATAAAAATTTCTAAATCAATTAATATGTTTTTATGGGAATCATACTTAGCGCTGAGTCGAGACCAAGTCCAATTGATATTTCAAGTCACAATCTCGCCATGCGCACTGTCAAACATCATACAGGAAAATGTGGGTTGACAGCTCTGGAAACTACATTAAAGCTTAGGTTTCCTAGAAAAGCGGTGCCGTTAACTAACGGCAGTCATTTTACGGTTGTTAATAACGGCCGTCTTTACTTTTTAACACAATGTAAAAACCAATCATTTTCGCTCGTCCTAATACGATTAAATATGGGCACTGCTACACGCAAGTTGAAATAATGTTTATCACCGCTATGACGGCCGTCATGCAAATGACAGCACCACTATTTGACGTTACGGTGACACTCAACGTTCTCTAGAAAACCTACTCCGATGTTATTTATAGACAACGTATAGGTGACGTCACCCAACGTTACATTACGGCCGTTAGATAACGGCACCGCTTTTCTAGGAAACCTTAGCTTTAGTCTGAATCCGTCAATTTGTGATTGTCAAAACCAGTGATTAGAAACAAGAATACACAATGAACGTCGGAAAAATATTGCTTGGAACCTATACGGGCGCTCGCAATTAATTAACTTCCCTGATAGATTAGTGTCGAATAAATTAAAAACAGAAATAAACTTATTATATAAACTGTATTTTTAATTAAGACGTCAATAACAAACATTAATTAAGTCCGGTAATAAAATTAACTGCAATAAATGATAACTTTTAACCCGCTACGCAAATAGTTTGTCCATAACCCGTCTCAAATGCGCCTATAAATACAGAGTTGCACATTTTAACCCTCAGTTGCAATCTAATCATGTTCCTTAAACTAGCCTTGATCGGTGCCTTTGTTTACTTCTGTGTTAAGCTATTAAACAGGCAAAAGTGCTACACTAAACACTATTATTAGTGACAGAGGTAAATATATTAAAACTAACATTCATACTAATTTTAAACCATCTATGAATAATGGGCTCCCATTCTCTCATCCCACAGTTGAATAGTTTTCTTGACTTTTCGTCGGAGAATAGCGTATTTGTGAAGAGTCTGGTAGTAGCGTATTGTGACTTAAGTAGGAGAAAATGTTTTCTGCTAATGTTTTTCTTCTATAAATAAAATAAACAAACTAACTAGCTTTGTCCTTGTCAGTTATCTAATAAATGAGCGAAACAGATTCATTAGAGCAGTGTTAATCTAATCTCTAAGCATTCTATTCTCAAGTGAGGTCGTGCGTTTGAACTCTGGCTTTTCTGTATGCGCAATTAACATTTGTTTGTTCGATGTGGTTCATCTTAGCTGCTCAGACTCAAAAATCGGCGACGTGTTTTACGATAGTGATTTCTTCAATGTGTATACCGCCTGATCCCAAGGTTGTAAGTTGTAACAATAGGTAGTAGTGTTTAATCATCCGGGTTACCAATACCAATTACGTAAGTTATTTAATACCTCCGACGACTACATAGTCGGGGAATTATCTAGAAAGCATTTGCGTCCATTAATACTTGCTCATACGGTGAAGAAAATGACCACGTATTAATGCAGTTCATTGGTGATTGTATACTATATGACCTTATAATTATATAGTTATGTAATTATTTCCTTTAAATTCGTATCTGTTACTTTTATGCCTATAGCTTGTTGAGTGTTTTACCTGTCGTATCCATACACCTATAAAAATAATTTTATAATAAGTTTAAGTTATATCGGTGTCCACTGCCTTAAGGTTTTAAATTAAATTGGATTAAAAAATATCGCTGAAAGTTAAATGTAAATTTCTAAAAGTATAACAATTTTTTTAATTGCAGGAGGCGCTGGCGCTTATAAGCGAATATTCAGAAGCAGGTATAACAGTGCGAGGGACTTACGTACCTACGGGTAAAGCACCACCAGAGGGCGAAAGGAAATTATACCTCGCTATAGAAAGCTCTCAGGAGTTAGCCGTAGCTAAAGCGAAATCTGAAATAACTCGACTTATTAAGGAAGAACTGCTCAAACTACAGACTTCCGCGCACCATATGGTTAACAAAGCTAGATATAAGGTTCTATAATGATTTAATAAATTTGACTTGTACTATGGCATGTTTTTTTTATTTTAGATTTAGTGACTTATGTGATAAAGTTAAAAAAATATCGTTATTATTCTTATTATAAAATATGGGAGCTGTGTTGGCCTAATGGCTTCTGCGTGCGACTCTCATCCCTGATGTCGTAGGTTCGATCCCCGGCCGTGCACAAATGGACTGTCTATGTCCGCATTTAATATTCGCTCGAACGGTGAAGGAAAACATTGTGAGGAAACCGGCTTGTCATAGACCCAAGAAGTCGATGGCGTGTATGAGGTACAGGAGATCAGCCTCCTGAGGAAAATATATTTCCCTAAAGTGAAACAGCCGCTAGTATCCTGTTACCTGTCCTGAGTATTGCATTAGTTCTCGTCAGATATATTTTGTGTCGCAGAATAATAGGAGTAAGTACAGCAGAAACACACTTAATTTCTATGATTATTTGTACCATCGAAAATTTAACTGCATCCACCTTGGAGTAGGTCACTAACAATAGGTATTGTTTAGGTATATTTATAGATTCTTCTTAAGGTATCAAATCAGTTATTAAACCCATATTGTCGAACCATCAAAGATTAAAAATTATTAGTAGCTGAATGAAGAGTTCTACAGTAGGCTTTTGGGCCTACAAATAGGGAGGATGGAAGCTGGAGAATCAGGAAAAACGAGGAGATGATAGGTGAAGTTAAAGCCCAAAAACTCCGGGACTACATGAGAGAGTGAGAAAATCGGAGTGTTAAAAAAGCGTATCAATAATTATACTCCTACATAATTATTCAAGCAAAGTGGAATTCGCCCGTATAAAATACGTGACCTATGTTAAAGTAATACGGACGAAGAGGCGTTGTGAAAACGTCAAATACTAGTCTTCTCAAATAGTGGTTGAAAGAACTTTATAATAAAGACTTATGACAACTATAACAATTAATCGGGACACCACGGGATACGTGATAGGAAAAATTGCTAGCATAGCTACATTGCAAATATTTACTAAGTTGTATAAGGTACTTAGCAAAGCTTACACACCACCAATTCCATTTTATTATGAGTGAGAATGCAAGGCAACTCACTAGGTAAAGTAATCATAATATCTAGCTGGATGCCGATGATTTCATCATCAAGAAGTCGATTAGTTTTTTAACTACTATGGCAGTCATTGATAAAAAATATTATAAAAACATACCTACTTATGTCAATCGCCAAAGTATGTATTATATCTTTAATATACACACATGCCCTGTTTTATAATAAAGCATAATACAGAGATATCGTGTAGTCGTTTTCTTGGACTTTGTAAATTTTACACAATTGGAATATTTTTCGATATATATAATATATGAATGAATAATTAGTAACAGTTAGTAATATTCTGCTATATTTTATAAGGTTAATTTTGTTATCACCTCTCGGTTTTCGTATATTGTTTAGTGGGTAAAATAAAAATGAAAACGTATTAAGAGACGGGTTGTTACTTGCTACTGACAGATTTTTATTGTTTACGAAGACCCACGCGAGCTCATTTGCTTCTTTTACTGTTAGGAGCAAAAATGTCTAATGCAATATAATAAATGAAGGAAAATCTCGTGAGGACGGCATGCATGCCTTACACAAAAAAAGTCAACTAAGAAAAAAATTATCACGAAACAGATACAGAAATCAGAGGTAGCGTAATGGTTTTTTTAACGAAATGTTATACCAATTTAAGTAAGCATAGAAGTGTGCCACAGCCAGAACGGAATGTTGGACGTTGATACGAATGACTTTCAGTTACGCGGTCATTTGGAAGGAAAGGCTAAATTAGCCTCCAAGAAGCTTGGAGTACTGTTCCTTCTACTTGAGCGTATTGAGCGAAGAGTGATTCCATTCACTTTCCGAGTGGCTTGATTCTTTGACGACGTTGCGTAGAGATGTGCGGTCTCTCTGCATCTTCTTTCTTTAGGTGTTTGGATTAATACCTGGTGCTGAGTTTCATCAGCAGACATCGAGACAGAACACGAAAATCCACCCGTATCCAGTTGACGACCGTGGTTCCACAACTGAGCGTTAGTTAGCACCACAATGTGGAACCAGCTACCCACTGAAGTATTTTCGAACTAATTCGACTAAGGGACCCTAAGAAAAGAGCGTACACATTCGTAAAAGGCCGGCAACGCACTCGCGAACCCTCTCGCATTGAGAGTGTCCATGAGCCTATCACTAGGTCGCTATCACTTAACATCAGGTGAGCTCGTTGGTCCGTTTCTATAAAAAATTGTTCTTTAGCTTTGGGTTAGATATGAATTCGTATATATGGTGAACTGATTCAATCTTTACTAGACGGTTTAAAAGTCGTTAGTGAATTCAAGTTAGCCATTTTTTTCTTTAGGTGTTTAACGTTGAGGTATTTGCTACCGCGGCTAATAAATGGTCTAACCAATCAGATATTAGATTGCCTAACGCCAACAGCAAATTAAAAAACTACTTTTATATGCATTTGTCGCGCTCCTTAACAAGACTGCTATGGTTACATTAATACAAACCACAGCGGTATTCTAATGTAACTTATTATGATTGTATTATATTTTTTTTGTAAAATAAATAAATTAAAAAAAAACCTGTAATAAATTATGTTATCGTAAATGCATTACGGTATCATGTTTTTCAATTTTAATTATAGATACACATGCTTCATGTTGGTGGCATGAATATGATCGATTTAGTTTACTAAAATTCTTAAAGATAAAGGTTTTACACGTCGGGTCATCGTGATTTATAACATAATCCTCACTGTATAGATAGTGATTATGGACGAAATGGTTATGTAATGCAAATATGTGTTTCGTTTTATAATAAAATAATCTCTGAAAACTAGGTTTAGCATAAACTAATGTCTGCAATTTCCTGATATAATATATCTGAGTGGATTGTATTGGTATTATTGAAAAGTTTAAATTATTTAGGTATAATATAATAATACTGCGACGTATATTTTTGAAGTTATACTTCTTTAGGCGCGTTATGAAAAATTTATGAGAGTGAAATTTTACGATGCGCGCGCACCGTGACACAAAATTAACAGAATGAAGTTGCCCACAGAATTTATGTTACACTTAATGTAAGAGAATAATAATAAATATTTATTTATTTAATTTTTCAAATGTAAACTGAACTTTATTGACTATAATGACTACTTTTCCAGTCTTTGATTATTTAATTGTAATTAATTATTTGCATGCAATCAAAAACTATTTTTAATAATGCCAAAGAAGTATAACTTCTTACGCGCGTACATAAGTACCCGCACCCTTTTTTTTTAAACGTTGCGGCAATATGTCATAGAGAAATTATTCATAAATCCTATTGTCGCCCATTTTCTATATTCTATTCTTATATACAATAACATAATATTTCGCAATAACTTAGTCATATCAGTAAGCGTTTTAGAAGACAGTTATAATTAATTGTCAATAGATTGACTTTCGCTTATCAAACATTTCCAATGCATTCTGTTGTGTCTATTGCATAAATATTTACTACTTTGAGAGCGGAGAATTCCATGATAAGAGGAGAAAAGGCACGTGTTCAAAGATAGCATTCATCAATAACACTTTAAAAATAGTTCTAGTAGTCTCGTGCGTGATAGAGGTTATCAATTGTGGGAAGATTCCACTGCAAACAAGGCTAAATAATTATTAACGATGTTATAATAACAATGTTCAAGTTTTTGTTATGTTTTATATAAAAAAACGAAAGAATATTTATATCTCCTTAGTATTAGATACAAAATTCAATCTGAGTCAATGATTGATAATTGTGCAATAATACTTCAGTATTTTATCGTAATAAATTGTTCTGACGATTCACGTACCAAAAAACAGCGGAACAGTTTATAATGTGTAACAGATTTTAATAATAATAATGAATTATGAAATTATGAATGACGTTATTACCAATAATTTGTAATTTTGAGTTTTTTCTAGTGAAAGAGTTGTTTTGTTGTTTTGACATATAAATTTCCACATAGGAAATATAACGTGTTTACTTGCTCCAGTTCACCTTTGACTTACTGTTAAGATCACGGGTTTTCTTATCATGTTGTTAATGTGCACTAAACGTGCACTGATACAGTATTTTTTTTTCAAATATTTGTTCTTTTGATTACTTTTTTTAAGTTAACCCTGCTCAGTGTCTGGATTTGTTCTGCTCAGACCCTTAGAGGCCCTAATACAATCTACGTTAAGAATTCGAATGTCAACCAATGAAATCTATTTGCAAAAATCTTGGTAGGCTCACGTATTTCAGAATAGGAAAGACATTTTCCAATATTTGGTATCGAATATTCATGTACGATTAAACTTAAATGATTAAATAAAATACGTCGAAAAATATGCAATATTAATTTTCCTCTATTAATATGGGGAAAATAAAAAGGCTTTACAGACAGAAGAATAGACTACGAATTCAAATTTGATGTGTCGTAGTTATTAAAGTTTAGCATATTTCATTCGAAAACAGAATGGTTTCCTTAGTTTTAATTATTAATTAATTTTAAACATGGGAGATAAAGAAGAATTGCTATGATTTCGCTGATATAAGGTCAAAAGGGTGCTTGACAACATTACTTCTGTTACCGTTACATATTACATGAATCGTAAACGATGATATGATAAAAATTCAAGTTCACTTATTTGCGTGTTGCTGTGCGAGAGAATACTTAAAAAAATACTTCGGAGACTTTACTCGTGAAATATTTTATTTTAATAATAAAATATAAATATTTTAAATGTTGCAAGTAAATAAAAATAGTAAAAAATAAACAAAATCTTTATTCGTTAGATTCATTTTTTTTTCGTTAGTACTTGACCTCCGACGGAGTGAAGGCCTCCTCCAAATTCTTCCTCATGTCTCTCTTCCTCTCCACAATTTTACAATCCTTCCCCGCTATCCCTTTTATTCCATCTTCTCAGGTTTCTTGTGGGCGTTCTCTCTTCTATCTTCCCTTTGCG